ACAGCTTCATCTCAAGTCGGAGAAGCGGGGAGAAATGCAGCTTAGGTTTCCGATCGCCCGAGTGCACCGAAGACTGGACCAACACATGGCCTGGCTGAGATTGTGAAATTTGCAGAGCACAGATTCCCGGCGGTTGGACACAGTTCCCAAGTGGTTTGTGGTATCAAACCGTGGATTAACAGGTCCTGTGGTGTGGTGCCGACTGGTCGGCTGATGGACCAGCCAAGACCGATCCACCACCGTGTTTGCCAAGTCGGAGCATGCCGACCAACATCAGAAAAGGGTCCGATATTCACCCCCGAGACGCCGAATCAGTGCTATGGGACTGATACAAGGCATACGAATGTGAGAAGCAACTAAGGCGGTTTTTTCGCGAGTCGGTATCAGAGCTTTTCAGATACAGTCTTGATTGACAGGTTTCTTGTCTCGGTAGTATAGTCATGTAGTTCACGATACACCATTGCTTTCTCTGCTCATTCAGCGTTGAACCTGAGGCTGTAGATGTGAAGCCGTGGGGAATGGTGAGAGGCGGCTTGGATATGATTGCGCTTAATCACTGGTAGAGGAGGAGGGATGTCCTCATGGTTCAGCACGCGATCAGCCCTGTGTAAAACATTCCCGGCAACCAGTCGTGGATCTTTTAGATCTGCCAGAATAAGACAGTTAAGACGCACACGTGCCAGTTGCTTTCATTGGTAGTAACTGGTGAGTCAACGAAATCGCAATGATATAACGACTATGTGCTTCCTGGCCGCGGCCGTTTACTTCTCCACAGATTTAACGAACGGGAACGCCTTTCGGTGGCTTGTTATGTAGGACTGAATATTGACCACCACATCCCTGAAGGCTACAGTACTACATGTAACGCCGGAAAATGATGATGAGACTAGTCAATCTGAGTTCTTCTTTCCGAGAAGAAGAAAAAATACGGTGGTGACACCCCCATGATGCATTGCATACGTAAAGGGGGTGATAGATCCGGCTGCAGGATCTCGCAGGTAAAGCAACCATCTCGTAGCAAGCGAGTAAGCGTCGTATGGGTGTGTTGGACTGCAACTGCAAGCGTCGAGGCTGCATTAAGCAAAAAATGAGTCGGTACTGACACAGCAAGGCTTCTTAGCTGCTGTCCCTTGCTGTTACGTAGGCTGTGTGCCCTCTAATGTCGGGTAACAGACGAGGGCACCGAATGTGATATCTGACGAAAATCTCTGAACGTTGAAAACCAGCGCTTCCAGGCTGCCCTGTGAGCCTGTTCCGAGGAAAAAGAAAGCATACCATCATGAGATCCGTCGAGTGATTTGCCACCCCCGTGAACCTAAGTGAAATGTCTGTCGGAGGTTGATGCTCTTCGGCGTGGATGACATGGCAAGTTCTGGATCGAAGATCGATCAAATCTCGTGGTGCATAAAGCAAAACTTCAATCTGACGGCGTTGAGACGCAGCCGGCTGCGGTTCCAAGATGCGATTTGTGGATTCTGGCGTGAGGGGAAAGGATCCTTCCCAACTGGTGAATGATGGATCTTGCGATAGGCCTCCTTGCTTGTAGAACCCCTGTCGCTTAAGCTAGTTAACCAGCCGCACCTCCCCGGCTAGAGGTGTTTATGTCATTGGAAGACGAGCTGTCGGTTCTTGGGCGTGGGGATTATGTGATTTCGACAATAGACCATACGTGGCTCATGCAGTCATCACAGCGATGTCACCAACGCTGCGTCAGATCAACACGGGGAAAGGAGCCGGACAGGTCCGTCCAGGGTGATCTCGCACTGATGAGAAAAGCTTCTAATCGGCCGGCGCCAATTGAGGGTATCATGAGAATCTGACAGACCAGGGGCCATGGCTCGCTTGCCTGGTCGTTGGCCTCGAGAAAAAGCAAGCATGCCCGTATGTATCTTCCATATTAACACTGTGCTACGACGACGCTGGAGGAACTCGCGTTAATGTTTGCTTGTCCATGTTTGCTTTTTGGGCCGCAGAGCCAAACCCTCAAGGGCCGCTGGATATTTGTTGAATTTGTCTCAATCATGTCTCTCCCCCCCTCCATTGACCTGTCACTTGTCGTTTACGGACACGAGAAAATTCCATGGGCAAAGAAAAAGCAAGACAAGACTTGCGGTGTTTTATTTCTACTCTTGTCTTTTAGCGAGAAGAGGTAGTGAATTGTACAGCTACATGGTCATAGGCTGTCCTGGATCATGGACGGTGTTCTGTGGCCAAAACCGACCTGGGTGGTTCGACGAGTGTTCCGTCATCCTCAGGCTGAAACTGATTTGGCTCGTTGGTGATGTTTCCTGAGATAAGAAACATGAAAAAGCAGAATGGGGGTTCGAAAATTTCAATGATGTCAGGGAACGTAGAAGAACACTGAGGATTCAGGGTTATGCGGTTGTGAGGCAAGCCACAGTTTCGCGCGGGTCTTGACCCGTATTGTCTACTCGCTAATGCCGATGGTCGGTTGACATCGCGTGGATTGCTCATATCTTTTGATGGTGAGAGAAACGATTCAGTCGCAATCATGTTGCGAGTTGATCGAAGTCAGGGGTTAGGGATAGCGCCGGCAATTGAGTGCTCAAAACGATAAGTCAACAAATCGATCAAGGGCGCTCTTTGAGCATAATGTGATTAAGCAAGCCATTTCTAACACTCCAAGCAACGAAATTCTGGATGAAAAGTTCTCAGGATTGATTGCAATAGTGTGAGCTGGTTCATAAGTAGTCTTGCGAAGTCGCTTCCCAGATCACGTCCCGGATCCAGACATGGGCTATCTAGAACCAGTTGGCGGTCTTCTTCGCTTTCTCTTTCTGTATCTTGTAAGACACGTGTAGTGTTTTTTTCGTTCTTTTTTCAGATGCCTTGATAGCGATATCCCATTGACCAAAGCTGAGGGTTACCTGCTGTTGAAATAGGTTGCTTACTTACGATGGTACAGCCTTCGCACGAAGAAACTACCGTGTTTGAACTGCCATTAGTTAGAGTCACAATAGTATAGCAACGGAACTCAAGGAACTGAGAATGCTGGTCCAAGAAAAAGGCTTGCCGTGAGCCGCTATCCAAAGGTTGATTCACAGGCTCTAGGGCATATCACTGGACTGGCCCGTCAATGTCCAGGACCTTAACAGTCTTTGGCATCTCTCTGGCATTCCACTCGGTAGTCAGAAAAAGACATCTACACTATTTTGTCGGTTCATTACTGCAGTCATGGCCCCGAACATATTCAGTCTTTTCCCGCTTCTTCGTCGTCCCTTGGCTTGTTTGCCATTATCCGGCACTCAAACACGTTGTGCTTCCAGTCCCTGTGTCATTGTATGCTGGTAAGTTGCCTTCTCAATCTTTCTTTGAAGCTTTGGTATTGATATTGCCTCTGTACCGCGGATGAAACTTCCTCTGGGGGTTGAATTGTTTCGCTATGTGAAGGGCTGGCACTGCTACCTTTTTGATTCCAATCTTTACAGTCTTTACAGCGATTCCGCTACCTATCCAGGCCTGTGACTACAGATATCAAACAGCTCAAAATTCGATCATTGTCGTTTCGGACCAGACTTCTGTGCCCCAGATGCTTGGGCCTCGGGCTGTGAGAGAAAGTCCGAATGTGATTCTGGATCCAGCTCACAATGGGCCAAGAAATCCAAGGGCCACCCGAACGTGTGCTGTTCGGAATGTATAAGTCCACAGCAAAATCTGGAGCCTTTCTACAACAGGGTTGGGCTAGCAATGAAGATATGTCTCTCAGAGATTCTGCAGCACAACCAAAGATTTCATAAGTGAAGGCCGAGTTGTTTTGAAATCATAGCACCATGTCTACAAGCATCCCTTTTAGTGTGGCGACAAGAAGGCCAAGAAAGAACCCTGTGATGAAGACAATACACTCAATAGGATTTTCGGCTACTACGAAGGATGGCGAGCCCGAAGGTCATGCGACACCTTTCCCGAGAAAGTTCCTCTTGGCGTCTACTCGATCATCAACTTCGCCTATGCCACCATTGGTCCTCAGACTTTCGAAGTCCTACCAGCCACTCCTGTCGATATTTCACTCTAAAGCTCTTTAAGGCGCCCAATAGAGGTGATCTCACACTACGCGTCTACATTTCTATTAGTGGCTGGACCTTCAAAGACCCAGACCAAACGGCTACCACGTTTTCAGACATTGCTCGGCCCAAGGAGAACCGGAATAGATTCATTAAGTCTTATATAGTGTTCCTCAGCAAACACGAAATGGACAGTGTCACCTCGAATGGGAGTACCTCGAAGCTACGGATCGCAGCGTTAGACCATAATACTTTGAGAACTTCTCAAAGTTTATAGACAACCTTTACAAGGTCCTCAAGTAGACAGCCGGCCGCAGTAGGCATTCCATGACCATCCCTCTAGAGAAAATTGAACAGAATGAAAGCTATAGTAAGCCAAGCTCTGCAGAACTGATTAGTCCTAAGGTATTGACTAACCATTGCATCACACATATGTAGATCTGGAGATACACAGACCCATCAACTCAGGCTATCGACTATTAATGCTCGCCAACAGCAACCCACGGGAGTCACTATAGTGTATCTGAGACGTGAGATATGTGGCAGTTTCAATGAAAGTATGTCATGTATGCAGCGTAGATGGATTTAATAGGGACTTATGCTTTTACATACTTTACATTGTAAATGGTGGACAGCTGCAACCTTTGACATGATTCTGTTCTTACTCAATTACTTATTATCTTTGTTTGTTTGGCAACTCATTGCCGGAACGTACCCGCCTGATTCAGACATGATAAACCCAGAAAGCAACCCGTCTAATTGTGGACAAATAAGGTAGTCGGCGAGCTCCCCCAACCTGCGCAACCTCAATTTCGAACTGCCCCGCCCCCGCAGCGACAGCTGAGCTCCACGCCACATTGTGCGATAGGCGATGACTACCCTTGCAACTCTTCTGTTTTGCAAGATACCATATACAACTCAATCTCGTCAGTCAAAGTCTGCATCACAGGTAATTCTGGCGACAATCGCTCACTCAGAATGGCGGAGCCACCACAACCTCAAAATCTCAGCGGCCTGACAACACAGTTCCGCAGCGCGGTGGAAAGCCTCACGCACGAATGGGGCTTCGTTGTCGTGCGCACAGCTTACGCCGTCGGTATTGACGAAGCACAATGGGCCGCCGCCTTGGAGAAGCTGCGAGCCTACGCCACTCGGGAAGATGACGACGCCGAGATGGACCTCGACACCTTTGCGCTGCCCGTCATAGCCGACGGTACCATCCTGCGCGGCGCCGATTACACCTCCGTGCGCAAGGCCTTCAACGGGTGGGTGAACGATTTCGTCCGCTGCGAGGGGCCCTCAGATGACGACTACCAAGATGAAGCGTGGACGTCCGACGTGCGCCGCGACGTCTGCATCGTCATCGACGAGCCTGCGCTGGCTTCACTGCTCAAAGCGCCAGACTTTGTTCCCGGTAAGGTCCCGAACCTTGAATTGGAACCGTGGGTTGTCGTAGTCGACACCAAAAACCCAGCGAGCGTGCCTTACGGCGGGGGAGGGCCGTACATGGGCTTCACGAGATCGCGCGCGCGTGCTCTGGGTCAGCTGTTTGAGGAACTCGGCTCGCGGTCTCTGGCAAGACTAAGCCGTGTTCGAGAGTACGACGGCCAGATACCGCTTTATGACGGTTCTTCGCGTGGCAAGCTTATCGATCCTGCTGGTGGAGTGGATGGACGATACAGGTTTCCCCGAGGCACGCCAAGAGGAGCAGACGGCGGGCGGGCCATGTTGGAGGAGATTGAGCGAGCTGTGGGCAGAGCAGACGGCTCAGGTTATTAAACATCATCACGAGGAGCGCGATGTACCAGGAAAGATAATTGGGAGAGTGGTGGAAACTTTCCATATTATCTCAAGCTAGACGCGTTTTGCGTCAGTGGTATCATTGTGTTTACACATAGTGCTGGCATCTGTACTGGATTCATTGCTCTAGGAGTAGATCATGTCGGGAACCGATGAACATCGCGCCGTAACCAGGGCTGCGTTCGGGAACGACTCTTCCTTCTACATCTCCTAGCGTCTCATGGTCTTGGTACTCACGGCATTAACAACCCTTCTACACCACAGGGAGCAGCGAAGTCGACTAAAAAGAATTTTGGACAGTTGAGCGCGGGCCAGGGAGATGTTGGTGAGTTTCTAAAAGTCTCGCGGTTCAGAAAAATCTCGAACATGCTCTGGGAGTTGGACTAGAGAATAACAAGGTATACGATGTCCCATTGAAATCGTCAACAAAAAGGCATCGTTGGGAGACCCGGCAGCCAACCGAGCGAGATAACATACGTATAGCCAGTCCACCTCTTAACTAAGCGATGGAAAACATAATGGTTCTCAGTAATCCTTCAGATTACATTGTATCATATCAATATCTCCCGCCTATAACTTCCAAGTCTGCTTCTTCCAGTACAGGATTATTCAGTCTCCCGGCCCCCTTCGGCACCGAACTCGTCCCAGCTCCCGTTCTGCCACCTCCTATCGTCCAGCTTCCCCAACTATCACTGTCCCGTGACTCCCTGGCACAAGTCTCCGTCAAATCGCGTAGATCTCTTGACTCTTTCCCCAAGAAGACCCCTCGCGCAGGATTCCGCGGCGGCACCCATCCATTGCCGATGGCGAGGCTGAGAGTGCTGTGACTCTCCTCATGCTGCCTATTCCGGAATAGCGGCACTGATCTCGAGGGAATCCGAGCTGGTGGGGGAGGCAGTGATCGAGTCGGTGGTGGGCCGGGGCACACAAGGTCAGGGATGTGGAGCGGTCTGTCATGGGGACGAGCAGGCCGTGTCGGCGACGATGGAACGAGATGCGGAAACGAGTCCGAGATGTTGGATATCGTGGTTGCGGTGCGGCCGCTCACAGCGCTGCTCATGCTTGCTGTTTTTCCAGGGCTTGAGGTGCCTGAGAAGGCGCTTGGTGGACGAATCCCATAGTAGGGCTTGGTTGAGCGGTCGAACCTTGGCGGGCATTTGCTCGCTGTCGGTGAGGAGACAGTGGTTGACGAGAAAGGGCTTGCCTGCGCTGCGGACGCGCCCAGCGGCGTTATATGAATGGGGACTTTGGTTCTTGGCTTCCCCGGACTGAGAGGAGTTGGAAGGAGTTTACGTTCTTGGAGACGCGGCGGTGGTACTAGCAGAGTGTGGATAGCTCCATGCGCCGAGCGCATAGATGGCATATGGGGAGTGGATGAGCTGGCCTGTTGAACATTTGGGTATTTGCTATCGTCCCTGAGGCTTTTTTTGTATCCAATGCGTGTGCGGCGGCGGAGGAGACATATCGTGAAAGCCAGGATCGCAAAGAAGGCCACGCCAGAGGCGGCTCCGATTGTGACTTTGGAGGCCATTGACAACCCAGCGTGTCGACCTTCCTGATTTTGGTTCGACTTTGAACCGGGGACGCCTGGACTCTTCATTGTCGAGGTCGTGGTCTGTATCGAAGACCTAGTGGCGACTGATATAGACGCTGTAAGTGTTGTTAAGTCTGGATTGGGTGTTGCCAACGAGTTGGTGTTGGTCGAGATGGGTCCTCTCGCATCTGTCATCATGAATGGTCTCGGGCATGGGTCACCGAGGTTGTCGTTGGATGAGATGGGACAGGCATATGCGGCTGGAGGAGGACCTGGATCTTGGATAACGACGGATCCGATGCTATCTCACGTCGTCAGTCGTTAGTTAGACGGAGAGTTAAAAGGGCAACTCACTTTTGACAGGTGTTGATGATAAAGTTGACACTGGCTAAGCATTCCGTCAAAAGCCGTCAATCGAGAAATGATTTCCTTGATCTACTTACGATCCTGACCTAAGTTCCCGTTCGACTGAACCCCACATGATACTGAGTCGCAGCAATATAGCTCCCATAGCCTACTCATTGCACCGTCTCCATTCGACAGCGCTTTACACACATCAGGGTACTTTGTTTTATCGAAGCCTGGTACTACCCTCTCAAAGAATCGGATCCGACACTTCTCGATGCACTTGGGCGGATCTGGAACACTGCTCGCGACCTTGCCCCAGGCTTTGCCCTCATCATCCGGCTCTGGATAGCAGGTATCCGACACGAAGCTCATATCGACCTCGTTCGACAGGACTGTTTTGCGGTCTCGGAGAGCCCAGGCGGTCGTGAGGTGAGTGTAACTACGAATGCGATATCTTCTGAGTCAAGCGGGTATGACATCCAGGGATCCAGAGACCAGAGGCCAAAGACCAAACCACTGAGTGTAGATGAGCCGAGGTGGAGCAATAACAGAAGAAAAGAAAAAAAAATAGGCAAAGGCGAGAAATAACGTCTCTGTTAGTTTGGCTAGATGCATGAGCTAGATTTAAATGAATTGCCAGCAACTCGATTGGAAGGCCACGCTACTGCTACATACTAATACCTTGCCCCCATACTGTTGGTTCGCACGGAAGGGGACTTGGTGACAGTGAGAGGTGAACAAAGGGGTAGAGGATCCGTTCATACATGAACGCAGTGGTCACATCGCACTGTGTATGCTTGCTGTCGGTCGAATATGACCTCGTACGGAGACCTGGTTGTACAGCAGGCAGAAAGATGGGGAGATAACTGCACGCACCCGACTGGCCATGGCCACTGTGGAAGAGGAGTTTTGGATACGGAGATTGATGTAAGTAGGGCTGCGGGTCTGCAACACGTACAGGACGTTTATATGACCATTGGCTTACATGATATGACTAAGAGTACTTGTCTACTTGATTTCCGAGTCTTTGCATATGGTAGGGGTGCAGCAAGCATCTTTGGGAAAGAATAATGGGGGCTGAGCTCTCGATATGGAATTGTTCTAGTTCGGCGTCCACCAAACAGGTTCAGATTACGAACTGTCGCTCAGCGGCTTTCAGCTCATTTCATACGGAAAAAGTATCCCTGAGATAGCATCATAGAACCTATGATTGGACCTGTGCTCACGGGGCCCTCGTGTCACGAACGGCCTTACTTCGCACGAACCCAAGAAGGAATACTACGGCGGCAGGGACAGCGGTCGGGACCCCGTCCATCCATCTGAAGGAGAAATCCCAGGGAGACTGCGGAAAAAGCCATTGCCTTTTTTTTTTCTTAAGTATGGTCTTTTCTGGGAATGGGTCGTTGAGTAGTTCACTAAGCCAATACGGGCTAGGTGTTGCCCTGTCTTCCGTTTATGTGAACCTTGGAAGGTGGCACAACCTGCCCGGGGTCGTATAGCTGGTGCTGAAGAACACATGCCAAGATATTATGAGGATGGGACCCAATAAGTTTCGATAGTAAGCGAGTTCATACGGTCCACTGTGACACTCCCACGAGATGTCTTCCGGGGTGAAGCTAGCGCTGTGGCACTATGAACCAACTCGGATATATCCTCCTTTGCATGTGCTCAGGGCCCGTACCTGGTGACTCTTAACCTCTAAAGTACCTCGAAATGCGGAAATCATGTATACGGAAGCAGTGTACGTTTGTATAAGCTCACTTCCATGGCGTGGAGAGCAACTAGCGATTTAGGCTAGCAGTCCGTAGCAGAAGGCTGTTTAAGAAAAGGTTGTGTTTGGAACCCTTTTGTAAATATTCAGAGGCGCTGTGTGAGGACTGCCAATGTCTGGTTTTAAACCAAGAATAAGAAGGATTTCATCTTCAAGTCTGAGAACCTTACGTCTTCTGGAAGTCTGGGCATTGGCTCATAACCGGTTGGTGTCCGGGTCAACACAGCGGAACCATGCCCTCAGCCGCCATACAAGGATCATTCGTATTTCTGTCCTAGGCCTGCCTCGTAGCAAATCAGTTAGTAACAGTCTGCGCTAAGGATATAAGAGAACCTTCTGTCTCAATCGGCGGCTTTGCCTGAAAAGGGGAATGTTGCGAATGGCAGGAGTGACCGAAACTTTTGCACCTTCAAATTTGATCTCTGCTCAACCGACTTGTTTGCCGATTAAAGAGAAAGAAGGGTGCTGGGAGATTGGCAGCAGCGCGCCATATTTTTGCCGAAGTAGGACCGTAAACTCGTCGGGGAAATCTTCCGTGATGTTTGCTTTGGGCGCTCGAGTCTAACACTGGCGGGCTTCGACGACGAACCTTCGTTGATGTGACGCGCCATTTGGTGAGATCCAACGACGGAAGGCATCAGGGGTTTCTGGGCAATCTGAAGACATCTGAGCAGACTCAGACTCACGAAGGTCAACATCGACTTGGTATCGGTAAGATTTGTAGCGCTGATTTCTAGCGCTGGCAAGAAGTGCTGACCCCCCTAGGCAACAATCACCGTGGGTGGTGATGGAGGCGTTGCTCGTCGCTTCCGCACGTGTGTGGATATTCTCTAAGAAGTGAGGTCACATCAACGGGTTGAAACCCCGGGTTTAATGGCATAATATGGGCGGGTTGGTTGTGTTCCCATGAGGTTTGATACCGCAAAACCCTATGAAAGTAGTCAACCGCCAGATGATAGGCGGCCACGCAAGTGTTCCAGTCAGCCAAACGAGTGGTTCTGGCGCAAAACGTATGAAAGTGTGAAGAATAGCGGTCAGAAGATGATGCGCCTTTTCGGGATGTTGCAGAAAGTTCGCAATCATGTCGTTTGCTTGCTGGGTCTCGCCCGGTTATATCATCAAGGGCGCGTGGGCTTCTCATTCGTCGTCAAGGCGACAGCACCTTGGCCGCTGCAGCCTCCCGTGGTTGCCATTGTAGACAAGGCGAGGGAATCTAAATAAGAGGTCATAATGATCTCGGTAGATTTAGCGATGTCCATGTTGCTCCGGCTAGTCGCGGGCGCCAAGTAAGCCAGTCCATGACGGTCGTGGAACTCCAATCTGGCCTCTTCAGCTCCGGAACGGAGTTGGCGATCCGTCCTCAGGCCGCCGGGTTGCCTGGCTCAAAGCTATTCGACGAAAATATTGGTCGTATGTCCTCGCATGTCCTCGTATGTCCTTGCCGTTGGCTCCAGAGGTTGAAATTGGACGCGGAACATGCAAAGTGAAGACACAGCAAAATGGGCTGATAGCAGAGGACTTGCGAAGTGGAGAGTCGACAGCGGGCGAAGAGCCCCGGGCCGACCGGGGAACCATTTCCGGCAGGTCACCCGCTAGCATCTGGGGTAGCCCCGCCAATCGCGTACCGTCATTTGGCGGGGGTGGGCTTTGAATCCCGGCGAGCCTCGGCCCAACTCCCTCGTTCCAACCACCTATCTCTCTCTCTCTCTCGCACCTCACATCTTGGAGCTTGAGCTTCTGGTTCCTCAAGCGTCCGTGTCACGCTCGCCTCCACCCTTTCCGATATCTTCAACGACCAGCTGCGCCACTAACCTGCATAGCATTGTCCTTTCTTGTGGACATCTCGACATCTCTTCTCGAAACCTGCCACGCAGTCTCTTGGTCAATTGATCTCTCACTTTTTATCTATCTGTTAATCCAAACTTCACCATGTCCGACAAAGCGCAACAAAGACTCCAGGCTCTGGGCAACCATCTGGATGCCCCTCCGCCCGTCAAGATTGCCGGCCCCTCTGCGGCACCCCGAGTCCCGGGCAAGGTCATCATCATCACAGGTCAGTCAGACTCCAGAAGCACGCCATAAGCAATAAACGCCTCCTGTTCAAAGTGCCATCTGACGCGCTTGACCCAGGCGCGAACTCCCTCATGGGCATTGGTCGCGCCTCAGCCCACCAGTTTGCTGAGAACGGCGCCCGGGCAATCTACATTTGCGACTACGCCGATGACAACCTCGAGTCTCACAAGAAAGAGCTCAACAAACTGTACCCCAAGGTCGAGGTTCACACCCGCAAATTCGACGCCGCTGAGGAGAGCGCCGTCAAGGAAGTCGTTTCTCACGCCATCACAACTTACGGTAGGCTAGATGTGTTTTTCGCCAACGCCGGCATCACCGGCCCGCACAACGTCTTTACCGACATCACTGAGGAGGACTTTATGAAGACTCTGCGAACCAACGTCTTGAGGTGAGTTTTTTTTGGGGCGCGACCCGACGTCCCATACGGCCGCTCTCATGCTGAGTCATCTCCAGCGTCTTCCTCGCCGCCAAGCATTCAGCCCCCGCCATGGGCAAGACGTCGGCCGACAAGAAGACGCCCGGCGGCAGCATCATCCTCACGGCCTCCGTGGCCGGCCTCCGGTCCAACGCCGGCACGACGCCCTACTCCGCCGCCAAAGCTGCCGTCGTCTCCATCGCGCAGACCTGCGCATACCAGGCCGCCGGCTCCAACGTGCGCGTCAACGCCATCTGCCCGGGCCTCATCGAGACGGGCATGACGTCGCTCATGTACGACACGGCCCGCGCGCGCGGCACCCAGAGCAAGATTGGGCAGATCAACCCGATGAAGCGCGGCGGCCACGCCGACGAGATTGCGCGCGTGGCGCTCTTCCTCGGGAGCGACGAGAGCAGCTACGTCAACGGCCAGGCCTGGGCGGTGGACGGCGGCTTGAGCGCGGGACATCCGTATGTGGTTGGAAAGCTTGCGTGAAGAGCGTGGAGCGAATACTTTTCTCCTCTTGAGCTGTTTTGTATGTGTACTTATGCGGGCGACAGGCATTTGTTTGAATACATAATATCTCCAGAGGGGAAGTTTGAAGGAGTCGTGCCCGCATAGAGCATGTGATGAGCACGCACGAGGGCCTATGGAGTTGACCGGTGTGGGCAGCCGAGGCTCCGGTGGCGCTATCTAGGGCCGGTCGCACATAGATTGGAAGGAGGTAAAATCAGCAAGGGTGAGTTCTGGTCTTGAGGTCCTCGAGGTGGACTGCAGTGAGATGTCTGAAAAGTCATTGGGCACGCTAGGAGACGGAGAGGAGGAGCACAGTTACATTGGCCCTCTCGATCTACAGGACCTTGATAGGGATCTCCAACGAGCTTGAACAAGTTCGGACGCCATTACCACTTTCCGTCCTCGATGTCATGTTCTTATGCCTCTCTGGTGGATGACCAGACAACCATATCACATCTCCACTGTTTCCCTCCCGGGCCAACAACCTAGCTGCCGCTTCCGCATCGCCAAACAAGGCCGTTCATTATAATCGGTTGCATCCTCATTCGCTGGTGACGCGGCCAAATAGATTGCAATCCCACACTTTCGAGGATTAGCCGGGCCTTGACAATCAAGCATAAGCAAACCGCTCTAGCTTCTCTGCATAGCGTGGGTGATGGAGGCTCCCGGCGGTTTCTCCACAATCAAGACTACGGCACCGGGGATCGCCGCCGGCGGAATCCAGCATCTTCTTGCCCTCTCCTTCCCCTCCGCTCCCCGTGCGAAGCGCTAAAACATGAAACCGAGCAAAACCGAATCACCAGACACGTCTCGATGTTTTTGGTCAGAAATCTCTTGCCACAGGGAATGGTCGCGTAATGAAGCGACATTGCCCTCCTTCCCTCTTCATCTTCGGGCTCCTCCCGTTGTGCGTTTCTTTGGCGCTTTGCAGGAGCCCCATCATGCCCCCGTAACCCTCCCCCCCCCTGGTCTCGGCCGAGCCACGTAACCAACCCAACATGGCCGCCCACATCCCGATGCGCCATCCACGTCCCAAACCGCCGCCCCCCGGGACGGGACCCACCCAGACAGATGCCCCGATCCTGTACCTTGCTCACAAACCACAATGCGCGGAACAGAGGTCCTCAGCCTGGCAGTCTGTCCAATGACCCGACGCGATGCAATCAGAATTGGGTTCGACTTCATTGGGTGACATTAGATGATGGCTGTCATCCGCCTCCGGACGTGAACGACATTCCCTTTTCAGGTCGCTCCCTTGCGGTACGCGGGGTGGCGGACGCAGGTTCTTCCCTGCAAGCCTCCCGGAGGGGCCAACGAACAAGCGGCCTCGAAATAACCTTCCTGTGGCTAGAGCACGCTTCACTCCGCCCCTGATACTCCGGTTGAAGCAACGTTGGAGGGAGATGACGACGGTGTCTCGCGAAACGCCCCTGGGAGTGAGTGTGGGAATTCGCGCGTCTTGGCGTTGTCACGAATGTCGCTGCTATTTGCGTGCTTCGTGCTCAATCTTCGTGCTGCTCTAGGCAAGGTGGAAGACGGGATTCCGCAGCGACAGGACAACGCCAAGACGTCGACGTGAACAGTATCAAGAAGGAGAAGAGAATACCATGGATCATGAGAATGCCAAGACGGATAGCAGTATAAGAAGGGGACAGGTTTCCTCCAAGAAGATGAATCCAGCTCATCCTCCTCACCAGGCTCTTCATCTCTACCATCCTTTGCTCCCATAGCCTGTCCCCGACCCTTCGCCGTCTGCTTCAGTCGCGAACACTCCTCGTTCTTCTTTCCAACCTCATCATGGCGCTCCGCTCCGCTCTCGCGGCGGCCCTGGCCCTCTCCCCCTTCTGGGATCCGTTGCGGCTCACGGCAACCACTCCCCCGAGGAAATAGCTGCCGAGCTCGCCCTTCGTGACGTTGTGACTGCTCATGGCAGACGCGCCCTCGACGCCTGCTCCAACTCCCCCGCCGCCCTGGCCCTCAAGCAGCGTGCCCTCGAGCGCCGCGCCGCGACCGCCAAGCAACTCCGCGAGAAGCGCGGCCTCAACGACCAGAAGATGCGCCAGAAGCGTACCCAGGCCGACCTGGAGTCCTGGTCCGCCATCAACCACGAGTCTACTGAGGACTACACCCTCGACACCCCTCTTGATACAATCTTTGGCTCCAACGCCACCTGCGCCCTCGTCCCGGAGACCACCATCGGCCCTTACTACGTCGAGGGTGAGCTCATCCGCACCGACACGACTGACGGCCAGGCCGGTGTGCCCGTCCACCTGGACATCCAGTTCGTCGACGTGACGTCCTGCACCGCCGTCTCCGAGCAGCTCATCGACGTCTGGGCCTGCAACGCCACGGGTGTCTACTCGGGCGTCTCGGCCCAGGGCCAGGGCGGTCTGAACACGACCCACGGCCGCGGCGTCCAGCAGACCGACTCGGACGGTGTCGTGCAGTTCGACACAATCTTCCCGGGCCACTACACTGGCCGTGCCACGCACATCCACATCATGTCCACCGACGGCGCCGAGATCCTCCCCAACGGCACCTTCGAGGGCGGCACCGCGCGCAACATCGGCCAGCTCTTCTTCGACCAGAGCCTCATCTCCGAGGTCGAGACCCTGGCCCCGTACATCACCAATACGCAGACTCTCACCACCAACCTCCAGGACAGCATCGCGGCGGACGAGGCCACGGCCGCGTACGACCCCTTCCTCAAGTACGTCAGACTCGGCGACGACCTCAACGACGGCCTCCTCATGTGGATCACCATCGGTATCAACACCACTGCCAACTACAACGACAATGTCAGCGCTGCTGCCCACTACTACGAGGGTGGCGGCGTCGACCAGAGCGGTGGTGGCGGCCCTCCAGGCGGTCCTGGCGGTCCCGGCGGTCCTCCCGGTGGCGCCCCTCCTACTACTTGTATGTCTCCTTTTCCTTCTGGTGCCCCTGTCGATACTGGCTCAGTCCAGCCCGCCTCTGCTACGTCGTTATCCCGCTAACCTCCATCGCAGCAGCAGCAGCTTAAAGGCAGGGTTTTCTCGAGAGATTGCTAAAGTCCCTTAATTCCATGACGAGCTTGGCTAATGTACACAAGAGTGTGAAGAGAGATATGTGGTTGGTTATTGTAGTGGCGACTAGGTTGAGTTGGGTCGAGCCAGGTAGATATTGAACTGAAGAAAAGGGGTGATCTATAATTTTTGCATGTGGACACACGTTGCTATTGCGTCGTATCTGCTCCTCAGGTGAACCAGTCGTATGACATGTGTCTGGCTTAAGCCTAAAACACGACTTCTTGTGCATTCTAACAATATCAAACGCCTTGCGTTGCCTCGAAGATAGCTCATGAGTTCAGTATCTCAAAGAGGCCCATATGAGTAACCACGGAAGACTTGAGCCGTGTTCAGCCCTTCCACCTCTCCCGTACGGGAAACCAATGCAAGGCGTAACTTCGGAGCGGTAAAGGTATAGCCACGGAGAAAAGTTTGAGTACATGGCGGTTCATCATTGTAAACTGTGAGGTGGATGAAGAAAATGATGAGGTAAAGCGAGTCAACCATGATGAGTGGAGAAAGGCGCAACTGAGATAGCTCTTGGCAGTAGGTTGCTGCTGAGGGGCTATCTGATGTGCATCCCGGAGGAAAACGATGCTTACATTCCACTTTAATCGTTCCATCTTTATCTTTCTAACATCATTGAGTGTGTGGTCTCGGCTCAATTACACTGTGAATCGCTACGGAGTCAGAGCACGGAGCTATCGCCGGCAGGACGGGATCGCCGGCGCTATCGCGGGCCGCCGAACACGTACTCCTCCCCCGCAACCCACATCGGCCCCACCAACAGGAAACACCCTCCGACATGACGTCCCCGCCGTCCACTCAACACTGAACAAAACAAAACCCCCTTAAATCAAAAAGACGGCAACTCGCAACGTCTCACTTTTGAGGGAACTTCACTTCATCTTATCCTCACTCAACTCGACAAAAAACACTGTTCGGAATGGCGACCACGGCCATGCACTACGCCCACTGCGGCGCCAACGACGGCTGCAGGCTCGCCTTCCAGTCCTCGCTGCCCCTCACCGGGGCGGCCTCCGTAACGCAGTGCGTCGTCCTCATGCACGGCTTCAGTGGCTCGAGCGACTACTTTTACCGCAACTTCGACGCCCTCGTCGCGGCGGGCCTCTGGGTCGTCGCCCCGGACATGCGCGGCCACGGCAAGTCGGACCGCACGCGGGGCGGGTACCACGTCGCTCGCCTCGCCGCCGACCTGCACAACCTCGTCGCCCACCTGCGCCGCGCCGCGCCGGACGTCAAGTTTGTACCCGTGGGCTGCTCCATCGGCGCCGCCGTGCTCTGGACCTACGTTGAGCTGTTTGGGTGCGTCGACTTTGCGGGCTTCGTCTTTGTCGACCAGGCCCCGCTGCAGGACCGCTCGCCGTTTGACGGGTGGGACGAGAGCAAGGCGCACACGGGGTGCTACGACGAGAAGAGCATGCTGGCCGCGCAGCAGTTCTGGATGAACGAATCCGCGGCCGCGCACGTGGACCTCGTGGACGGGTGCTTGGGGTACCGGGCGAAGCCCGACCCGACCGACAACGTCGCGCCCGAGACGAGGGAGAAGGACGAGGCCTTCTTCACGGGCATCAGCGCGCTGTGCGACCAGGCGTGGCTGGCGCGGCTGCTGGCCGACCACACGCGGTACGACCACCGCGAGGCGATTGAGATGATTAGCGTGCCGACGCTGGTCATGGCGGGGCGGAGGTCGGGATGTTTCCCCCTGGAGGGCATGCTCGAGACGGTGAAGCGGGTGGAGAAGAACCGGCCCGGCCTGGCAAAGGCGTCGGTGTTCGAGTCTGGACACTGGTTGTTTTATGAGGACCCAGAGAGGTTCAACCGCGAGATTGCTGAGTTTGTGGATCAGTTTTCGAAGTGAGGGGCGGTTTAGAAGGGCTGTAGAAAATGGGAGGATAGGTTGATCTATTGGAAATAAGAAAGACTTGCATGAAGAATTAAGCAGATGGCTCTTGTTCTTTGGCATGAGAATATCAAGGAAGTCCGGCTTGAGTGAGATGTTAACGTATGGAAAGGGCTCCCGACTCGATTGAGAAACACAGAAGCTATAAGCACCCACTGGATCATTTTGTCTCTCATTAGTCACTGGATAATTCTTTGAGGCGTACACACGGTCGTGTCCTCTCAAATGTAAACTTCGTCCCCTTAAACAGTAACTGCACAAGAATGAGGGGAGGATATCAAGTCCTTACTGGTGATCTGCCGCAGACTCTTAGGCAAGGGGCCTCCACAACGACAAGCTGGCAATGCAGGCCAACGTCACTGCTCCAGAAAGAAGCAGTGCCAAATCGAGGATAGGGAGACAGCGATAATCTCTATTTGATTACCGACTGTGTGAGTGAAATTCAAAGTCTCGTCGCCTGCGACCGACCCGGCTGTGTCCCCAGGTCCAAATCGGCACTCTTGGTCCATAGTCTTGGTAAGGTCGGTGCAACAGTCCATCACAAGAACACAAGCCTTCAGAGAAACTGGCGCAGATGTCCAAAACGAGGAATCAAGGTTTGTGAATTTGTGCAGAAGGCCTATGCTATATGTTCATCACCGACATCTCGTGCACCCCATCAAGCATCATCCTCGAGTCCGACCAACTTCAGACTCTCCGTCCACAGCCTCTTTTCGGTTGCGGGGTCGTACGCAGACGGCGCATACCCGGGCCTGGCACTCCAGCCCTCAGACGCAACCTTGTCGGCCTCGGCGACGTCGTCGAGGTACTTGCCGCCCTTGCCCTCCCACTCCTTGGCGACCGCGGCCCAGACGGATGTCGCGGCGCCCTGCTCGGGTGTCTTCATCCACTTGCCGATCTCCGGGTCCTCGAGCTGATCCAAGAGCTCGGGCACGTGCCTCTGCAGCGGCGTCCGGATGCCGCCAGGCATAAGGCTCAGGGCGTGGAGGCCTTTGGAGCCGTAGCGGCGGTCGAGCTCGTTGGCGAACAGGATGTTGGCGAGCTTGGCCTGGCCGTAGGCCGCGAAGGGTTTGTACTCGACGGTATGGTCGAAGTTGAAGTCTTCAAACTGGATCCTGCCCTGGCGGTGGGCCGATGATGAGACGGAAACCACGCGGGAATTGAATTCAGGGGTCGAGGAGGCCAGAAGGGTCGGCTTCAGGAGCTGGAAGAGAAGGAAGTGGCCTTGTCGGTGTTAATGGTTATCAATCTTGCGAAAGGAATAGTCATGCTTACCGAGGTGGTTGGTCCCGAACTGAGTTTCGAATCCATCGACGGTCTTTCCCTTGGGGCAGGCCATGACGCCTAGAAGAGTGGATTAAAAACCATCTGAGAATATGGTCGGAGTGCACTTGGCTTACCAGCATTGTTGATGAGCACATTCAACTTGTCAGACCTGCTCAAAATCTCCTTGGCACCCCGTCTCACACTTTCAAGGGAGCCGAGGTCCAATTCAATGACCTCGACCTTTCCGGGCTTGCCGTCAGAGAGAATGTCTTTGGCGACTTCCTCGCCCTTGGCAACATCACGGGCGGTGATGTAGACGTCGGCACCGGTGACGTGGAGGGCTCTAGCGGTCTCGGGGCCAATGCCGCCGGGGGAGCAGCCGGTAACGACGACTACTTTTCCGGCCCATTTCCCGACGAGGTCTTGGTCTTCAACGACTTGAATGGCAGTAGGACGGGCATCTCCGGGGCCGGTGACGTGCTTGTGCTGTTCAGCATAGGGAGCCAGACGAGACATTGCGGTGGGTGGGGAGTGATGATGTCTGTAAGAGGAGGGTTTGCTAATGAAGGCGTATTGGTAGATGGATCGCGTTTGAGATGAGAATGCGGGTGCGATTCTTTTATGCAGGCAGAGGAAGAACAGCATGCTGCTGGAATATCACAAACTTGTTGATGGCCGTGGACCATGGAGCTATATATACGGAATGAACGCGGCCGCAAGCACCGCATTCCTGTCCCTAGGTTGCCAGTAGCTATGAACCGTGTGATGCCATTGGACGGAATTCCGGAGTTAGACTCGAACACTTGCAGCTTCGACAGGGCCAACCTCGAAGACTTACCTGATTGGACGGGCACGTCTGTCATAGACTGGATTGACGCAGAATGTCGTGCTTAGGCACGGGTCACGTGTTGGCGTACATGGCCTGCTGCGACGGACTGGACGGTCCATGTGCGGCCACCGACCCGCAACGCGGCCGCTTCGCCCGCGTGTTGTATTCATCACCAAGAAGCTAATGCGGGATTCGAGGGGCGTGGAGTTAAGAGTGCGGTCTCCGGCGGGCAGATGAGGTAATCAGGCCGGCAATAAGGCATGGTGATTGCTGGGGGAGGGAAAGCACGGACGACTCTACAGAAACCTCGACAACAAGGCACGTGACCATGAGATTTAGGTTCGGCTCCGGAGGCTCGTGCGTCATTGGTCCCCACTCTCATCGTCACGCCAATCCCGTCCGATATGTTCCCGAGATGGCTGCACCGACCGATTCAATCGCCCGTGCTGCTTGCTGGCCCAGCTGTCGTTGGAGGCGTTGGTGCCTTTTGTGACAGATTCAGCCCGAGGTTGTCAGAGCCTCCAGGCCAGTCTCGGGTTGACGCCGAGGCCGGTGTCGCGCGTGATTGGGACACATGGAGGAGGAGGAGGAGGAGGAGAAGAGCGCACCCCTGCCATTGCCCACTGCCCCTACGCATTGAGGCTGTTCTTCTGTAGCGGTCATGGATGTGTCCCAGGGCTGTGCAGAGCAGGGCGAAGCCTCAGCGTGCCGATTTCCAGGGACCACGGGCCAGTTTTAGCACGCCTTCAGCCGCTGCCCGGGGGGGTGTGAGCGGCTGTCAAGACCACCAGTTGTATACTAGCTCGCTGATATTCGCCTACCGCACCTGGACATCTCGGTTGGCTAATCGAAACGACATAGAGTAGAGGACCAACGACGTCAAACTGCCTTTACTTTTCTGCCGCAGGTGGTACGACTCGGGCCCATAGTGCGTAGTGACATGGAAACACCACCGCGGCTGTTCATCTCCGCGCTGATTCAAGTGCTTAGGTACTTGCTTGGTTTGTCGAGCCGAACCGGCAAGGATGGGACTTGGAGTTTTGTCCGTTGAGATTCAGATGGGTTCATCTTACGAATTAGTTGCATGTCACTTCTGACAGTTGATCATCATCGAGGCCCGGAATGGAAAGCTCCCAATGGTAGATATTGCTGTCTGAGGCGTCCGGGTTGCCGATTACCAAAAAAGACACCGATTGCCATTTCCCCATCCATCAAATGTCCATGTTCTGGGTTTCGGTGCCCAGGCCGTGGCAGCTACGGCGGTAGGTGCACTTTGCCCCTAACAGAAACTCTAAGATACCGTAGAATTGCGTTAGAGCTTTCCCCGCAGGCCCCCCCATTCGCCGCACCAGTCGTCCCAGCATTTGCTTGCTCCCTGGTCCGGACCCCCCGTTCGGACCCGTTCCCTTCCAAGTCCCCTCACCCTTCTCAGCACCTCTTCCTGGTCACGGCCGCCAATCCGGGTCGAATCAAAAAGACGATCCAGAAAGCTTCATTGTTTTGAAGATGAAGGTGCCGGTTCGTTGGCTCCCGTGCCCTCCGCCGTTGCACATCTACTGGTGTACGGGCAACCAACCCCAAAAAAACAAAACAAAGCACAAACCTCTCCGAATCTCGCCCAGACACCGTTATTTGACACGCAAGCCATCAAGACCACTCGCCCCCAAAAAAGAAGCATCTGCATCTTTCGCCCTCCGCAGTGGCTCAAGGAAGAGAGGCTGTACTACACCAGGCCCCCAAAGTACACTACACACCCCTTGTACCGATCCTCTCGTCTCCCTGCTGCCCCCCAAGCAGGCAAGCAATCCACAGCTCAGCGGCTGAGCAGCAAACGACCCAATCATCGCCGACATCAACACACCCAAGTGTGAAGCGAGTCCATCCCACACAGGCGCAAACAGCCGCCATTCTGAGAGCCTGGTCTTTTGCTGTGCACTGCTCGCTAGAACAAGAGGAGCAGGAGCCTCGACATCTTACATACATCTCATCGTGCGTGTGTGCGCACATGAGAAGCTGAGTGTACGCCCAGGAAGACTCTCCCCTCGAAACAAGAGGCGGCTGACAAAAGAAAGACGAGGATAAACAGCATCACACACACAAGGACGGAGGGGTAAAACAAAGCTGCGGACGTGTGTACACCCAAGTCGCATAATCCACTTGTTGGAGCAGTCCTCCTCCACCGCCAACACCAGCCTCCAGGTATACATTCCCTCTACCCAAGGTACGGCCCATCCGTACATCAGCAGCCTGCTGCGGTCTCTTCTCATTCCCTCTCAATCGCCAAGCCGAGTGTGCCACTTGCGCGACTCCATTCGTAATCTACCGCTCTTCCAGAGCTTCCCTGGCCTTGTCTGACCGAGGAGCCCGACCTGTGCTGCTGGGCCTGCTTATTCTTGCCTTGGGAAGATCGATGCAGGAGCGAAAATAAGCTGCATCAGCCCGGATTGTATGTATCCACTCAGAGCTAAGGTACCCTGATTTCCCGGCTCACCTTTTGCTGAGGTACACAGCTTCTGCGATTTTCCTTGGTCCGGACTGGGGTTCTGTTCTGTCTGCTCGTCACTGTTTCTCGACTCTTCTTCTTCTTCTACCAACCCGCCCGCACTCCAACAACCGCCGCCCCTTCGGTTACCTCCTCCAGACTCCGGGACAGGGCGCCGCTTCTCCAACCCCTCCGACCTTTGCGCCAACGTCCCATCAACGCCCATCTCGACGCCGGACTGTGCACTAACCCCCCACAGCGCCCCGACGACGCCAAGCACAGGGCTACCAGCCGACTGCGATCCGTTCATGTAATGCCGTCGCTGGGCCTTGCGCTCTGCTCTTCTTGCTGCCGCTGCTGCTGCACGTCCCCGACAGCTTGGACGCAACTGTCTCGACCCCACACCCACCAGGCGGCAACGCGAGCAGCGCCTAAGACGCACGACTGCCGCCCACCGACACACATGAGAACCTCACCTCCGCCATCCGCCAAACGCCCTCGCCGCTCCCACGCCGACAAGAGACACTCTTTCGCATCTCTGGCGACTCAGCCAGCATGGCCGCCTTCGTGAGGGTTTCTGGTCCGCCCAACAGCAGCTTTCTGGTCGGCTACCCGGGCATCTCTGCGACGCTAGTATGTGTGCTCCCTCCATGATGACGTCGGGGAGGCTGGAGTCTGTTCGACGCTTTGCGCAACGCTGCTGACGTGTTTCCTTGCTTCGTGATCCAGCCCCGAATCGAAGGCAAAGTCGAGATCCGTCCGTCACAGGGCTTTTCCATGCCCGTCGCCGTTTCGCTGGTGCGCATTTGTCTACAGCGCCGAGAAACGATCCACCCCGCCGCCGAGAATGTCGCGAAACGACACCTGGGTACACCGAGACGGGAGACCACCGACGTAGTCGGCAAGGAGCTGCTACTGTTCCGATGCCAGTCCGGGAAGGAGGCCGAGAGCGTCATTGCGATGGATCTGCCGTTTGTCCTGTTCATCCCGTTTGGAAGAGGCGGCGAGGAGACGAACCGACGAATACCCCCCGCATCGCTGCAGCTCCCCAGCCGGACCGCCGAGACGTACTACGAGCTTGTTGTTACCGTGCAGCAAGGCCACACTCTCCAGAACAAATACTCCTTCCCCATACCGCTGCAGCGATACGATACCTTGTCGACCTTTGGCATGTACAACAAGCCCGAATCGCGCCAAGTCAGCGACGCGAGCGTGGTCACGTTGGGCATCTCGGTTCCCAAATGGAGCTACGGCCCTCTCGACCCAATAACAGTGTACATCAAGCTGGTCCCGAACCCCGACTGGATGAAGAAGGCTTTGAAGGTCACCATTCAGAAAATCACCGTCACCATCGAGGAGGAGATTACCTACAATCCCGAAGGCGACGAACCGTCGAAAAAGGTCAACAAGGTCGCAAAGAACACACAGCTGGTGAACACGAGAATGCCCGAGGCAGGATACGCTACAAATCTTGGGCTGGTGTTTCCCTCCAAGGACCTGCGCGACCCGGACGGCATCATTCGAAGAGGAAAGCCCGCGTTCCCCCTCTACGAAGTCACCTCCTTCACCACGAGCTCAACATTATACAAGATTGAGTTCTACCTGACCGTCAAGGTGAGATGATTTGATAGTCCTTTGCGAACCATTCACTAAAACTCACAATCGCGTAGGCGCAACTAGGTTCTACAAAAGACTTAACCGTTCGGCAACCGCTGGTCATCTGCCCGATGGACCAGCAAGCATGCAAGGAGGAAATGGACGCCATCGAGCAGGCCGCCAAGGATGCCTCGCATGTCGACCCCAACAACCCCATGCTCCCAGCCCGCTCGATCGTGTTAGCGAACGACCGAGAATCAATGAAGACGCTGGGTCTGTGCTTGGTGGCAGGGCAGAAGAAGCCGTTGATTGAGTGAACGACACCGGAATCGCACAGAGTTATTGTACGAATTGAGTGGCGGGAAGCCTTGGCTTCAGGCTGCGGGGTATGAGACCAGCTGCACATGACGGCCGGCGATCTACCCCGGAACGGCGAGCCGAACCCGATTCGGCTTGCGGATGGAAATCCATCTTCCCTGTTGCAGCACCGGATCCGCGGAGCTACTGCCGTGACGAGCACAGGCTATCGGATGCTGCTGTCGGCGTCGACCAAGGCGACCAAGGCGGCCAACGAGGCGAGGAAAGCGGTGGGAAAAGAGCATGGGAGAAGCGGAAGCTCGGGTCTCTGTCTATGCCCGGAACAGGAGTATCCAAGGAACGATGCCCTTGGCGAGTGGTCCTTTACGGTTCACCCACGGACCTGCGCGTCGGCGTTTATACCACGCGGGTTATTCGGCAGAGCGGGACGGCATCATCACGGCACGGCGTTGGCATGGGTCTTTGGCCGAAAGGTTAGTCGGGGAGACCAACATGGTCGGGATCCTTCAGCATTTTTGACGGAGCAACGTTTGGAACGAACACTATATCACGAGATGACGAACTTGGGGAGAAGGTGGTGGTGGTGACGTGTGAGTTGCCAAGGGGAGAGAAATTTTTTGTGCTTCGATGCTGTACATATTACATGCGAAGAAGGGATTAGGAAGATGAGCAACCCGGGTGTGAGAATCTCACCCCATCTGACACAACTGACTGCGCCAGTTGCCCTAATGGTGATCAACCTGTGTGTCACCATGACAGAAGCTGAGTGGGGTCAAACACGTGATGAGTAAACGAGAGCTATGAGAGAGACGAGACTCGTACATTCGCGGGTTTTGTGTGGGCAATTGGGCTTTCCTCCAGAAAGCAAGTGACAGCAGATGACATCTTGTCCCGTCCTTCAACATTGCAGCGCCATAATCGACCGAGGGGACCGGTATAAAAATGGTCACTCCCGTGTTCATGATGGAGGCACAAATCTGCTGAGTACGGCCGTCGGCAGGCATCTTGCGGTTGGACTGACGTGGATGGGGCCGTGTGTGTAGCTGTGCAACGCTAGTGTTATTGGATATGAGTCCAAGAAGTATTTGGTGTTGCTATTGTTGCCTCCGATTGCCCTCATTCCAACAAGCGCACCCGACATGGCAAAGACACCTCCGTTCTGATCTTTCTGCCGAACCGGTTTGAGCAGATTGGCGATGCCGTTGGCCTTCATGCCCTGCCATCTGCGGTCAAAATGCCCAGAAAGCCCCGGACAAACATGTGAAGCAGAGAGTCTCCTTCCAGAAAGCCGTGTTGGCGACATCGACGTTCAGACCGAATCCACGTCCAAATTTTGTCCATAGCAGACTCGGTTATGGCGGGCCAAGAAACAAACCCCCTTGACGAACTCCAAGCGGAAGGCAAAGTCTATGCTCCTCTTTGTTACCCTTGTTGTAGAAACCTTGCTTGATTGAGAGATGACGCTCTCTTGGATACTATCGCACAAGGTGATCCATGAAGTTTCGGGAACAGAGTTTATCCGTGTCCATCTTGCCAGTATAGTATACCTCGACGGGCTCGGGCATCTTTACGAGATGTTAGCAACTACAGGAACCCTGCCGAGGACTCGAGATGACTTATGGCGACGCAGACGGCGGACTGGTTGCGACAGTGGCCACAGCGGTGAACGGGGCAAGTAGCGTCTTCTCCCAGGAGTTAGCACGAGCGATCACGAGCACACAGGGGCCTCATGAGTACTTACATACGACGACGCAATGGACTTTCTTGTCCAAGCCCTTCTCGGCCACTTTATAGCAGCAGCAAAAGCAGTAATTGGTGCCCGTAGAGTCTCCCAAGCCCTCAAGAGGTCCCGCAGTGTTAGACAAGTTGTAAAGAGGAACTAGCCATAGTTAATGTGATATCTTGCTAGGCCTCGTAAGCCTTTGCGGGAAGGGGAGATCGTGGGACTTGCTTACCTGATCGTGAGTGGCTAAGAAGAAAAGAAAAGAAGAGAAAACTCTAGGCTGGGGGATATGGGGGATATTTATATGGGAAAAGGGCTGCCAGGTGAGCCGTAAAGTTGGCGCTGCCTAGTAATAAATGAAGCCAAGGTGAAGTCGGGCAATTAGCAAAGAAAGGTGCAGCCAGTAGTGCCCTGGCAGTACTGGCGCGCTCATACCACTGTGAGGCACAAAGGCAGAGGTAGGGTAGGAGAGCCCGCGCGAGGCCCCGAGAGGGCCCGCTTGGTCCGATGGACTACAATTGGAAAGGGGCAGGGTTTCGCGTTTTTGTGTTTCCTTTTATTAGCTTGCAGATGCATCCATAGGCCTGATCAGACATGGCTCTGCAGTACCCAACTAAGTACAAAAGGGCACTCTAGTCAGATTCAGTCAGGACGAGAGGTCAGGATCAGCATCTATCATCATCAAGCAACTAGACAAGCTTGACATCTTCAGGACGGGCACTTAGACAGACACGGACAAATTCATTACTTAGTATTCAGCCAAGACGTGTATAAGTGACTGTTGCTTTGTTTTCCTTAAGCCTGACTAGACCCTGAGGGTCTAGGAGGGTATCCTCCTCCTCTCGAGATAACGGCACACACATGCATACCACTTAGCAACAAGGGCAATTCTGACCAGCCTGCCAGACGCGTGAAGAAGCCCTATTCAAGCTCATCCGTGGCCCTGGTCAGGCCAAGGAGCACCTAGAAAGGTCATTTCCTCACTGCCTAGACCTCGTGTTAGTCACCTTTAGTAATTGGTCACTTTAGGTGCACTCGTGACGATACTGGGACCTTGGTGTTTAGTGTGGTTTTTGTGCTAACCGCCTATTCACTGGATTCCTTTATCCCACGTAGTTTCACTATGAGGGCGATTAGCTACTCCCCTTCAGCAAGGGGATCTTGCTAACGCTTAGGGTAAACTGTAGAGGAATGCTGTACATCGTAGAAGCCTGGTTTTTAGTCCAGTAAGGCCTTGCGTTGCCCCAATAGGCCCCGGAAGGCTTTACATGGTTTTCACAGGCCCCTAACGCTGTCTTCCCATATAGTCATTTAGTTAAAGCTTAGATAGAAGTAATAAACACAAAACAATACCTCGACGGCCGTCAAGTTGATTCTTTTGGTTTTCTTTATGATGAAGAAAATGGAATTATCGCAGACCTTAGCCTTAGGTCAGATAGGCTTGCCCTCATCAAGCTCGACCTTAAGACGCTCCTTACTACGGCTAATAGGAACTGAGGACCTGTGAATGTACTAAGATAGTTTTCTAAGAAAACACAATACGTAGAAAGAATACATAGTGTGCGAGCTTTTCAGCCATCCTACAGCCAAGGGCACTTATACTTCTCAAGCATCTCCTGAATGACGCAAAATTCCTAGCATTCCCTAAAGGCATCCTTGTACTTCAGTTCTCCAATGGAGAGGGGAAGGGTGCAGAGAGGGTAGGTGTGGTGGATCCGTAGTTTGAGGAACACGGACACACCCACTTCGAAGCAGGTCCGGCCAAGGCCGCGTCCCTTCTTTAAAAATTGTAGCGGGCATTCGACCAGATGTGAGCGTCATTAGAGGGGCTGTCTATAATATAGTTTGGATGCCATTGGGGAAATGAGTCGTGTCGGCCTTTTGAAGCACGAACAATGGGCGAGGATCTGTAGCGCTTTGGGCATTCATGATTATGGCACCAGGGGTGCTGAATGCCAGGGGCATAATATTCGAAAGACAGAGTATTCGGATGAGAGGTCACACAGCCCGGTCATGTTGTCGGTGGTTGTCGGAGAGCGGAGCGGGTGCGGTCCAACCACTGCCGCCCGGCGCCGACCCGGCGCCGGCTCCTTCCGGCATGCATCTTCTTGCAACAACCCCCGAGGTAAAATGCCGTCCGGCTGCCAAGGTTTCAACGTCTCTTGTTCTTTTTAGCCGTCTACCTCCATGGCTTCCCCGCCCTCCTTTTCCAATAACTCGATGCGCCTGAGGATGCCTTCCTTCCATACCCTGTACTCCCTGCGCTTCTTCTCACTCAGAAAGTCGTACCGGTCCTGGAACATGGTGTCTGCTCCACGCACAGGCGCCTTGTATAGGTCTTCCACTTGCCGATGACTGTCGGCGATCACATTGCCCGCCTCGATAATGTCACTGAGACTGCGATACCAATCAGCCTCCAGCCAGCCGCGATCTGTAACTTCCTGAACCGCAGCGTCAAATTCCTTGGCCGTGACTGGCGCCCACCCCTCCCACAACTCGTCCTCGTCCAGTCCCTTCGAGTCCACCTCCTCCTTCGCCTTGGCAATTAGATTTAGAATACGATTCCTTTCGGGCTCGTACGTCTCGCGGTCGACCTCCTCTCCTTTCTTGAGCTTCTCGACCTGCTGCGTGACGAAGAAGTACACAGCGCCGCACAGGGCAGCCAAGTTTGCCCTCACCCATGCGTCGTGCGTCCTCCGCCCGCCAGGTACGACAATGTACTCCATGCCCGCCAGCATCGTCGGCCCGAGCTGCCGCTGGTTTGCCTCCTTGCACAGGAAGCGGATGGTCGGCTGGATCCAGAAGTGGAGGCCGGACTTGTCGGAGGGGTAGGCGGCCTTGCCAGTCGACTTTGTCGGCGTGTTGGGCCCGCTTGCGGGGTTGCCAGAGCGAAACTGCGCGAGCGATCGCTCCTTTGTGGGTGTCGGGCGGTGTGGCGTCCTGACGGGAGAGTCAACGCCGTGCCGTTGTCTGTTTCGCGGGGTACCGTTCTTGCCTGGTGTGCGGTTCAAGGCGGTGTTGGGGAGGATGTTGTCGAGGTGGCTGTAGAGGCGCTTGTAGATTCGGGGAGGGATTGGAGGCCGTGGCTCGATTGGGGGGAGGTCCAACGTGATTTTGAGTCTTGCGAGTGTCAGAAAACAGGTAGAAAAGTATTGGTTGCTTTTGGTGTGCCTACCTATCGCAAGCGATGTGTGCGCAAGCGTATAACCGTCCAATTTCTTCGTCTGCTTTGAGTGTGCTCGCCCGGTGCCTCGACTGTGCCAGCAAAGAACCCGCAAGTTCCACTAGGGCCGGCGGTAGAGCTGAGCCATGGGTCGGCATCAGCGAGAGGAGTGTCTGTTCTATGGATCGGTTCATGATGTGTGGCGTGGATTTGTTGCTCGGGCTGTGCTAGGTAGAGAGCTTTCGCCGTAGGACGCGTCGAGGACGCGTTGAGCAGCGGGAGTCCTTCTCTTAGGTGTTCCGAGCTCTATAGGTGATATCAGTTGTTTGAATGGAATTGTCGGGTCTTTTCAATGCTTCTGTGACTGATTCGGGGGATTGGTCGAGGTATAACCGAGTCCGGATGAGCTGCAAGAAAATAGTTCAAGGGCAAGATGGTGTTGAGAATGAGTTTGTTGCGTCACCCGAGGCACCACAGCACCCGAGCTTAATTAGCACGCAGCGGACCCTGGGTCCAGAATGTTTAATCCCCTGTCAGTTGCCGATCCGTGCATCTGCCGTGCCCCAAACCCCCCGAATTGGCCATGGCGGACGCCACCTGTTCCTACAAACCTTCCATGTTCTCCATTCCCCATTCCTTAGTCCGTCGCCTATAAGCTCTCTCTCTTCGTCCTCGGCCCAGCCTGTTTTTGTTTGCCCGGTTCCTGGATCTGCCCGAACCAAGCTCTTTGTTTTACCTCATCGGCGACTAGCCCTGTTGCGTACTTTGCCCAAACGTGTCTCACCTTGCCATATTCAACTGTGCTACGTGTCGTCAACAACTAGAAGCTCAATCGCATCTCGACATAGCCATCACTAGCGATCCGACAATGCATACTATCTACCTGGCAACTCTGGCGCTCGCCAGCCGCGCCCTCGCTCACGGCGGCGACCACAGCCAGAAGCCCATCGTAGACGACAACGCCGACTGGATGACCAAGCACATGGCTGGTATGTTCCTAACCAAGCCCCCCGGGTATTGTCGCCCCCAACCGTCGATCCGCGCTGACATTCCACGTTTCGACAGAGGAGCACCACATGGAGGGCTGGGACGCCGCATCCTTCTTCACCCTACACGATTACAATAGCGACGGCGTTTGGCAAGGCGACGAGATCCTCCGCACATACGGCCTCTTCGATGAGTCGAACCGCCACGTCTCCGAGGAGAAGCGCTTCGACATACTCCACAACCTCATGGAACTGTTGGACGCCAACCATGACGGTCATGTCGATCGCGACGAGTGGAACGACTTCATCCATAGCGGCAAGACGCTTCCGGATGTGGGCATGGGCCCGGGACATCACGGTGATGACGAGTACGAGTACGAGATCCACCATTGGGAGAAGTGAGTACCCGTCCATGTGCGGTAGATGACTGGAGAATCTGACGGAAGTGACATCAGGTACCATGACGAGAACACCAAGCTCGAAGATCTGACGCACCCCGAGGACATTGAGCACTTCAAGAAGCACGAGCAAATGGAGGACGAGCAGGAGAGGTTAGAGCAGCTCGATCATATGGCCGTCGTGGAGGACAACATCCCGCAAATGTTTCGGCGATCATAGTGCTTGCTCGGTTCCCCTCCGAGAAGAGATGATGTAGCGGGCAGGATAGGCTGACGACGTTGACGAGAGCGAGAGACAAAAGTGATTCACGACGGTCATGTAACACAACTAGATCTTGTAATATGTACATCAAAGACGCAGTGCCAGACATCGGGCGCGTACGTCTTGACTAATTCGACATGCTCGACCGCCGCCGTCCGGCCGCTCTCCGTCGCTGCCGCCCAGCCGTCGTACAGGCTTTGAATCTTCGTGCGTCTTGGTTCGATGTCATGGATGCCTACGTTTTCGTGGAGATGCAGCCAGCAGCCGTCAAGAGAGGTGGCTGTCATGTCCCACGCTGGTCGCCACGTGGGCTCGCTGGTCGGGAGCAGTCCGCCATTGACGTGTAAGATATCGACAGCAGTGCCCGAGGCACGGATATCTGCTATCCTGACCGTGGCTTTCTGGTTGTCTTGGAGGAAGACAACGATCTGCTCATCACCTGTGAGAAGTTGCGCGGCAGGCTGCTCAAGGTCGTCATCCTGGACGACCTTGACCTGCCAACCGTTGGCGACGGCACCGCGGCGCAAGGCCTCAACGCTCCATGGGTTCAGCTCCCAGCAGAGGACCCTCAAGCCGAGCTTTGCGTAAGAGAAGGTAAAGTAGCCGATACCGGCGTATAAGTCCACCGCCCAATGGTTTTTAAGTAACGACGCTGGGCGATGGCGATGGGACATGGCTTCCGGGGCTGTTTGGCTGTGAAAGTCAAGGAGACGCGTCTTTTCCTTGATGTTTCCCCGGCTGAACATGGTCCAGCGCGGGGCCCATGTTTGATAGATGCCGTTCTGCTTCGTTGACACCCAAAAGGCAGCCTCGAAGTCCTCGGCCGAGGGCTTGGCCGGATTGCTGGGAGGACCAAAGTCGCCATGCAGGATCTTGAGGCCGCTGGGAGTCCGAAGAATGTTCTCCGCCTTGTCGGCGGCGAGCTCGTCACCGGTCCTGGCACCTGTCTGGAGGGGGATTCCTTCGTTGACGGCAAGGTGAGTCAGTGTGCTTGAGCCCGTCTTGGAGACGTCTCGTAAGATCGCATCCCATAGCTGGTGGATCTTATCGCCGGTGAGGTCTGGGTGGCTGAGGAGAGTGCGCCAAAGGCCCTTGTCGAAGCTCCCACTGGGGAGGAGAAGCATAGGCTCATAAATGGCGAACCGTTTTGGTGTCTGTTGGTTAAGAAGAGTGTCCAGTTCGTCTGAGGTGCGCCATGGCTGGGTTTGCGGGGGGAGAGAGAGAAGCCATGCCCGGGTTGCTGCTGAGATCGGGTTTTCTGGCTTAGGCTTCTTTCCCCGCGGTTTACCGTTTGAGGCTGCCATTCGGTATTTGTAAATGAGGCTTGGAAAGAGGTCAACAGGACACTCTGGGCTCAATGTATTTGGTAATGTGTAGAACGTCGCTCACAAAACCAACCAAAATCTTAGTCTTGCAACACTTTGGTGCTTCCAGACGACTTTACAGGGGTTGCAACGGCTTAGACCCCTGTTTAGCACCCTGAGGTCCGCTAGCGACAAGTGGGGCGTGGTCACTGAACCTAAGACGGCTCTCTCATCTGGCTTCTGCTCTTTCACCGTTGTTCCCTTCATTCTTGAGTCTAGCCACGCTTCGTGAGATTTAGAGAGGCAACATGGACTCTTCAACTCTGCCGACGCATCTTAACTATCTGAATGATGCGGCTCATCTTCTAAGGACATCGGCTCCCGAGACCTCGGCCTATCTATTGAACCATCACAACGAGCTTATGTTCCTCAACGATGTCGAGCAAAACGATGTTCGACGACAACACGTCTGCGGTGCCTGCGGCCACATCATGATTCCCGGTCAGGGCACAATACTGAAGCTCGAGACCGAGAAAGCACTAAGGAGGAAGAGGCGCGATATCAAGTCGCGGGATCCCAAAGTCAAGGATGAGCCTCAGCACCGTGCTGGGACGCGAAAGCTTTTCAACTGTGGGAACTGCAGCCGAATCACCAAGGTCTCGTTCCCCCCTCCACCACCAGTTGTGAGACGACGAGCAAAGTCTGAGCAACTCCTTGCGGCGAAGAGTCGTCAGGCTTCAACGGCTGAACCAGCAAAGCCGGCAACATCCAACTCAAGCAGCAAGAAGCGGGCGAAGAATCGCAAGGCCGGATTGCAGGCTCTGTTGAGCCAAGCCAAGACGTCCTCTTCTGGGAGCAGAAATCTGAGCCTTGCCGACTTTGGACGAATGGGATGAGAAAAACTGCACGTACCAAAATCCCATCCTGGGAGAATATGACTTCCAAATTCTACGACCTGCTCCGCGGCTCTGTGCCATTACAAACCGGCGGGTGGCGGGCTATTCTCGGGAATATTCTCGAAGGTTTCCTGCCTTGGGAGGGACCTAGGGACCCGCTCAATGACACACATCGGTGCCCATCCTGCAGGGCCTGCAGCTGCGATTGCCCCTCCAAAAAATTCAAGACCCCGCCATCGCCATCCCACCGAGTCACTTGCTCTCCCCCACGACCGATAACAAAACGTCCAACCCACCGTCGCGCAACTCCAGTGACCATTCAACTATACCCGAGACATTGCGCATATACCTACTTTTCAGAAATCAGTCACCATGGCTGCTCCCGAGTCCAAGACGACGCCGAACGAGTTCTTCCAGGCCATCGGCTCCAAGGTTGACGGCAGCGATGACCAGCAGGTTGTCGAGGAGATCGAGTCCCTCTGCATGAACTGCGGCAAGAATGTGAGTTGCGCAAGACCTTCGAATGCAATTCAATATACTAACTTTTGCATCCAGGGCAACACCAGACTTCTCTTGACCTCGATCCCCTACTTCCGCGAAATCATCATCATGTCCTTTGCCTGCGAAGAGTGCGGCTTTGCCAACAGCGAAGTCCAGCCTGCAGGCTCCATCCAGCCCAAGGGCACATACTACGAGCTTCGCTTGACCGCAATGGAGGACTTTTCTCGCCAGGTTGTGAAGTCCGATACGGCTACCGTCAAGTTCACCGAACTCGACCTCGAGGTGCCCGCCGGTAAGGGCCAGCTTACAAATGTGGAGGGTCTGCTGAGCACAGTCATCAACGATCTCGAGTTTGGACAGGAGGCGCGCAAGGAGCAGATGCCCGAGCTTTACCCCAAGATTGCCGAGATTATTGAGAAGGGCCGCGCCATGCTTGAAGGCAAGGCCTTCCCCTTCCGCGTCACCGTCGACGACCCGGCCGGCAACTCGTTCATCACCCCCGACCTGAAGGATGGTGTTGGCAAGTGGGAGAAGCACGAGTTCATCCGCACAGCCGAACAGAACGAGGCCCTGGGCATCTCCAACTCCCAGGCCGACGAGCTTGCTGCTGGTGCCAACCCCGGCCTGACCGCCGAGGGTGACATCATCCCCAATGAAGTCTACAGCTTCCCCGCCAGCTGCCCGGGTTGCATGCGCCCCTGCACAACACACATGAAGATGGTCGACATCCCACACTTCAAGCAGGTCGTCCTCATGTCTACCGTCTGCGACGACTGCGGCTACCGCTCCAACGACGTCAAGACTGGTGGTGAGATCCCCGAGAAGGGCGAGAAGATCATCGTCAAGGTCAACGGCCAGATCGACCTCGCCCGCGATATTCTCAAATCCGAGACTTGCGCCCTGGAGTGCCCCGAGCTCAACCTGGCCGTCAACCCCGGCACCCTGGGTGGCCGCTTCACAACCATCGAGGGTCTCCTGACCCAGGTCCGTGATGACCTGCGCAGTCAGATCTTCGAAGCCGACGGCGGCTCTGGTGGTGCAGGCGGCGGTGACTCCCTCGCCCCCGAGGAGAAGACCAAGTGGACCGCCTTCTTCGACGGTCTCGATGAGGCCATCAACGGCAACCGCGAATTCACCATCGTTCTCAACGACCCCCTCGCCAGCAGTTTCGTACAGCCTCTGGTTGACCCTCCCGCCCCCGACCCATCAATCACCCGCGAGTACTACACCCGCACTCACGAGGAGGAGGAGGAGCTTGGTCTGCTGGACATGAAGACCGAGGGCTACGAGGAGGATGCTGCTAAGGAGGCTACTGCGAGAGAGGAGGCAAAGAAGCTCGCGGAGCTTGACAAGCTCCTCGATGCCAACATGGGCAACACCTCATAGAGCAAGCGAGTCTGGGGATGCGGCGATGTGGCGAGAGTTTTCATGACATGTTTGGATTTGGGGTGACGAATGGATGGGCGGGCGGAACGATAAAAATCGTACATGATGATGATACCTACGTATAGATGGGTTATTTAAAAGTTTCAAGGGCTTTCCAAAAGAAATGCTGTCCGGGAGATTTTCATCCTTACTTCACCTATCTGAATTTCATATTAATACGTGATCATGTATGCGAGCAAGTTGGCTATTGAAGCAAGCCCCCATTGCAGGTTTGACCCTTCAAACACGAAAGGTTCGCGAGGACCAGATATCGAAAATGTATAAAAATGACTGTGAAACACCAAGCTGTGGATAATGGTCTGCGGTTTTGTCTCGATGGTTTGGTTTCTTGAGGGTAGTTGGAAGCGAACAAGTCTAGATCTGTCAAACAAGAAGGAGCGGTTTCTTGTGTCACCCATGGAAGGAAGGAGTGATTGCCTTGGGGGTTTGCTACCTATGTAAGCGGCGTCTCCACCTACCGACCGGAGCGGCACGTTTGATTGGCTAGCTCAACGTGGCATCCGACAAACGCCCCACCTTCTCCGGGCTTCACGGTCGGCCTGCCGATTTATCGCCGTGTGCTTGAAATGACTTTCGGCCTAGCTGACTTGCTGCGGCAACTGACTATCGCCGCGATGTGTTGCTACTGCACTGACTCGTTGCTGTTGTACGTTGGTTCGTGGTCATATAAAAGTGGGACCGTTGACACGCTCGACTAGCAGAACCCTGGTGTTGAGGTGGCATCTCAATAAGGATCATCAGTAGGGTCAGGCAATATACATACAAACCAGGTAAACTTCCGATATGATCCACTCTTTTTCTTTGGATTCTCTTCGTTTCTTATCGTTTGTTGAAGTGGTGCTGGCTATGTCGCTCCAAAACTTAGTTCATCTCATGATTCATACACGTCGTATGAAGAACCAGATGCAAACCACAAACAAGCTCGCACATTCCCCTGGCTTACTGAGTAGACTATGTGGGTCCGTATTTGGACTAGTGCGTAAGCAAATGTTTCGCGTTCCCCTCTTTGCCTGAATTCGGCCCCCAACGCCCAGAAACATGGAGTACATCCCCCCGCTTGTACACACCTACATAACAGCACAACCAGGATCAGATTAACATCCAACAAACACACGGTGGAGTGACCGAGTGGTTAAGGTGCTGTGTTTAGGTAATCAGCAATGATACCCAAAACCGCAGTGGGAAACCGCGCGAGTTCGAATCTCGTCTCCATCAAGCATATTTTTGACATTTTGACATTTTGCCTCCTTGTGCACGAGAACCGAACATCAATTCAACCTGGTTCTGGATCCTATCGCCGGTCCCTTATCTGGTTATAAGTCTCCGCAGTCCATAATTAGGTCGGTCACTTGGGTCTCAATCTCAAAGCCTAGTGTTTGATCAGGCATGTTTTCTGACCAAAGACGGCAACAGATGCAATCGAATACATCAAAAGGTGAAGCAGCGGTCCTGAAATCCTTCCAGAGCAACGACTTGCAGTATTGACTACGATACTGCTTCGTTAACCCGAGACATCAACTTCAGCCACTCGGTCACTCGCCCAGATACTTTGGTTGGTTGTTTGAGGAAAGGCTCATTGCAGGATGTGTAGTGTGGGCTTGGGTGATACGCTAATGTAAGTGAGATCCTAGCTAGCTGATTCTATAGTAGCCCGGGGTACATCCGATGTTAGAAGTCCATGACACTCGGGGTTGTGGATGTCCATCTTCTCCGATAGGGAAATGGAGATCAGAGGGAATCGGCCGATGGGTCAATTGTATTTTGATATGATATGTAGAATTGCCCGCAAAAACCAGCCATCACCTCATCTTCCCACGTGGCGCTCGCTAGAATGCGCTGTCTCGAGGATGCTGTTCTACCTGAACGACTGATGCCGAGGCCAGCTCTCAGTGCCCTTTCTCGGTAAGCTGCTTTCTGTCGATCTACCGGCCCTTCAATTTGGTTGCTTGACTTCTTTCAACAGGCTGATACTCGCTAAACTTACTCCGATCCAAACACCGCCATTGGCAGGCTTTTTGGCGTTGGTGGTATTTCGAGGGCAACCATCCAAGGCGGCCATGGGGTGGCTGCTGCCCAAGCCCCGGCCGCGATAACCCAACTCCAGCTATGCTATTCATGCTCGAAAGTTGACCAAAGAAGCTACCGGGAGCCTCGGACATCTGGAACTGTTGAAGATTGGAGTTCAAGCGTTGTAGGTCACCCGCCCACCTGTCTGAGCCTGAGCGATTTGTGTCTGGCTGAACCGCAGACTCGTTGGTTCCGGATCCTCCACGGAGGGTTGGTTGGTGGTTTTTAAGATGCATGACCGAGTCGTGTGCCGAGCAAATGCTATCTCTATGGATAATAGACGAGGAGGGGTGATGGATTGTCTGGCATGGGCGGTGTTCAGACGAGCGACCTTGAGAGAAAGAAAACACGTCTCATCGTCCCTAAGCTAGTGAATATATCTGTGCCGGTGATGAAGAGGGCCTGCTTTGAAGAACAGTATGTTGAGCTGGGCAAGCGGCTTTGTTTCCCTTGCTTGCCACGGACGTTGGAGGTGTTGGGAGGCTCGACAAGGATGCACATGGCCAGTCTCCCGTTGAAATAAATGCGGAGGGGTTGGTGGTAGCGCAAAAGGCAAGGAAGTTGTTTCGATCAAGTCTGAGACTCTCAAAAACGCGAAGCCCGACCCATCTTACACATTGTCGTCCCCTCCTCATATGTGCGACTTTGCCAAGCTGGCCCTACCTTCATGGCATAGAGAGGACCCGGGTCTTCTCAACATCCCCCAAGAGGTCGGCGCCAAATGGCTCCTGAGCTGCTACATCGAGCAGTACTGCACTGCTGACCTTTCGATACTGATTGTTTATCTGCCCCTTTCTGTTCCAATGCTAACAAATATCAGGTTTCGGTGTCGCCTCAGACCAAAGCCAGCCAGTCCGCCCCAGATCACCGAGTGCAGTCGTCTCATGTAAGTTTACAACATCTCTCGAATCTACGTTACACAAACTGAATGATTTCCTAGAAGGCACCGATCCCTCCCCATCTCCGCGTAACCAGGCGCTTGTGAGTGAGAATGTATGAATGTGACCGGATTCTCGTTCAAGTAATCGTTGTTCGTGTTGGAGCTTTGATTAACAGAGACTTCATTGCGCTCGCGGCCACTCGTGAGATCCTCGTGGTTGAGACGCGAATTTCGCACCGGCTGACTCTTCGAGCGATTTGTGCCTGGTTAAACCACAGGCTGCTTGTTCACAAGCCTTCCGGGGATAGAAGTCGGAGATGTCAAAAGGCATGGCAGAGAGGCGAGTCCTGAAGTCGTCCATCTCCCTGAGCCGGTCGAGGTCGGTGTGTGTCTGGCCCAAGGGGCAATTGCCAGGTTCTTAGGAGCTGACACAATGCTGGCAAGCCTATGCAAAAGCCAATTGGGTGACGGAAATTCCGAATATGGTGGTGATGCCTGACTGTGATGGAACTCCCGAAGGGGTGGTCACTGCTGACAAGAAGCAGAACTGAAAAGATTACTTGAATGCTTGACACTGTCAACTTCAGATCATCAACCCTTATTGTACCTTATGTTGAAACTGTGGAGTGGTGCCTGCGGGGATCTTGTAGTGCTAGCTTGAGATGGTAAACCATTCAAGTTTGAGCCACGATTAAGGGGACCATCTGCTGTTCGCTATCCAGTGGGATGAGTGACATACCGAATCAAGAAATTAGACGGGGACTCGATACTCCACATGAGACACTAGGATCAACTGAAGGCATTCACACCTTGAACTGGATATCTGCAAACCGGATGGGTCCTTATCTTCCTATTTTCCTAGGCATTACGCCGCAGTTTGACCCGGTAGTCATTAGTTCATCACATCACTGTCCGTCACTAGAACTCGATGGCTCACCGAGCTTCGAAATTCCGTGGCCACAGCTTGTTCGGCTAGAACGATTCTTTACAGGAGATGTGGAACGTATTTGCCTTCGCTTCTGCTTCTACCGCCAAATGCTGTTCAGACATTGAAAGGGGATTCTCTCACTCACTCACCTTTCTTCTTACTTCCTCTCCCCTCACTCAACCCCCCTTTCAACTATATTTTCCCACTTCACCATCCATAACTATACAAAAGCAACTCATCTCCCATCAGTCGTCGCAGAAAACCAAGCAAGCCATGTGGAGACCCGGTTGTTCCAGGAAATTACAACAGCCATCAGTGATGGCCCAACGGGGATGGGGGGATTGGGACCAATGCGACGCCTCTGGGCATTACTTGACAGAGGTGATCATCCTGAGGCTGTGGAAATGGGCAAATAGATTGGAGCCTGATTAGGCGGACGAGCTCGGGATACCAAGAAACTTCGGGAGTCTCCAGGGTTCCCTGAACTGGACTGGATCTCCTACTCAAACCTTTGGCGGAGCTCCGGAGAATTGGACGAATTCAGGGCTCAGAAATGGGTCCTGAGCGTGGATGAGGGGTTTGCCTCGGAACTATCCCTTGCCCAAAAACTTAGACTTAGTACTCAATAATCTACACTTGCATACATACTCAATTTGACCTTTTTCTTCTGCGCTAACCGACACTCTATCCAGCAGTGAATGTATCACAACACCCTCACATGAGTAGCAGGCATACAAACCATATACCAATTAGTCCTGCGGGAGTGGCTTGTAGAGAGAATCAAGTACGTCACACATCGCAAATCGGCACCCTGCCGTGAACGAGCCAAAAAGACAAAAGATTGCATTGATGGAGACGAGATTCGAACTCGCGCGGTTTCCCACTGCGGTTTTGGGTATCATTGCTGATTACCTAAACAACTTTGGCGCTCCTGAAAGACTAATCTGTGCGGGCCGTGGGTTCTGTCACATCACTGGAATCTCTAGGTCAGGCGCTCGGCCCCGCTAGATGATGCGGGGAACAACAGTCTTTTGGGCTTTGTTTAAATCATTGCAGATACTGTTTCCACTGTTACTGAGTCAGTGTAGTTATGTATGGCTTTGCTGTAGTTGCGAGAGGTTTGATTCGGACTGTCACATATGAGGCGACAAGTCTTTGGTCCCTGGCATAGCAAAGCGCCTATCGATACCAGTTGCTCCGCGAATTGCGACGGTTGTTCCCCGTTGACGTCGATAAAGTCCTGTAGTGCCATCAAGAGTCAACGCCAACTCTTAGATATGCGCTCGAGTCGGTCACTCAGACATGCTTGGCTTCTGTTATATGCACTTGTATTGCCGACGTTCATGTATTCAGCCATCACTCTCTCACTCAATTAACTCTAATGCCAAGCTGCTAGCTGCAATAAACAAGATCACGCAAAACGGTGGTTGGTTTGTTTTTCATCATTTTAGAGTCCAAGATGTGGCTGGATTGAAGAGCGTTGCAGGGTCCATGGTGTCGACTTTCAGTGCCAACTTTTTGTCTTAGCACGCTAAAAGACAACTCCAATTGGCCAAAGCTTGCAAGCTCCTTTCCTCGCAGCAACTTTGCCCAATTTTTTTTTTCTCGTCTTTGGAGGGGCCATCTCGACCAGACTCACACCGCGCTATGCTCTTGACTCCTACACCTCCCGACGCGCCGACCCGACCGAGATAACACGAGACACCATCCGAAACCTGGAAGATTCCCTATCGATCCCCTGAACATCAAGAGCAAAAAAATAATAATAACAATCACCGGACCGTCAACGACCGCCAATATGCCCCTCGACGACGACGACAACCCCACTGCGGCGCCGGCCACCCAGCTCCAAAACGATTCGGGGCAGGCGACGAGGCTGAAGACGAGGGGCTCTTCGACATGCGCCTCTTCACCTCCATGTTCAACAAAAAGGGCGTGTCAAGCCAGGCCGTGCGCAAGGGTCAAAAGGACTTTGAGTCGCACGGCACCCGCGCGCAGGAGGACGCCCTCGAGACGAGCAGGCAGGTCATTGAGGAGGTGCTCTCTTACACACGCGTGCACCGCGACACCTGGAGCAAGGGGTGGTACTTCCCCGACTACTGGCCCGAGACGCTGCAGACCATCGAGGAGGGGGACACGTCGGGGCTCGCGAAACCCGAGTACCTGCGCGAGTTCATGGCCGAGACGGGGCCAATCTACGCAAAGGAGCGGGTCGTGGTTGTGGAGGACCTCAAGGGGCCGCAGGCGAAGTCGATGGGACGGGTCATCAGAGGGCTCAAGGCGCCGAGGCCGGCGGTCGGGAAGCTGTGGCTGCTGCCCGAGGAGGCGCTGTTTCTCGTCGAGAGGGGCAGCTTGGACCTCTGGTGGCCGTTCCGCGAGCTTAGGGATATTCTGCCGCCGCCGGAGAGCAAGGCCGCGGAAGAGTACGTGCACGATCCAGAGCAGGCAAAGGCGGCCCCCGAAAAGGAGGCCGGCGAGGACTCGGACGACGAGTTCGAGACCGGCGTGCCCCTGAGCTTACAGGCCGCGTACGCTCTCTTCATCGGCATGGACGGCGAGCGATGGAAGATCACACTGCCGAAATACCAGGTCTACTCTCACCTCCGGCGGTTAGGATACTACGTTCAGCGCGCGCCGCCGGACGCCGCCGATCCCGCGCCCCAGCCTGAACCCGCGAGAAAGTCGTTGTGGCAGTGGCTCGTCTCCCTTCTGGATAGGCCCGCGCCCACACCGCCGCCCTGCGGACCTCTCGTCAGGCCGGGCGTCTACCGCCAGTACAGCCTCGTCTACAAACAGCTCGAGCTGCTTACGCGGTACCAGCCCTCGCCCGTTACGCAGGAGCCTGTCGCGCCGGAGGACCCGTACAAGGTCCACTGGCACGTGTGGAAGCCCTCCAAGCACCCAAACTTGCGCGTGACAGACCTTCCGCCGCCGGACATCCGCATCGCGGTCGCCGACGCGCGGGACGACCCGGTGCCGTCGTTCGAGGAGGTCTCGGCCCTGCTGGACTCGACGCCATACGACGCGCCCGACCTGAAGACGATGGGCGGGCCGGGGCGGCTGTACCAGAGGCTCAGGCATGGGTACCGCAACGTGCTGATCGCGGTGGTGGACCGCGGACTGGTGAACTTTATGCGGTTCGGACAGGCGGCGTTCGGGGAGGAGAGGCTGTATGAGCGGTTCGATAACCGCGGCGGGTTCCGTGGAGGCAAGAGGGGTGGAAGGGGCGGACGGGGGAGAGGAGGTGGAAGGGGGAGGGGACGTGGCCGGTGATTGTGTGTTGCGAAAGTAGACGGCTTTCATGGGATACCCAAACGAACATGTACAGAATCAGACACGACTAGAGAGAGAGAGCTTCGCGGCTCATGGAGGGGCCTGTAAAGACCTGCGCCTTTCGAGAGTAAGATACGCATTCGATAGGACACGACTATACGACCAATCTCGCTTGGGAGAGAGCGACTCAAGCCCGGTCTGCTCGGCTGCGTGGCCGTGGCTCTTGACGAAGATCTGAGTTGCAGGCTTGCATGCTACCGTATGCCGGTCTCTTTTTTTCCTCTTCAAAACACCGAACCTCCCGTATTTAGCCTTTCCTCCACCTCCCACCGAACTAGGCATGTCGACCACCAAGCGCAAAGTCAAACATGTCCGTCCCTAGGCTTTCGCCGCGTGACTCGTCCATTTCCCAACTTGACTCACAATCAACTGGTTACCCTAGGCTTCTGCTGATCAGCAAAGTGTAACTGTATCATCACCGACGTTGCGCCTCTTTGCAATCTGGTTATTCGCACCCAAGCTGGGCCACTGAAACTCCTTAGCGGTTCTGTTAAAGCAACGAAGGAGGGGCCATCAAGAAAATTTTCTTGAATTAAAATAAATAAATAATACTAATAAATCTGTAAGCTCTGTTTCCGACGGATGCGGGTGTTTCTCGGGTTGAGAAAAGAAGGGAAGACTGTGGCGGATTATGTCCAGGATGGACATTCGGCGCCAACCGGGGTTCCAGCGAAACAAGTCAAAGTCGTCTTGCGCGTTTCACCGCGCGTAACCGCGTAAGAAAGTGCGTCCCAGTGAAAGACGAGTTTTGCAGGCTATACGCCTGGCTATATCCAGCGGCAATTCTACCTTTAGTTATAGCGACGTTCAACGGCGCCAGCGATCGATTGACCTGCGGGCTGGGCAGGACCTTGCCGAGTCCCGGACACAGCGCGGTTCTCGGGCGCCGGGTGGGGCACGGGCGGATACAACCAGTTGCATCGACCGGCATCCCGCGTCAGACGGAGACAACTCGCGGGCAGCCGACCCACGTGGTCCATACTAGTAGCAAGACTTGTGCACAATACGTGCGAATGGATCGGCGTGGCACCATCCAAGGTCGTACAGCTGACGCATGGTTCTCTGTTGATGCCGTAGGTTATGCTGGACGGTGTTGATAAGGAGGGGCCAACTCTGCAATCACATGGGGAAAAAGGATTAGGGGCAGTAATGCGCAAAGTTAGGGTTAAGGATTAGGCGCTTGGAGGGAGGGGCATGAGGCATCATGCCTGGTTCAGGTTGGTGATTTAGCAAGGCAGTGTGCGAGCAATCCCTAGGTTTTGCTTAGTTGATTGCGGTAGCACTCGGTTGGAGTAGCACGTAGAATGCAAGATTGAGACGCGCCGCAAAGTCGGCCGCTGGTGGGGGAATGCGCTGGGTGTTTGGCGATGGAAACACGGCGATGTTCGGGGGCTCCCAGGAAAGTGGAAAGCGCTGGGAGTCATCGCGATGAGATGAGCCGCCATTGCGACAACAGAGAGACGGCAAGGGCCTGGACCGGGCCACGAAAGTCCTTCCTGCTGACGGGGTAAAGCCAACCGCAGGAAGTTCTCAAAAATGGTCCTTGCTCGGCGGGTTACGTGCGACAGGGTAGTTTGAGTTCCGCAAGGCGCACGTCTTCCTTCATCTGGTTGACCGGTCGCCGAGCGAGTAATAGTGAGGACTCGCAGGGTACCGCATATGCAACTTCTGTCAGTCAGAGTCGAACCCGGCGAGGAGTTCACAAAAGGGCACCCGCCGGGTACGCTCGCCTATCCCTTGCTACCACGTTGACCGAAGCGTGTGCGGCGGATTCATGCACTGGTTGATGCCGATTGCTTCCCTATAGAACGACAGGTATGATGAGTCAAGTCAGCAAATGCCACCATTGACTTATCAACTGCGACATGGGTGGATGGTGAACTCGTATGGAGAGTTTGTACAAAAGAAAAAGGTTTCTGGCTAGAATAGGGCACATCTCGGGCGCGGGTTGTGCTTCAAAATCGCTGGACGCAGCCAACGCTCGGACGGCGGCCATGGCTTGTGGGGAGAGAGGGCCGGCCAGCAAGAGACAAGACACTCAGCAAGAAAGAGCCCTTGGGGGATCAGTAGGAAGAGCCTGTAGGAGATATTGATGACGAAAAAGAAAAATCAATGCGACAACAGCAGGGTTCGAACCTACGCGGCCGAAGCCAACAGATACCTTAGAATACGCCGATCGTTGATCCGCTTAGTTCAAGTCTGTCCCCTTAACCACTCGGGCATGTTGCCTTATTAGTTGTTGAAATGTTTCTGATAATGCTGATCCAAGTATGACATGCAAACAGAAGGGGTTGGTTTGGTGTGGGAACACGCTCCGGAAAGTCGCGATGTGGGTCAGTCAAATGCTAAAGGAAGTTTTGATTGGTTCAGACCTTGTTAGAGAACCGGTGTTCCCCTCTTTGGTTTACCTATGCATGCGGTGACTCTCCTTCGTGAACCCTTAGAATCGTCTTCGGTCTCGCGTCCTATATTACAAAGGACTGACGTACAGGGATAACCTCAGGATCATATGCCTTTGCTACCGTGATAAGTTTCTTGTCAACTCAAGTTTACACGTTGCCTTTGTTCTTACTGTCGCTGTTATCCCTGGTGTCCTCGGCAGTTCCGTTGTTCTCCTTAATCTATCCGAATACACACGTCAATGCTTGAAGACTACAGGGACTACAGGGGCATGTTGAGAGGATGAGGTGGAGGACTAGAAACTTGCGTTTAGCCCTCTTGCGTTCAGCCATCAGTGTCGGGTGCGCGGTCTATCATTTACGTATGTACTCGGTCAACTGGGCCCCCATATTAATGTTCTCTAACCTACTCTGTTTCTTTTTCTCACCTTGTATCCAATGATAAGCCCGGGATCTGCCAGCGAGTTGTCTCAATTCCCTTACCGCGAACAAATATGGGGGACCAGTTGACCGAGTAGATACGGTACATTGACCCTGCTGTGTGGTAGGGGTTTAGGGGAAAGCTAGCGTAAGAGTAACGTTGGACATATCCGTTTCTGCCTATCCCAGCAGGTTAATTACGTGCATGGGGCATGGTGAGCTTGATTTTTCTTCTGGTGCGCCAGCAGCGCCGCAACTGGGCTCCAGCATACTTTTGCCGGCGCAAGAGTAAAAAAAGCCCAAGTCTGTCCTGAACTCTGGTTGCCAAATCGCCGGATCCCGCGGAAAATATACCTTGGAACTGCTCTGCCAGAGTCTTGACTGGCCCAACGACTTGGTTTAGGAGCAGAACCAGTATGGCACAGTATGTCTCGGCGCAACGTGCCATGAGCTCCCGGCACCCGTGCACTTTCTTTATGCTCGAGATTCGCGGTACCGCTGTGGCAATCTAGGAAAAGTCTACCGCATTGGGGGAAGTGTGCTCGCGGTCGAGAGGCTGCCCAAGCCCATCAGACCCCAGTTTCAGAAGTTCCTAGACAGGATACAGAGTAACTCGTGGCGTTTCGAGTTGAGGGGGACTGTAAGGTCTGTTGTTTGCTGGCTGTTCCTTGCCGAGGACCCCTTATTTCCTTTCCTCTCGCTTGTAAATATTGGATTCTATTCTAGTGCGTCGTGAACTACTTTTGGCCCGGCGGGATACGCAAGCGATGGGGGTCTTGTGGACAACTCATTGTCGGTGCAAAATATCGGCCTCTTGCCTTGTTCCCTGTCAAGTTGGCATGACATAAACATTAGCAATGCGCCGGCTCGGTAGTTAAGATTGAGTAAACTCGACGGCGCAAAAGGACATTGGGGAATTGCTGCCAGTGAAATGGTGGACGGAGAGACCCAGGCCGCAGGAGATGATACGCTCTGATACGCTGATGCAGTGTCAGACCGGAGATCCACCGAGGGCGTAATAACATTGTTATATTAGTTAGTACCGCAACTTTTACATAGTGCGCTGTGTTGCAAAAGGAGCACCCGGGCCAAGCAGCAGATCCGGGTGGGACTCGTCATCGTAATATCGAGAGGTCCATGTTCCGGCGCCGGGGGAGCCAGGTTCCATAGAGATCCGCAGCCGCGAGATGGATGATCGAATTTTTCTCTTGCATTGCATCACGGCAGTAGATTCCCATCGAGTGTTTGCTGCGAGCGCTAGCGGCAAAGGCAGCCCGAGGCGTCCCAACGCCCCCGCCCCCAAAGCGAGACTCGCGGGACCCGAAAGCGGATGGATGCGGAAGACGGTGTAGAGACCATTGAGTGAACGGGAGAAAGGAAGTGTGAGAGGGAGGAGGAACAGGGGGGGAGGGAGGGAAACAGTCTGGTTGATTGCCTCACATCGGCAAAGATGAGATGCACTCGTTTCAACAAGACATTTGCCTACGGCGAATGTTTGGAGTTGCTGGATCTGCCCAACGGGCCGGGCAAATCTGCCGTCGCCTGTTTGCGCTCTGGCAGGCTACGTGTCGTAACGGAACCGATTGTGATTGCTCTGGCCGGACTCCCCCCTCAAAGTGTCAGAAAGGCCATGAGATTAGTGATAAGTGGCTGGTGAGGCAAAGGGAACGAGATCAACCGCAACAGTCAGGTGTGGGGCCGACTTGACGCTACGAATACAGAGCAAGAATGGGAACGCGTTTGCTGGCAGCTGGCTGGCCGCCCAGTTGTCTTAGGTTGTGTTAGTTTGGGCTTTCCAGTTGTTCATATCGGCCGGTACTTTTGGGTTGAGTACCCCCCGCCTGGTCCGGTACGTACATGGCATCTTCTCGGTCAGAAACAGTTGCACTAGACCTGATACCGATACAGAGAGCTGAATGAGCCTGATAACCAAAGGTGGGAATCGGAGAGGGGCACTTGATCGTCAAAGGATAAAAGGGATTGTGTGTACATGATGTAACAGTCTCGTGGCAGAGACTGGAGCAACACCCCGAGCCCTCTCTAGCCAAATGTCAGTGGTCGCGGTATTAGGTTGGGACTTTGAATGCGGACCAACCCAACTCAAACATTTTCATCAAGTCCAGCCAACCAGCCAGAGCCGGAGATGACAAGAAATGTAAGCAAAGCATGTGCACATGCATGGAAAGGTTGTGCTTTGGGTTGCGTTGCACAACTACCTTATTAGACGCTCAAGGTATACTTTTGAATTCTGCCGAACCAGCGCTCCTTTCCAAGGTACGGGTACCGTACCGTGAGATTTTATCTCACCTTGCCTTGCCGTCCAATTGCCAGTAGCCGAGTGCATACGTCGGCGAACAAGCAAGGAGTTGATCACCTTGTTCCTTTGTGAGCCCCGCCGGGAAGCCGTAGCAGCCAATGATCGGAACTTTGGCCACAACCGCGACCGGGATTGATGGACATGTACACGAGCCACGGTCGCAGTTTGGTTGCACGCGCTGCCTCGTTAGCAGTCCACTCGAGATTGGCCCTATCGTTCAGAGTACGGCTCAGGGGTCGTGCTACTATATCATTTCAAGGGAGTCCGAAGTGCTCGTGAACCCGGTTCAACCAGTATCATAACGGGGGTTTGGGGACTCTCCCACATGGGTTTGTTCAAGTGAGTACAGGTAGGTGACTGAAGTGAGATGCGAAAAGGGCGAGGTGGCAAGCGTATCTGGTCTGATCTGATTTGGGCTTGTATGTACAAGTTGACGTGGCCTTGGCTGAGGAGAGCAGGAGTGGAGGGAGCAGCAACCTGGAATGTACAATCCGGCTGGTTGGGCCCAAGAAAAGGTACTACTTTACGTACTGAAGCAAACTGCCTGGCACACGCGCTTGTTGCTCATGTTCTGACAAGGAAGTACTATGGTAGTGGTGACTACTTACCTTTCCGTATCCGTCCATAACCCGTACCGTACCTACGTTACCCATGAAGCACGACCCACAGATCTTGGACAGTTGGCTTGGCACCTTAGTCGCAAGTACCTTGCCGTGGTTTTCTTCTCTCTCTCTCTCTCTCTCACCTCATCGACTGGAGCTGGAACTCGCTCACTAAACTAAACTGGAACCACCCCGAAATCTGAGGGAAAAAATAATTAATTAAAAAAATAAAAAACCCCTGATCCGCAACTCTGGTTGGTCTCTTCTTCCCTTGGGAAACTAAAACCTGTGTCTCTCACACACTCTCTCGTCCGTCCTTATCATCCTCTCCCATATCCCATGGCGCAAAGTCCCGTCCGCTTGATCTGTGAACTCTCGGCCATTCCCCCCTCCCCTATCGCATCTCATTCCCATACCAATCCAATCGCTTGCCTTCCTTCTCTTCCCTTCTCATCTCCCCTGTTCCCTTCCCTTTTCCCTCAGAGTTCTCGTCCCTCCTCTTCTTACACGCCCCCTGGGTTCCCATACAACACGTCAACACAACCCAGTTTCCCGTGATTTAGCCCAGGCCACAACCAGAGCCAACCTACCTTACCCTCGCGGTACGCTCTTTTTTGCGTGTGGTCTCGCACACGGTCCTCCTCTCTCTAAAACCAACATTTTCATTCCCTCTCTCTCTCTCACACACACACAAATCGGCAATCCCAACTCCTGCAACCCATCCTTGATCGATTCCGTCATCCAAAACTGGTGTCTTCATCCATCAACCGTAGCAGTTCTCTCCGCTAAAGGCGCCTTCATCTCGTTTAAGCCGCGCTGAAGCCTGTTTACCGCGCCATTTGAACTGTCAGCGTCCGTGCTCTGGGACAAAAGCCTGAGGTAAGTAATCAACAGTACGGGTACCGTAGTGTACCGCTCTCAACCTCGACACACACTCTCTCTCGCGCGCACACACACACACCCCTACACCCCTGTCCGCCCTGGTTGGGACTAGAAGTACGTCCGACTGGGGACCTGGTGACTGGGACTCTCGCCTCATCTTGCTTGGCCTTTGGCCTTTCTTAGTAGCAGCGCATAATAATACGGGAAACCAGTAAAGCTGAGGAATCCAACACGTCTTGCCTCACCTCACCTCACCTCACCTTGCCATTTTCCCTTACACACGCCAATCCTTCTCCACTTCATCCAGTCACATTCAACCTTGGCCTCAAACACAAACCGCGTCCGCGACCTTTTGGGGCTGTCAACTCTCCCTAAACCACCGGTCGCGCCCCCCTAGCCTCTTGTCTTCTTACAACCACACACTCACACACACACACTCAACCTATTTCACTCGACAACGCCTCACCCGTAAAATTTCTCGTCCAATTCAATCGCCCCTTTCCATCCACAGAGCCGGGTTGAACTACGAGTTTCCATCGCTTGTCTGCTGCCAACTTTGGGTTTCGCTCGATTCTTGCGACCGTGCATCGACATCACGGCCTCTCGTTCAACTAAACTCTCCCGGTCGCTAACCAACACCGACCGCGATGGAGACCACCGAGGTCGAAACCAAGCAACCGTCAGTTGCGCCTTCAGAGCCGCACCAACAGACCCCCGTCGTCGAGACCCCTACTCCCACAGAGTAAGTTGTCCCATTTCTTTGCCACTGCTTTCCTTCCGTCTCTTTGCGCCTGCATCCCGGCGGCTTTAGTTGTCTCTCGTTGTCGTTGTCGTAGTCGTAGTCGCTTCATTTCTTCCTTCTTTGCACATGTGTAAGGTGGGCGCTATGACCAGTGGTGAAGTCATACACTATCGTACCTTCCCATGATCCATCGCCCCCTTTCACTGCCTTACTTCACTCTCTGCCTTTTCCCTACCTTATCTTAGTTGTCGTGGCATTGCAGCAACTCCTTGGCTTGCAACGCTCCTTCCCTTGTTGTCGGTACCGTTTTGTGTCGGTCACTCCGTCAAGTTACCAAAGTCTGCTTCTCACTCTGTTACGAGCACCGACCTCTCTCTCCCTTGATTCAACCACAACTCTCCTCTCGTCACTGGCCTGGTTCACTCATCCTTTCAAACATCCTTTCAAAACTCTTGTGCTTCACCACAAGTGTGAGATCCTATTCGGTTTCCGGACTGCATCGGCCTTTCATCTTATTGTTTTCGCACCCCCCCACCAACCTCACGCCGTTCACCTCTCCGGACCCTGCCGCAATGCCATTCCCAAGAGAGTTGCCTGCTAAGAGCGTGATTGGAGAACCCTCAGCCCCATTCAGAGAGGAAAGGTACGTTGTATCTCAACCAGGTTTCAACGCAACGACGTGCCCTCGGTTGGAGTCCCTACTTCATTCTCAAAACATTACCTCGAGTCCTTTTTGCCCGACTTGAATCCCGATTGCTGCCTTGCCTGGTTGCGGGTTCCTGAGCACAGAGGCAGCCCATTTGGCAAGTTGCCAAGTGGCGGACGAGTCAGTTGGCGACCCGTCGCATCTCCCATTGCCAACGCACCAAGGTTCCTACCCCTGCTTAACTCGACTTCATCCTTGATCTCGTTTCAGCGGAACCTCGCACTCATGTTTTCTGGCCTCCCTATCACCTCATGACCGAAGCCGGCCTCAGTGTCAGAACAACATGAACTGGGGGCCAACCTGAAAATTCATGGAGTTGGCCATCATGGCGGCAAAGAAAAGTGTGGACTTGGAAGAGTCGAGCGTACAGCCGCAGTGCAAGCGCACCTTCTAGGTGACAACCTGTGGCGCTTCAGGACGACGCAACTTCACTCACGTCGTGGTCCCTGCTGACGTGATGGACAGGCTTAGCACAAATGGCGTCAAGCCTCCAGCTCTGGACGACGATGACACCGCCAATGATGACGATCTGAGCCCTCCTCCTGAAAACATGAGCCCTGTGTCGGGAAGCAACGACCGCGCTCTGGAGGATGAGATCGTTGTCGGCAACCGCAATGGTGTACCCAAGTCATCGCCTCTCCGCGTCGTGTCGGATCCAGAAGATGAGAACATGGCGGACGTCGAAGATGAGCCCGTCGTCTCACATTACCCTAAGCGGAAGCGAGCATCTGTCTTCAACGACTTGAGCGAAGATAAGATGGAGAACAGCCTGGTAACAGAGAAGGAGGGCACCCCACGGAGTACGAAGCCAGCCCGCAGGCATGGTCTGGGCGGTGTCAAGGGCGTTATCCTCGGTTACTGGCGAGACTCCCCGGTGCCCGAACCACGAGGCAAGCATGCTGTCATTGGCTTCATCGACGTCCGCGATCGCCTCCGCACTCGTATCCAGCAAAACACGCGGTTTGGCGAGCCGGTATCGAGCGCTGACTACCCCCTGCCGCCCGGACCCGGTGGCAGCTGGGTGACCTTTGAGCGCGTCGTCTTCGCCGACCACCTCGTCGGTATGGATCACCACCAAGTCAAGGAGTATGTCAAGCTGCGGACAGATGCCGTCGAGGAGACCGAGGAGGCCCGGAACTCGGCAGAGTTGGCCGCAGCCAAGGAGGCAATCCGCCGCGTCGAGGAGAACCCCCCTCCCGAGAACGTCGTGGCCCCAGCCATCGCCTACGGCGCCGAAATTCCCGACCACGCCACAATGCCGGCGCGGCCCGATTCCAAACGTCGCCGTACTGGAAGCGGTATCGGCACGATCGGCGGAGGCCCTACACAGACGCAGCCGGCACGCGAAATTGCTCCAACCCCTCATTTCGATCCTCTGCTCGGCACTAGGCCCACTCGTATCGTCGTGGGCTTTTGGAAGGGCTCCAGCGAACAGGATCCTGCGAATCGCCACGCCGTCTACGGTATCCTTGGACAGAACGACATGTTCCGTGTCAAAGTGGCGAGAGAGACTCGCGACAAGCGCTTCGTGGATGGCAACTTCCCTGTCGGAGCCGGCGCCCTCTGGATTCATTGGGAAGAAGTCGAACTCGAGCCCCACCTCAAGAATCTGTCTCGAGCCGAAGTCAAGGAGTACTGCCGTGTCCGCCAGTGGCAGCTCGACCAGGGAGAGAACCCCGAGGAACGCGCCAACAACGAGGCGCAGGCCGTGTACGAGGCCCAGCAGCGCGTTGCTCACGGCCTCAACAAGCCCGGCGTCATGAACAACATGGGACCCCCTCCCGTCATTGTCCCCCAGCCCGAGGAGGAGATCCTCGAGCCACTCGAGACGAAGGCCGAGGTGAACCCGGAACTGCGTCAGAGCCGCAGGACCGAGACCCGAGGCATCCGGCACGCCTTGCCCGATCTCGAGGTCAGGCAGTCTTCCCGCACGCCGGTCCAGGCTCAGAACAAGATCGATGCCAGCGCCCGCCGCGAGATCGCCAGAATCGAGGCTGCACAGATGCGCACCGAGCGCTTCGCCGCCGATCGCGAAGCCGCTGCCGCCGCCCTCGCCGCCGCCAATGCTGCCAACGCCGCCAACATCGCCCCTCCCCCTATGATACCGCAAGCCATGCCCAAGATGCCCATGCAGAATGGCAATGCCAATGGTAATACCAACGGCAACGGCCCTCGCATGAGCAGTCTTTTCCACGAGCGCGACGAGATGCAGCGCCTCAACAAGGTCTGGGCCAGCCAAGAAGAGCACCGCAGCAAGGTCGGAGGCGAAGAGACCAAGTTTTACGGCGGTATCAAATACGAGCGCAAGACGAACGGACCCTTTGTCGGCAAGCTTGTCTCTCAGGGCACCATTATCAGTATCGATGGAGAAGACTACGTCGAATACCGCGTACTAACGAAGCCGAGTTTTTTCTAAGTCGCCTCGGGCGATCATCTACGACATGCATATTTTTTTCAAATTGTCCGGTCGGTCGGTGTTATAAAAGCACCACCGATAGTTTTTCAAGTACTCAACATTGAAGGTCGACTCTCAACGAATGTTTCCTTTTCCGGTATTGGAGCGGTGGGACGACGGCATAGGGATTTTCTTTGTCTTTCTTCTCGCAGCAAAAAAAGAAGCGAGGATCGGGCGACCGCGGGATTTTCCTACTATACCCCCTCCCAACGTTTCCGACTATTAACCACTGTTCTTTTGTCACTTCGGCGCGGAAAAAAAAAAGGCCCATGCGGTTTTCTCGTCATCGGTCAGGGAGTGTGCTGTTGTTGCCTCGGGGCTATTATACCATGTTTTTTTTCGTTTGTGTTTGTTTGCTTTAGGCCATTAGTCTCACAAAAACTCCTGTATCGCTTTGCCAGAAGGCAGGAAGAGACTGGAATAATAAGGGTTTTCCTATGTTACTCGGCTCTCACGTTGCTTTTGACTTCAGAATGATTCGGCGGGCAGAAGGGGGGAAAGAGGCAGACGGAGTGGAGCTGCACTGGAGCTGCACACCGAGATCCGTACTTGTTTTTAGCTTTCAGACGGTACCGAAATGAAACCATCTCTACAGGCCCTGGTGTCTACTCTAGTCTTGCTTAGGGCCGTGACGAGGCTGATTAGACTTTTCGTCTACGAGTTGCGCGACTCGTGGAACCCCCGGTCAGAGCCTACCTAGGCGTATACCCAACAGCCCAACTTGACTCGTGCACGATTTCTCTAACAAGCAAACAGAAGCAAGTCGTCGAGGCTCTGGCAATTTCGAGGTTCCTTAGGACACAGCTTACGAGAATACCCCCCCCAAAACAGACGGCAACACGCTCGAGTTTCGTCCTCACTGCTCCTGGTCAAAGTCGTAGCTGTTGCCGAACCCCCTCCCCAGGTATGTCCGCAGCGCCTCTTCGCGGCTGATCCAGTCCACGGGGACCTCGAGCCGACCGTCGACCGCCTCGAGGAGCGGCCTCACGTCCTCGGCGAGCCGCAGCCGCATGGGGTTGCGGTACCACGACGCAAAGCGGATCATGGCGAGCATCACGCGCACATCGGCCGTCGAGTTGGGCATGCCGGCGTGCCAGAGCCGCAGGTCGCGGAGGACGATGCTCCCCTTGCGGACCGTGGGCTGGGAGGGCCCGCGGACCGCCGCCCGCGCGGCCAGGAGGGGCTCGCGGATGCGCCCGCTGGCGCGGTCGCCGTGGGCGCCTTCCTGCGCCGAGACGTCTGCGGTGTGCGTGCCGAGCCAGAGCTCCGTCGAGCCGTTGGCGGGCGTCATTGTCACGAGCGGGATGTTGGTCACGAGCGCGAAGGGGTGCGCGGGGTGGGCGAAGTCGGCGTCCGAGTGGACGGGTTGGCGTTGGGGCGGGGAGGAGGGCAGAGGCGGCATGGAGGAGTTGGCGGAAAGGAAGGTGAGTTTCGGACGGGGCCCAGAACGGAGGACGTGATTTGGGTTGCGATGGGGTCTGGTGGTGTCTGTTAGGGTGTCGTGGACGTCGAGCTCGATGACAACGGGGGAGGGGGGGTTTACTGGTGAAGATGGACTTGTAAAAGTGCTCCGCCACGGGAGGCGGGTCCTGCTGTAGGTTGCCCAGGTTGTAGTTGAATGGCCCCTTGTCCCCGAGGGACTGGAGATAGAGGGCGTCCTTCACCATCTTCTCGTTCAAGGCGTCGAGGTCGGCGTGCGGGACGACGCCTTCAACCACGACGAGGCCATCGGTGTGAAGGTGACGGACGGCGAGTTCGAGGTTTCGCGGGGAGAGGGCCTGGTTGCGGACCTCGGTATCGGAGGGCGTTATCGTGGCGGGCGTTGGTGGGTTGCGATTTGGTGCAAGTGAGGCCATCGTCCGGCGAGTGAAAGGGGTTGAAGGCGGGGGTCTCGCGATGGTAGGAAGACGGCGGAGGAGGACTGCTGTGTATGAGGCGGGCTTCATGATGCTGTTTATTGATGGATCGGCGTTGCTTTGTGAAATTTCATGGTAAGAACACTGATGAGGATGAGGATCTTTCACGTCTATAAATGTTGAAATGAGGAGGCGAGGTGAAGAATGTCTACCCCAATCCCGAGCTCGGGTTTGGAGCCACTTACACCCCTCCTCATACCCCAGGTTCCTCAATCCCGAGCTCGGGGTATGTTACCCGCCCGAGCCATCGACCACCCCCTCTTACCACCTCCTCCTCCGATCGAATAAACATTATGGGCCTTCATGTGGCTTGGAAACCCAGGCCGTCTTATTCGTCGTCACGAGGTGCATGCGCGATCGATCCCCTCCACTCGGTCTTTAGATCCGCGACGAGCCTCTGCACCGGCCATCCGATAGTCCGCTTACACGCCAAGAGACGCCGGACGAGTTCCTGTCTCGCGGGCTCTGTACGGAGGAATCTCGCACCTTGGGTCCCCATTTGTCATTAAAAAAACACAACCCGTGGCGTAGGAAAACGGGGGAGGGGATTCCCTGTGTAGGGCTCAGGGTTGAGACTCACAGAATGCGATTGGACCAAAGGCGTTGACTTGTACGGCTGGGGCGTCGGTAGTGAATGCCGCGCTACAGATGTCCATGGCGAGGGTTTCCAGGATGTCCTGTTTTGTAGTGCTGTCTTCAGCGCGGTCCTCGAGCAAGGCGCGTAGGCCCAGTAACCGCTCCGGGGTTGCGTGAGTGCAGAGAAGACTCATCGAGACGAGTCTGTAGTGTAGTGCCGCCGCTTACAAACTTCAGCTTCTGGGCGTAGGATTGCTGGGGAATACAAGTTTACCGTGGCAGTCTCTGAGCATCCATGTAGACGGAAGAGCTAGGCCCAAACCACGCTCTGCTCGTGAGAATGGGTTGAAGCGAGGCGGCAAGTTCGACCGCCAGTCTTGCAGCATACCGAGCAGAGATGGCCACGTCTCATCGGTGATTATACCCGAGAAGCACGCGTTGATGATGCGCCCTAGAATGAGAGAGACCGTGTTGAGATGGTCCTGATCCGTGTCATGCTGCGTCGGAAGAGACATCTGGTCCAGGTCGATCTTGAGAGGACACCGCCGGAATAAACTGAAGGTGATGTCCTCGCGGAGGTAGTTCCAGAACCCTGCCGCCCTGAGGCTGGACCCTAGGTGGTCTGTGGAGGGGTTGCGGTAGGCTGCTAGGGAGTATGCACCCTGTAGATGTCTGTTTGGATCAACTTCCTCTGTTATGGTAAGCTTCAGTAAAAGCTTGGCCTATGTCTGGAGAATGGGCCAAGAACGCACCACTCAGAATCTCATACGACCGCAAAAGACACACGGAGGCCAACGCGAGCCCCTGGGTGTTCTCGTCGACGTAGTCTTCCGCCGTCAGGTCAATCAGAAGGCGGACGCAGTGTCCGTGATAGAACTCTGCTGCCGTCCTCGCGGAGGGCGTGGACGTCTGGCTCATGTGCACAGCAGACAAGGCCAGGATGGCGGAGAACGGCAAGGCTAGCTCCAGAGAGGCTTCTGGGAGTTTAGTCGCAAAGGTAGCGGATGCATCGCTGAGGTCGTACCATGGGGCGATGTGCTTGATGTAGTGGTGGAAGTAGCGCGCTATTAACGGATTCTGTAGGGCTTTGCGAGGGTTTGTCGGGATTGGGAAAGGGGATGAGAGCGTGTCTGATGAGTTCGGTGTTATTGGGGTCCGAAACAAGATACCAAGGGCTTGGGACGCTCACTTGTGCTGTCCGTCGCTGCCACATCTTCCTGGTTCTTGTTGTGAAACTGGGGCTCTGGAGCGGTGCGATCACAATACCTCCGAGCTTTGGAGCATCGTTGACATACGGGCACAGCTTCGTCGCCTGCTATCAATCAGTCGACATCCCCTCGCGATAACTGCGTTGACTTGCATTTAACCTTGCGGACACGGCATGTGTTGCTATGCGGCCCGGTTGCTTGTCAGCTATGTCGTCGGCAAGTAAGCTGGCGCTTCCTTATGGGTTCCTAACCAAGCTATCTTGGTTTCAGCGATTCCGGATACGAGAGGCGTGTCGTAATTAGTCAAAGTGTCTCACCTGCCTGGTTGAAGGCACGGGGCATTGTGGCCGGGCACCGTTGATCAGTCAGATGCTAGGAAACGAAGGATTCTAAGGATTTGACCAAGGCTCGCTCATGTGATAAATCTCGCAATGAACCCGATGGCTTTGGCAAAATGTCTTGTAAAGTGCTGAAGGACTTCTATATACCAAACGATAAATGAGGAATAAGTTATTTGTCACCGAAACATCTCAACTCCACACAAAGCATCGGCCGGTGGTACCCCGCGCGGCCTCGGAACGGGCGGACTCAGACCCTCAGTTGCTCCGGGAATCCGACTGGATCGCCGGAAATTCGGTCCCTAAGCACTAGAATCACCCCGCCTCAAAGATCAACGCGCAAACCAGCTTACATCAAGCTAGCGGGAGTCCAAACAACTTGTAGAGTATGCGATACGTAGATAGAACCCTAGAAGGATCCGAGATGTGCCATTCAGTGACATCGGGTTCTGGTACCGCCACGATGAGGAACGTTGCACTGGAGGATACGAAGATGAAGCAACACATATAAGGCCAGTAACACTCCGCGAGAAATTGTACATCAGAAGGCAGCTTGACAACGAAGAAAAGCATACAGGACCTTACGAAACCCTAATCTTTATTTACAATTACCATCGAAAATGTTCACTCAGACTCTTCTCAAGACTGCGCTCCTGGCCGCCGCAGCAACAGCAGCCAGCTTGCCCGCCAGAACTACCACGTCCAGCTTCCGAATTGCGGCCAACGTGACCAACTTCGACCTTCCGACCTCCCTTCAAGGTCAAGAACTCACCTATGCCCCTAACGCCAACTGCAAAGCCGACATTATCTTCGCGCCAGCCGGCAAGGGCGCCGTCTTCTACGCCGCCGAGGACACCGTCAATGTCGCTCACTTCTCGGTTGGAGACGAGACCTCCCCGCTGGCTGGGCTGGTCGTCACGCCTGGCGGAACGGCGACGGTGCCCAGCCTCAACACGGTTCAGTTGCAGTGCGAGACAGGCACTTCTGGGTTTGTTTCCACCAATGAAGGACTGCGTTTTGAAGACGGTTACTGGATGGCGTGTCCAAGAGACGGTAGCGTGGTGTTGAGCTTCAAAAGCGCTGGCCAGAGAACCCTTGCTGGCTGTGCGGATGTTCAGCTTCTTCTTGTTTGATCACGCAGAGCGGCATGGAACGGTCACAGGAGGCGTGATGTTGCCAAAGGGCTTGTTCGCTCGGTCAAGTGGATAGATCTTATTCCATGTAATATGGACGTATTCTTTCACTGCTATTTTCTTTTCGCCAGTTATGTAGACATGCATAGCTGTATTCATCGGACACTTGAGTCTCATGCGGCCCTTCGCTGGGCTGGGACTGAAGTATCGAACTACGGCTTTCATTATGTTGGTATAGTAGGAGAGAATTTGTCATTGTCATGAAATTAGCTGCATCACGTTCAGATCAAACGCATGTCACCGAGTGATTTGATCAAATGGTTCTTTCAACGCTACGTAGCTATAGCATCTCTCTTGAATGCGTCTCGTTCGTCCTACACCCCCCTCTCAAGACGTCTTTACCCCTTACCATTGTTTCGTGGCATAACTGCTATTCTTCCTGAGCTTGGCGCCCCGCTATCACAGTGTCAGCTTGAAACCCCCAAGTGTGGTGCATGAAGAGGGAGTTCCTACCATGTAGAGTATATAGGGGAGAGGCACGAATGCAACAGCCAATATGGCCAAGATCATACTCGACCCGAGGACGTCGAACTTGTAGTACATTGCCGGGATAAATAGGGGGAATGTCGCTCCGCACATGCTGGTGAACAGCTCGTGCCCGGCGAAAACGGATGCAATGTGGTCCGGGTACGACTCCGCAAGGTAATTCAGAATCGAGATGTACAACAGCAGCGCGCCAGTCGAGAAAAAAGCTGAACCGACGATGGGGATTGCCCAGTGGATTGAGGGTTTCGCAGTCCACCCGAACCAGACTAAACTGGCTGGGATGAAAAAACACCCAACCATTGCGGGATGAAGATGCGTTTCCGGCTTGATGTTGCCGTTGCGGTCGTACTTGGGCTCAATACGTATCCGGTAATAGATGAAGAACGGAGGGATGATGGCCAGTACACCAACAATAAGACCCAACAGGGCAAGATTCTGTGTTCCGATGTCGAAGTGGTATACTTCCTTGTAGGCTAGCGGCAAAGCCTCGAACCAGATGTACATGAGCCCATACGTGAACGCGCTGTACGCGTTGAGAAAGAAAACCGTCGGTTCCGTCAGCACCAGCGTAAAGGGCCGGATGAGGTGCGCCTTGAGGACCTCGACGCCCGGCGTATTATCTGCCTTGAGCTGGGCTTCGCAGACGAAACCTAGATCGCCGGTGGCCCTACGAAGCCGCATCGTCCGCCGGTAGAGAATGTTATCAGCGCTCGTCTCGGGGAGAAAAAAGATCAAGATTATGAGTATGAAGGCGCCGAACCAGCAGATGATCCAAAGGGTCCACGTCCATCCCTTGACCTGGACTGCAAAACCGCCGATGATGGGGCCTGCAAATGTGTTAGAATATATCCGCAATATACGGAGCGGGTACTTGGACTTACCTATCGTAGGCCCGCCGATGCCAATGAGCGCAAAGCTTGCCATAGCGTACGTGTGTTTCCGCGGAGCGTACAGGTCCATCAGAATACCGCCCCCGGATCCCAGGATCGGTGATCCAAAGAAACCGGCGACGAAGCGGAAGCCCAGGAGCATGCCAATGTTGGTGGCCAGGGCGGTTGGGATCTGAGCGAGGATGAAGATGACGAGGGTGGGAATGTAGATGGAATTTCGACCTATCTGGGGGACCTCAGATAACGGACTCCAGACCATCTATACTTGATTAGTATCTGATAGAATATGAGGGCACTGAGGCTTGTACTCACGGGACCAAGTCCGTATCCAAGGACAAAGACAGTCAACCCTAGGAGGGCGACGGTGTCCGAGACGCCGAATTGCACCTCGACGCCGTGATACCCGACAGTGTAAATGGATGCTCCCGCATATACGGCAATGATTAGAAGACATAGCTCGAAGCTGACCAGCGCCTTCTTGAAGACGCTCCAGTTTCGCGGATTCTATATACGTGAATTAGCAGTCAAGCGAGGGGCATAAGCGGAAGGCCATCATACCTCTGGATCGTTCGGTAAGAACTGGACGAGATGTAACCCTTTCCTGTTTTCGATTCCGTACTTCTCCCATGTCGTGCGGCTTATTGTCTGGTTAGAGAAGTTGTTGTCTGGCCCCTTTTCTGAATCCAATGAATGTCCCCGGACATTGGTATGCCTTGATGCATGGGAAAAGCTGCCATCAGAAGTTATCACATTAGGCTGGCTTTTCCAGTAAATCTATGCCTGCGATCTTACTCACCCAGAGGCAGTTCGATCGTATAATTTTTCAGTGTATCGTTGACGGATCAACGGATGTCGCTCGTCAAAGTATTGGAATGCGGGGGATCCGCCTCCCGTAACCATTCGAATCACCTTCCATGCGGACGTATCTCGAATGAAATCAATAAATGTCATGTTTGTCGTTGCGTCTCTCACTGATTGCTTCACAATCAAATTCCCAAGAGTCAAGATCTCTGATAAAGTTTAAAGACAGGTTGGTTCTATATGACAAGCTCTGACACAAGTGCAATGCCGACTGTTCCCCTTCGACGTTGAGTCGTATGCGTCTGGATGCTCGTCATCGTCCTAAGGAGGATGCCATGCCATGGCATATGATTGCAGTTTTAGGGATGGCTGAGATGGTGTCGCCTCGGGATGCCGAACACGCAGCGACCGTTCGCCCGCCAAAATACGGTCATCGGACGCCTCCTCACAAAACCCAGAAGCAGAAGGAGATTCACTGCGCCGTCCACGGGCCCCGAACTCCCCGAATGCGCTTGAAACATTCTGAACGAGTAGAGTTGTCGGCTCAAGGACTCACGGACACGCGCAGGGCAGTAGGTAGCCTTGAGCTTGATGACTCAGGTGGCGCATCCGGCATACATGTTTCCTACTCTTTCGTCCAGTCTCACGGTCCCCGCGAATTGTATGCCTACCAGGATGGGCCCGTGTCGCCGAGTTTTGGCTAGAACTTGGCCCCGACCACAACGGCTCCCCAAAAGCCTGACATCATCAAGGTTGAGACACCAATTATGGGCCATCAAGCGCAGAGAGGGGAAGTTGAAGGAGGGTATTTAACAAGAATGATTGACGGAAAGGCAAGAGAGCAGTTACCGGGGAGGAAACTGCTTTCAAGGGCCGGTGACTATTCCTAACGCAATCACCAATCCAGTAGATTATTCTACTGTCTTGAGATTAAGCTCGTAACCTCAGAGTCGGCACGGATGGTAATGTGTTATCAGTCAAGGTACCCCCTTCCATCCTCAACGCAGGGACGGTGAGAGGTCTTCCGAACTCAAAACTGTCTTGCATCAATTCAAGTCCCAGATTGAAGCGTAAGACACTAGAAACGTGAAGGTTACTAGAAGCTCAGCTCCCGTTACTCCGGGCTGGTGTGGAGGAATCCGCTGGATCATGCATCCTTGACGGGCAGCCGGTGGGCGGGAAGCTTGAATACTCCACCTGAGCCGGGCCAGCACCCGGAGCCCAGTGCACGGATGACCTCAGCCGGGCCCACAACCTGTGCCACAAGTGGTCCAATTGAAAGTCTAGATCGCGTACAGCTCCAAGACCGGAGCTGCCTGCGATTTCGAATCGACCAATTCCAGACGACAAGACCTCGCGTTCGCGATCCCGGCAGGACAGACAAGACGAAGATGTCAGTCACACTACACACGAGCCTGGGCGATCTGAAGATTGAAGTCTTTTGCGAAAGCGTCCCTAAAACCGCAGAGGTAAGCAAGCCGATGCACTTTTTCCCCGAGAATGGCAGCTATCTCATCCATCCCACCACCGCAAAGATAGAAAACGAAGAAGAAGAAAAAACTAACAACGACGCAGAACTTCCTCGCTCTTTGCGCCTCGCACTACTATGACGCCTCTCCGATTCATCGACTCATCCCCAAATTCATGGCCCAGACCGGCGGCCCCGCGAATCCTTCCCCGCCCGAGAACCCAAAGGGCGGCCGCTCCATCTGGGGCGGCACCTTCGAGGACGAGATCCGGCCTGCGTTGAAGCACTCTGCGCGCGGCGTCGTCTCGATGGCCAACAAGGGACCCGGGACCAACGGGTCGCAGTTTTTCGTGCTCTTTGACAAGGCGCCGCATCTGGACGGGCTCAACACCGTGTTTGGACAGGTCATTGGCGACGAGGGGATGGCGACGCTCGATCGGATCGAGGCGGTCGAGGTCGACCGGAAAAACCGGCCCAAGGAACCCATAAAGATTGACAGAGTCACTGTTCACGCGAACCCGCTTGCTGGTTGAGGGAGCGGACTGGAAGTCTTGACTCTGACTGCTTGTGGGTGACGCACGGGGTTGAGTGGAGGACGATGAACCTCCATGAAGTTTTTGCTGCACTTATGATACCCGTACGTCAAGCCAGCCTCCTGGACGCGAACTTATGCTGATTAGCTGCAGAATAGACACATCGTTGAAACCCCATGCAGGGGCACGTCGACGATTTGCCGAACCATCACCGGCGAGGGGCGATGCAATCGTCAAGCCGCGGTCATGACAGCGTCGCCAACTACGTCCCATTGATGCCCGCAACACTGCGTCTCGATACTCAATCATTTTCACTCACCTCCGGGCAAGGTCGTATGTTGATGGGCTCTTGCTAGCCACCGGCTGCGACATACTTTCCGCCGCCTTGGACGCCCCTCGCCCAAACTAACGCATCTCCGGGGCTGAATGACGACTGCCAAAGGCTACTACCCAATGTCAACCCCCCTTATGGAGCCCGCTCCTCACCAAACCCCGACTCGTGCCCGCCGCTTGTGTCATGGAGAGGCGGAACTCCGCTCCGAGATTCTAGAACCTTGGGACTGGTCAGGCTGAGATAAGGGGCACATACTGCAAGTAGAAGTTCTTCGGTTTTCGACAGCTGCAGCGCAGAACCTTGATTAGTCTAATCGGCTGGGACGGTCGTCAGGGGTGCTTAGGCTCTTACGTAGTCACGTAGTGTTGGAAGCCTTGCAAGCATCTAAAGTCGTTGGAGTGGCTCGATAGGCCCCATCAAGGCGACGCATCGTGAGACGGATCTGGACCGCGTTGACCTTTGGCTGCCTGCCCCTTTTCTTACACGATGTTCCTCAAGTGTCGCAAATGGTGATGATGTAGCTGCTTGCATGCAAATTTCACTTGCTGTCTAGTGGAGGAACGCCGCCTGCGCGGTTGAGCAGCGTGCCCGTTCAAAGTCAATCTCAAGTGTTCTTACCATCGTGTCCAGTGCCGTTTCCGTGCTCGCATGTTGATGATTGACCAAAACCAATCCGTACACCTGACTGAGCCGTGATTTCCGGACCAAATGTCACAAAACACGGCATGTCACGTTAGGCCAGACAGACATTGTTGATCGAGACTAGCGTTTGAAGAGCTCCCGTCCGAACCGGCGAGTCTATTCTTACAAAAAAAAAATAACCTCGGGATGTTTTTCATCATCTCAATCATGCCCGAGTGCAGAGAGCCCAGCAAGTGAACCACTCACCCGCTCATCAAGGGCATACATAGTGTTTGTTGTGTGTTTGTTCCCTCGACGCAAACTCCTTCCTTCGACTCCCCACCATTGTTCCCAAAACCAGTAAGGTGAAGAGGAAAAAGAAAAGAAACATTTGTTTCTGGATATCATGCTCTTCCACACGCAAGCAACGAAACCCAGCTGCCTCCCAGAATCTGCCTGAAGCGAGAGAAGATCAAACGGAAGAAAAAAAGAAGACCACCCGCCGTTTTGTGTCATTAAGCAAAGATGATTCAAGACCGTGCACCAAAACGTTTGGTGCCGGCGAAAGGAGAGTCATGAAAAGGCACCAAGAGATACATGGTCCTTCGTTTCATCAGTCGTCAACCAACCCGTCGCCGTTTATTACCGCGGTCAGGGCTTCCGTTGAGTCCGTCAAAGTTATCCCGCGGAATCTCCTCGGTTCCTGTAGAGCTCGGCGTGCTGTTGACATTGGTGCCGCCGTTGTTTGGAACAGATCCGTCAAGAGTGAAATTGAAGTCATTGCCGTCGCCGTTGAAGTTGACGTTTGGATAGGTGTTCTCACCTTGGAAAGCATCAGGATTCAGGAACTGGTCGATGTCCAGATCACCGTCAAAGTAGCCGTTCACATTCCCGTTTTCATCGATGCCGGGTATGCGACCAGACGGGCTGAGTGGTCCGAGCATACTCGAGAGTTGGTCCAACTTTGCGGCCTGTTCTTCTTGCATGCGATGAAGCGCGGCAAGATCTTCCTGGTTGAAGTTGATCTGCTGCAGTGAAGGTGGTGGCGCGGCGGAACCCATGATGGGTGACAGTGAAAGGCCTGAGGCGGCAGGCATGGGGGGTGGTGTCTCGGGGGTTGCGGTGACTGATGGCGCAGGCGGATTGGGAGAGGCCGAGACCGAGGGCTTGGCAGGCCGGTGAGCGTTGGTGGAGGGTGTGGCCGATCGACCAGCCATTGCGTTGAGCATCTTGTTCCGCTGGTCATTGCTCATCGTCGCAGGGGTGTTGTTGACGACGTGAGGGAGGTCAATGCCGGATGAGTTGTTAGCATTGGTATCGTGGATGATCTTCATCATGCTCTCGTGGGGGTTGGTCTCGAGCTCTTGCGCCAAGTAGTTGGTGGGTGTGGTCTGATCTCCAGGGGTGTATCAAAGAGCTCCGTGACCGTACCCATCTCGCGGTTGTACGGCTGAGGCGTGGATGAGCTGGACGCCGGAGATGGCGAAACCGTGTTGGCGCGCGCATTTGGCATGGGAGGCAGGATCGCATGCCTGCGCTTAGCAAGGTTCATATTGTTGTTAGTATTGCTGGCCGAGTTTTGTGCTGCTTGGACGTAGTCGCCCAAGTCGACGACACTTCCTTGTGGGACCGAGTTGGCGTTGTTGCTATTCGGGATGATGCTCGCCAGAAGATCATTGACACTTTGGGGTCCGGCTTGGTCCTCAAGTGTCTTCCTAAACACATTGGCCAAGAAGTTCAAGATGGCGTTTATCGAGTTCTGGTGGCGGTCGTGCTGGCTCTGGAAAACGACTGCTTGCTGGTACAATGCAGAGTTGTCTTGTTGAATCCTTTGAATGGCCGTCATGATCATGCGTTGTTGCTCTCGCACCTTGGCCAGCTCTTCACGAATCAGCAACATTTCTTTCTTCTGAAGGGGCATGTCGCCAGAGGACGGCAAAGCCTTGCTGGCAGGTGCACTAGCAGCTCCGAAGCCTTGGCCCATAGTGTCTTCAGCGATGACAGCGTCCTCCTCGCTGTCGCCCTCAACCTCGGCGTTCTTGGCGCCCTTCTTGCCCTTGTTGCCGCCCTTGGGCTTATTGATGAGCCAGAGCAAGTTCGGGTGGCCTCGTCGAAAGAACGGGTTCGAGTACTCGCTCGGGCTCTTGTTCTTCCGCTCACTTGCGCGCATCGAGTTGTCCGACAAGCCAACGCGCTTGTGGAAACCGTACATGTTGAGCTGTCGCACGAAAGAGGCATAGTTGTTGTGTTTAAACAGGTCCGGAATTAGCTTCTTCGCAAACTCATCCTCGTCGAGGACGATGAACGAGTCGCCCTTCTCGGACCACCGAATCAGCTCCGAATTCTTGTCATCATCCAGGAAGCTGAGCACATGTCAGTATGTGGTCATCTTTCAATTTTCCCCACCTGCCAAAGGCGCATTCTCAGCGTCTTTGAGAGGCGGAGCTTCCAACTGACCTGCTCAATTTCTGCACGAACGGCGGAATCTGCTTCCGCTTCTGTTGGGCCTCTCTCATGGCCTTCCGGGCCATCTCCTCCAAGACTTCGATGTTGTCGGTATCAGTTATATTCCCATTTGCTTGTTGTTGCAAAAGTGCAGAGTCTTCACCGCCAAAAGACCAAGGGTCAGTTGGCGAGTCGAAGTTCTGCCTCACACCGGTGGGAACGAGTGCTCTGTTCATTTGCCTCCGTGCAAGCGCATTGTTAGGGCTTGGTGTGGGCTGCACAAACGGCTGTTGCTGGCCGGGGACAATGCCATACGAATTGATGGCGTGGCCCGCGGTTCCGTCGATGAGGCCATTTGCGTCGGCCGCTCCTCCCCATCGCAGGAACTGGTCGCCCGTAGGACTGGGAAACGACGGCTGTTGCACTTGAGGCATCGGCATGGTGGGCGTTGTTGCTGGCGCTGGTCTCTTTCGGGGGTTCGAAGACATAGGAATATGCATCTAGGTAAACGGGTGTTGAGGCGAAGGCCGTTTGTTGTCGGCCAAGTCGCCGGCTGATGCAGGGCCTCGAGACGAGCGTAGTAGCTGTCGCGGGGACGTGCTACTCAGCAAGGCTCGTTTGGCTTTTCGCGGACCGCGTTGGCGGTGGAGGCAGGCTGCCGGTTGCCGGATACAGCCTCACCGAGGGCTAGCAAACCGCCTTTTGAAGGCGGCTGTCGAATAAATGGGACCAACGTCCGATGAATCGGTTCGGGATGGCGCAGGTGGGATCGGGCAGGCGCTTGTCACATGCGCAGAACCGGCTCTGCTTGGGATTGAAAAAGGGTCGTCGTCGGGAGGTCGCGCTGACTGCAGGCCGTGGTGGAGGAGTACGGTCGCCGGTCTATATAGGTCTTCGGTGCCGTTGTCAGTCGTCGCCGTCGCCCGTGGCCCCGTCCCTGTCACGGTAGGCTATTGAAAGGTAGGCTGGGGGTCCTGAGTCAATCGCCAGGAGTGCGGCAGTAGCTTTCGCAAAGGAAGTCTGTTGTGAAGGGAAAACACCGACAACAATAGTCGGAACTACAGGTCGGCAAAGGAGCCCTTGTCGCGATAAGTCGGGCTTGGGTTTCGGCGCAAGGATACGATTGTCTCGGTCGTGGAGGATGTTGCGAAAGCTCTGAATGGGAGGTTCCGCTTCTTTGGAGTGGGAAAGGTGAGGTCGTGGTTAGGTAATTCAAGGTGAGTGAGGTAAGGCGCAAGGCGTCAGGCGTCAGCGGTGCTTGTGCTTGTGCTTGAGGTGGTGGTGCCCAGTGCTCAGTGCTGTGCTGACTGCTGGCTGCGGGCGTAGCGCGTCTGTCTCTCTCTCACACAACTTTTTTTTTTTTCGTGGTGGGGGTGGATAATGGGATGTCTTGGTGGTAAGAAGGCACAGGAAACGATGTCTCTCTACGCCTAGTAGGACTTGAGACACCCAGAGGCAATGACAAAAGTTTGCTGTGAAAAGCTATTGTTGCTGGACGAGTAAGAAGGTAAATCGCAAAAGAAATCACAAAGGTTGAGTTGGAACTGAAGCCATCTCTGGTCCGAACGTGGTGGGATGATATGCTTCTGTTATCAATGTTTATCAAGACGGCACAACATTGGAGGCTCAAGGCTGACTTTGGTCCTGAGTGGAGACCCCTTGGGGAGAGAACATTCAAAGCACGCCTGCAGTAGGCTCAGGAGCCCGCTCCCTTCAGGGAGCCCCATCCAGACAGCCATGTTCCCGAGCACCCCAAAGGGCACCGTGGTTGTGCGGGAACCTCGACTGGTCAGGATCAGGTCCCTTGGGAACGGGACAGATTGTCCGGCCCAATCAGAACACACACAGAGGCCCACGCTCACCGACAAAGTCACGTGCAGATAGTTTGGTAAACCGTACAGACCGCCCCGCTATCCTATCACAAACAGCATATCTGGGCTTCGAGACAGGAGCAAGCGGCACAGCAAGCAGTGCCCAGTGGCCGCCAGCATGGACTTGGGGGACTCCAGTGTCCCAATTTGGGGGATATGTTCCCACCCAGCCTATACTCCAACACACGCATACAAGGGTCTAGACTCGGCCGAACTGCCGTTTTTTCCTCGGTGACATCCGCCCTTTCTTGAGACCATCTCGATGAAGTATGTGGGGACGGTGGAGAGCTTCCTTCTGGCAACGTCATTTTTCCCCGATGACTAGCTTATTCTTCGATCTCAGTCCTGCCTGCACGGCCCCAGTTCAATTATTGTCTGAATAGCATCAAGGAATTACAATGACTAACGCGACCTCGAACTCTATGAGAGACTCATCTTCGATTCTTCGATCCATTTCAGGGGGGTATCATTGGTTTGCTGCAACTATGCCTACGGGCTCGCATTCATCCTTGTCAATTGACCCGATGCTCTACCTGGCTCCTCTCCCCGCAAGAGCCGAAACTCGTGCCATTTTCGAGTTTCGTGCCTGATCCCATTCCCGTCCGGAGTTTCCGCTCCGGGCTTCTCGCGATGCCTTGTTCTCCTCCTGCAGTGTCCGGGCCTTCTGTCTAGGATCAATCACAACCAACTCGTCCTCAGCCTTTTTGCGATAACTGAGATCCTTGCCCAGCTTGTCCGCTTTGAAGCTCAGCGCGTGTGACATCCACCCTTCGTCGTCGCTATCTTCCTTGGCGGCCTGATCCCACGCCTTGCAACTCTGGCAATCGGCAATAAAGTGCAGATCACAAAGTTCCGCCTCTTCGTCCCCGGCTTTTTCCTCCCTGGCTGTCACATCGTCATCAACGGAGCTGGGTCCGTTGCTTTTGTCCTCCGGAGCTTGCTCCAGCTTTGATTTGAAGGCTTTCAAAAAGTCAAGTGCTTGCTGATCGTCGCGGGGATTCGCGTTGCCGCCGGGCCTTCTCCTCCTGCCTCGAATTGAGGTTTCCGGAATCATGCTTTCAAGTGCCGACTTCCTTGTTTCCTTGACCGGTTCGGGCTGATAGCTCCGCTTCATTGACGCCTTGAGAGCAGCAATTTCCTCGTTAGTCTTCTCAAGGGCGGACTTGGTGTTCCGGACTTGGGGCTCGGGCGACGGGGACTCTTGCAGCCGGATGGGAATGTTGCTCTTCCCCCCGTCTGGCACCACTTTCGTCGGCGGTGTTATCTTCTCGTCGGCGAGTTCGGGCTCAGGTTGACGTGGGGGTTCCGGGTTTTCCACTCTGTCGGCCTTTGCCTTGGACTTCGACTTGGTCTTCGTCGACTGTCTCTCAGTTGGTTCTTCCTCGTCAACGTCCATCACTATTCTCGTATCGTACTTTGTCTTTTTCAAGACCGGGACCTCCTCAGCATCTCCCTCCTCGTCCCCGAAGCTAAGCAATTGTTTCCCGCCCTTTCTCTTCTTCTTCTTTTCGACGGCAACCGTCTTCGGAGCCTGAGTCGCAACCCTCGATCTCTTCACCATGTCCTCAAAAGGATTGACGAGGATCTCGATGCTCGTAATCTTGACGGGATACGTCGGTCGGTCGGTGCCTGGGGTGACTTCGGCCTCGCCCATCTTTGCCAGGTTGTAGATCGTATCGCCGGCTACTCGACCGAACAGAGTGTTCTTGTTGTTCAGCTCCTCTGCCTTGTCGAGCGTGAAAAAGAACTGGCTGCCGTTCGTATCGGGTTTGCTTTCGTTTGCCATTCCCAGCTGTCCACGCCGATTCCACTTCAACCGTGAGTGAAACTCGTCCTTGAAGCCAATGCCCGTCGGGCCGGCGTTGTGACCTCGTCGTTCGTCCATAGGCCAGGGGTCCAGCTCGCCGCTGAATGCGCCTCCATCGTAGATCGACTCGCCGCCATTGCCGGTTCCTGTCGGATCACCACCCTGCAAAATAAATCCCGGAACAAGCCTATGGAAGATGGTATTGTCGTAATAGCCGTCGAGGGCTAGCTGAAGGAAGTTGCGGCAGGTGAGTGGTGTTTGTTTCGCGAAAAGTTCGACGGAGATGTCGCCCAGAGTGGTGTGCAGGATGACGGAAGCCGTCGGTTGCGGCTCGAGGTTGTAGATGGCCGACATCTTAGCCGGCCGCGACAAAGCCCCGTCGAGATTGGACTTCGGGGTGTTTAGGCGATAAAGGAGGAGGATGAGGTTGATATATACAACGTCGAATCGTGGAGATACGGGTGGAGGCAGCTACGACATTCGAAAGTTTCTTAGACGTGCCCTGTGTTGTCGGCCAAGGTTGCACCTGTTATCGATAAGGTCACGTGTGTCTACTCTCAACGTCATGCCATCCGGTGCCTCTTCGTTGGTTCCATCCCGTTGAGCCGACAACAAGCACCATTCGGAGAGGCTGCCGAGTTGATAAATTTGCCCGGGCAGCAAGTAGCTATGGATCTCTCCTAGAACGCCCAGTTTTGGGTATCTGTGTTGACTTTTGGTATCTCCGGGACATTTAATGTGGACCTGACAAGCTTCGCTACGTTCGTCACTGGGGAGCATCACTGGGATGTTTCTAATTCCCAGAGTCCAGCGCTACTGCCACGCTTTTTCCTTTCGTATTTATGAAGAATGGCAGTATCTATGACTATCCGTGGCGTCGCTTATAAGGATCAAGCTGTTGATGCGTGCACTTTTCCATTATTGATTGTTTTGTGATGAATGGGAGGAACAACCTATTCTTCAGGAGAGCTTTCCCGTTGTAAAACTGCCAAGCTCTGTTTCGGGAGAAGATGGCTGCAGAGCAGCGCCAAACCCACTTTGCCCTCTTGTAACGGTTTTGCAACGATGTTAGCACACAATGATCCTCCCGTACGGACTTCCAGATCAAGACAAAGTCTTTTGACTTGTTGCGCCTTTCCTGAAAGTCGACATTGTGCTTACATACTATTTTCGGTCCTCGTCGTGCGCTGTGTGTAAGTACTCAGTTACAGTGCCCGTTTGGACGCTTTCCCGAGAGCTAGATCAGCGCAAAGGCCGAATAAGAAGCAGTGTGCTATCATATTATTTCCCGCTCAGATCCCCCTTCATGGACGGCATATGTTTTTGGAGTATGTGACTAGACAATGTCCGTTACGTTAAGCGACCATCTCAGCAGCGACATTATGTTGGCAAGGTTCTTCGGCTCTGACGAAACTGGAGCCAACCCTGAAATGGAAGCGTCTGATTATCGAGATGAAGAGGAAGAGCACTGCCCCGAGCACCCTGAAGGGAACGAGACATTGTGTAATGGGCAGCACTGGGGGAATACATCCGGCCGCAAAAGTCCCACGGGTCCACAGCATTACAGTCATGGTTTGAAGGGCGCCAACCTTGGATCCCGAGTTTAAGGGGACATGTGCTGTTTCTCAAGCATTTACCCTATTGTTTAAGGCAGACAATATCAAACACAGCGAAGAATATCCCCAGAACAGTGCCACTGGGAAGTATGGGCCTACACGAGCGAGTGAGACCACAGATGTTGAAAGCAGAACGTAACAACCATTGCTGGGAGATCGACAGTTTCCGAGACTGCATAACGGCGCATCGTGAGTATTGGATATAGTGCGCTTTATGATTTCTATTTTCCTTGCTGATATTTATGATGAACGATCTTTGGCAAAGGTGTTTGCAACGATAAATGGGAATACCAGCGTAGCATCCGCATAGACCTAGAGACGCATGTTAGCAATGGGCTCGGATTCCACTTCCACTCATCTCGGTGACATACCTTGACGGCATCGGCTCCAATCTTGATTTTACCCCAAGAGACAGCCTCATCTGGCCTGGCACCAGCATCGCTTCCGTCAAACTCTTGGCCAGTGTTGATGTACACAGCCGACTCGGCACCGTTGCGCATCAAGCATGCGTTCGCAATGTGGTGCTTGATAACACCGCCACCCAGAATGATCATGCCTGCTCTCTTCGCACGAACGGAGATGGTGTTGATACGTCGAATGTCTTCGACGATATCACACTTGAGCTGCTTCGGTGAGGCCTTGAAGGTGTGGAAGTATAGCATGTCTCCCAAGCTTCCGTCCGTAAGCGCTGGGCAGAAGACGGGAATGTCGTTCTTCCACGCCCAGTAGTAAACGGAGCGCTCGTCGTTAATCTCCTTGCCTAGCCTGTGGATCATCTTGGAGGGCGTCCAATTGATCTCCTCTTCGGTGCCCTTGCTAGCCTCTTGCTCCTCGAGCATCTTATCAAAGATGGGCACGACCCAGTCCTCGAAGGCGCGGTAGTTGGAGTTGGGGACGACGAGGTTGCCGATTCTGTTCTGGCCCTTCTTGCGCAGGTCCTCGCCGTTGGCGCTAAAGGAGGACATGTAAGTGTCGCCCAGACACTTGATAAAGTCCTCCTCGACTCCTCCGGCCGTTGTCACGATGGCGGACACGTGCTTATGCTTGACCAACCATCTAAAGACTCCCCTCATGCCAGAGGATATCATGTTGGAGGTGTAGCCAAGGAAGATGGTGGTCTTGTCGCCGGTTTCTGGGTCGCGCCATGCCCTCTTGGACCCCTGTCAGTAGGGTCGCATCACGAACAGACGTGGGAGCAGCTCACCATGTCGTTGATGATCCGGATGGACTCGGCGAGGGACGAGGCTTGAAATCCCATGTATCTCATGCCATTGAACAGACCCTCGGCTGTAATGGGGCCCTTGAAATCATCAAAGTCCAACTCCTCGACCTTCTGGGCGCCCTCAGGCATCTCCTCCGACACGACAAGGACTGCATCGGTGGCTGCCGCCGGTGGGGCGTTGGGGTTCTCTTGAGACGCCATGTTGTTTGCTTCGTGATGCGCTATCAAAGCAGTCACAATCAGAAAACAGTAGGTGAAGCCCGGTTGGAAGGATCACAAATGAGATTTGTCTCAAGCCCCGGCGAATGCGAATACATACCAGTGAGTGGAGTGGCGATCCAAGGCGAGGTAGGTACAACGAATTGTGGGAACGCGCGAGAACCGGCGAACTGGAAGGCGATCAGACAAGAACCCTGTCTCAGTCTCAAATCAACCCGGGCTCTCTTTGACCGTCACAAAAGATGCGACAAACCCGTCAATAATTGAGGCACGAATATTATGTTGTGAAAGTTCCATCCACACCAAGTGCAATGGCTCCATCCGGGCGGGCATGCAATGACTCCACGGTCGCGATGTTTGAAAAAACGGACCCCACTCTGCAAAGAATTTTGACGGAAAGGTGGAGTCCAGGGCCGCAGGGTCTGCCACGGCGCGCACAAGGCCCACCCCAGGCCGTCCTTGAAAGTGCCCACCAGCGGACCTCATCGTCTAATGGTGAGGCGACACGGCAACAAACGTGTACTGTAGGGTGGTGTGCCTGGCGTTTGGTGTGTGGTGTGTATGGGGCCTTGATAGGTGTGTGCCTGAGCTGGGGGTGGAGGCGTTGACAGGTGGAAGACACAGAGACACGGCAATGGCAGGCTTGGAACAGACGGACGGGACTCTGGGCACCGACAGACGGGAGAGAGTGAGTTGGGCAGTGGAAAACATTCAAGGCACGGAGGTCGACACGGTACGTACCGCATCTCTTGGAAATTGAGATTTCGGAGGCAGAGAGAGCCCCCTGCTGGCCTACCTAACACTCGACGTGCCGGGGTCCGCAGAAAGACTCGAAGGGGTCTAGCGTGTCTGGCGGTAAAAGGCTGGCGGCCTGGTGCTGCCCCCAGCGGAATTTTGAGATCCAACCTGAACCCGTCCGAGCCTAGCACGATTAAGCGCCACTGCACGCGAACCGTATTTTGCAGGCTGAACCTGTGGCCGGGGTACCGTCTTCAATCCTTCAACATCACACGATTGCTCTCCGACTGCGTTGGTGTCGCATCTTCTGCGCTTCAACACACACGAACGCCTGACCCCCTCCCGCAACGCCCACGCACTTCGAAGCAGTCGTTACCCGCGAAAATCACTCCACAGCCTTCACCCATCACTTCGAAACCTCGACCATCGATACAATCAGATTCCAGACAGGATACCTGACGCCAACGCGACGACCCGCCGTCGGATGCACCCACTCCCCGCCGTGTCCGGTTCCCGCTTCCTTCCCACCTCCTGAACACCACACCCAGCGACGCTTATCCGAGGTTGGGACCCGACCACTCCAAAAGTCTTCAACGACCCACGACGACCAAGGTTCTCTGGTTCCACGTCCCAATCATTACACATATGGTATTGGATCTTTATCATAGGCAACTTTAAGGGCTGTCGCCCGGCCTAGTGCGATGTGAGTAGTCGAGAGCAACAAACCCAACCCTGAGATCAACATTCAATTCAAAACCCACACACGCATGCCCGACCCAGAGTTGGCATCGCTCGAGACCCGTCGAGTCAAAACAAGGACACAATTAACATCCAGATGCGCCCTCCGTATGACCACATGAGGCGTCATGCGGATGCGAGGCGTTTCGTCGAGCGACCCTTCCATGCTAATCACGATCTCTACAGGGCTTCGAGATATTCCTCGAGGTATGACGGTGGGGATCGTCGCTCGAGATCGCCTCGCGACCGCTCGCCCGATCGCTACGAACGCGCATCGCAGTACAGTGATGGCGACCGCCGTCGATCCTCCGCCGAAGCGCGTTCCAACACTTCGGCCTTTCAGAACAATAGAGATTCGTTCCGCGACAACCTTCCCCGTGACCCCCCGCGGGGTCCCAAGGCACTTCTAGACCCTCCCAGTGGCCCTCGTGGCGGCGGCTATGCTGGCGACTTTCGAGGACGGGGCAGAGGTCGCGGGCGTGGCTGGGTTCGCGATGACAGCAGGGACCGTGGCCGAGATCGCGATATCGATTTTAGGGACCGACGCGATGGACCGTATAGAGATGAGAGAAGTCGCGAACGTGAGCGAGACTGGGATCGCCGAGAGAGAGAGAGTTATCGGGGACGCCCACGATCGCCAGGGAGAGGACGTTCACCACCTCCGCGGGATTTCCGCGACCGAGACCCCCCTTTAGGCGTTGATGCCGAGAGATCTAGGCGGGGCTCCAGAGACGGCGGTCCGCCTTCCGCTGGCTCATCCAACTCCGATCCCCCTTCGGCATGGCTCGCGGTGGTTTCCGAGGCGGCAGAGACCGAGGACGTGGCGGCTGGGACAGAGGTAGAGGACGCGGCGGCTTCTACGATGACCGTGATCGCTTCGGACCCCGCAGCCGCTCCCAGGAAGGGCGTTGGGGCCGTGATCGAGACGAACGAGATCGCGACCGATGGATCGACTCAGACGCTCGCAGAGACCCCCGAGACGACCGTGACCCTCGCGAACGTGAGTTACTGAGGCCCAAGGTCGACCGCGAACGCGACCGAGGCATGTCTTCCCAAGCACCATCACCGAACACCAAGGATGTGTCACCTCCACCCCTGGCCCCCTCGGCGCCGGCTTTTGGTACGGTCCCCAGTAGGAACGTCGGTGCCGCCGACGGATCACCCATCATCGGGGGCACCGGTAAATTGCCCCCCACCGCTCCGAGAGCCTTCAACGCTGAACGACCCGTCTCCGCAGGACATGGCAGCGGCGGCGGCAGCGATTTCCCAGTGCCTCCCACCGGACCAGCCAGAATGAGCCTCGTAGAGGGCAGCCCGCCCATCCCCTCGGGTCCCCGTGCTCAACAGCAGAAGCAGCAACGACCTTCTAGCAAGCAGTGGATAAACCCCGCATTAGGTGGGAAGAAGATCCCCGAGTCGCCCAAGATCATGAGGTCACAGAGCTTCGCCCAGCAGCAACGCCCGGCACCTTTCCGCCACGACAGCGTCCCGGCAGAACAAGGCGATTATGACAGGCGTCCCCGCAGTAGTGATGCGAAGGCCGACTCTCACAACTCCGCCACTGAAGGCTCAGTGAAGTCGCTCAACCTTCCCGAACCTGGCGAAATCATCATCAAATCTGAACGAGACAGTTCCTCGGCTAGAGGATCGATGGATCGTGATTCAGAGCACCCGGACGCTAGGGATACCATTATGGCAGGGACCGACGCCCATGCATATGAGGAGCATCGGCCCCCATCACGGGGTGAAGAGAAGCCTGTCCCGGCTGAAAGAGTTGTCGTCGACGAAGACTCTGCAGAGAAGAAGCAGGAGCTGCCTCGGCCTGCCAAGGAAAGCAGAATGTCGGTGCCAAAAGTTCGGTTTGTATTGCCCCCGCAAGAACCCTCGGCACCTGTATCTGAGCAGACATCCGAATCCGACGACGACGAAGACTACGGGGAATACTTTGCTATGGAAATCGCCAAGGAAGAGGCGGAACTGGAAAAGTTGCGCGGGGCGGCCGACAATGCCCCGGACAAGATCATTGCTCGCTATGCAAAAGTCTCACACGACGCTTTGGTTGCGCTTGTCACCGAATCGGAGGGCCTCGTCGATATGCTTGGTCCGGTCCCCGATATCGTTGAGCCTGTCAAGGAGGAAACACCCGCCAAATCCCCCGTTGTCGAACAGCGCGAAAAGACGCCACAAGTCCCGAGTCCTGTTCTGCCCACCAAGTTTTCGCCAGAGCAGGCTGTTGCCGCGCCTGAAATTGAAGCTGCACCAGTGCCAGAACCTGTAGTTGTAAAAGAGCCCGAGCAGGTTATCGTTGAGAAGGGGATAGACAAGACAACCGACAAGGAGACCGCAAAGCAGGCCGAAAAGGAGGTGGATAAAGACACTGAAGAAAAGTTTGGAATGCCTGCCGAGAAGGCTGTGGAAAGGCCTACCGAGAAGCCTACCGAGAAGCCTACCGAGGAGGCCATTGAAGACACCCAGGAGAAGCTTGTCGACAAGCCCATTGAGAAGGTTGCAGCAGTGGCCGCCGAGGATACCGCCGAAAATGCACCGGAACCCGATGCCGAAAAGACTGAAAGGCCCCCGCTTGATATCGTCCCCCATGAACCGCAGCCCAAGACTGAGGAAATGGATATTGACGAGCCTGCCCCTATTTCTGCGCCTTCTCCTCCTCGACTTTCCGAACCAGCAAAGGACGCCGATGTTGCCATGGAGGATGCGGTCGAGCCCGAAAACCCGCCTGCAAAAGCAGTCGTCGAGCGCGAGGCATCAAAGGAACCGGTCACCAACGGCCAATCTGTGCATCTTCAGCCATCCGGTGTGCCGATTGAGACCATCGAAGGGGACAAGGCTCTGCCTAGCACACCTTCTCAAATGGAGGACGACGACGAAGACAACTCGACGGAATCGGACGACGCTGATGCGGATGCAATGCTCATTGATACGATTCGACAGTACTCGGCAACCCCTCCCATTGACAGTCTACCCGACTACAGCTGTCGGGCATGGAACCGGGACAGAGACTTCTTGGAATCCCTCGATTCAGACCCTATGATCGATGACTTCATCCTGCAGCAACTCGATAAGATTTCTCTGGAAAAGATGGCGGGGCAGGAGATTGCGCGCAAGGACTACGCTGATAACTACGTTAAGTATCTTGACTTCACAGTCTCAAGCGATCCGATTGCTGTCAAGAGCCGAGAGACATTCATCAGCTGTCTGCCGACGCCCGAGAAGCACGTACCCATTCCACCTCCACCTGAACTCAAGCCAGAAGGGAGGGGAGCTGGTAGAAGGTATGCAAGCGAGCGCGACCTGGAAAGAGTCTTGCAAGCTTCCATGAGAGAGGACGAGGAACGTAAGGAAAGGGAGCAGCGCGCCATGCAAGAAAAGTATCGCAGTGAAAAGGAGGCGGTCATCCCCGAGATGTATTGGACAAAGGAGGATCGCGACGCCGAGTTCTTCAAGGACACCACCGGTTTCACGCCTGTGGAGAAACTTGTCCCTGCTTGGCAGATTTTGCCACCAATCAACAACTTCACACCCGAAGAGGCCGAACTCTTCGAGAAGAGGTATCTGACTAACCCGAAGCAATGGGGCGTGGTTGCTGAGAACATACCGAAACGCAATTTCGGTACTTGCATTCAGTACTACTACCTGATGAAGAAGGAACTCAACCTCAAAGAGAAGCTCAAGAAGCAGCCCAAGCGCAGGAAGAAGGGTAGAGGCAAAACGCGGTCAAGCGCTTTGGTCTCCGAGCTGGGCAATGCCGAAAACGAGGGCGAGGAGAACCAGGAGAATGGCGAGAACGGAGAACGGAGACGGCCGCGCCGTGCTGCTGCCCCAACATGGGGCTTTGAGCAACCCCCTACGGATTCCGACAATGCAACACCTGCTGGCACACCTGGTCGTCGTGGAGCTAAAGGAGATCCCGAGAAGCCAGACGGCAGGAAGAGAGGGAGGAGATCTGCGAAAGACAAGGAGCCCAAGGCCGCCAAGCCACAACAAACTCTTGCTGCGGCTCCAGCAACAACTTCAGGCAAGGGGCGGTCTCGCTCGAATTCGAGGGTCCAGAACACCGAGTTTCAGCCACCGCCACCCGTGCCGACGGAGGCCCGTCTTCCATCACAGCCCGAAGTACCAACAACGGCCGTCCAGCCCCCGTTTGTTCCCGCTCAACAGCCACCTCTGGTGGTCCAGGAGCGTCCCGTTCCCATTCCCCCTTCAGCGATATCCGAAGTAATGGCGCCTCCATCCCTGCGGCCGGAGCCGCCACCACCTCCTGCGCAACCCACCATAGCAACGTTCGACATCGCTCAACCACAGCCCGAACGCCGTGCTCAAAGTCAGGCGTCAAGTTACTGGAGTGTTTCGGAAGCAAACGACTTCCCAGGCCTGTTGAAGTCGTTTGGTACTGACTGGGCAGCTATTGCGGGACACATGGGTTCGAAGACAGCTGTCATGGTGAAGAACTACTTTGTCAGACAGAGAGACCAGGGCAAGACAGAGTGGGAGCAATTCGCTGCTGAAGCGGACGGGAAACGAAGCAGAGGGGAGAAGCTGCCTGATCCACCACCGCCAACTGTCGGCGGGCGCAAAAAGTACGACTCGACACCTGCGTCGTCTCACCGGCCTCTGGCTTCTGCGCCTGCTACTCCCGTACCGCCCGTGACGACTGAGCCGCCGAGCGACACGCCAGCAACCAAGGTTGAGACTCCAGTCCAGCAGCCTGGAAACCCACCGTTTGGTCGCTTTACGATGCCCATTACTCCGGCACCACTGTCTCAACCGCAGCAGCAGCAGCCTCTGGCGCAGGCGCCTCCGCCCGCTCCAGCTGTTACCCAAGCGCCCCCACAGGCTCCTCCACAGGCTCCTCAACAAGTACCGGTGCCAGTTCAACAGCAAAATCCAGTGGCTCAACCTGCTGTCACGCAGTCTGGATCACCTATTGCCCGTCCCCTAAGAGCGCCGCCTCAGCAAGCCTTTGGCTTCCAAGAGAGGGAGCGAGAATCGACGCAACCCCCTCCGCCAGTTAGGATCTCTCAGAAGCCATCTGCAACCCCGGTCGCCGAACCTGTTCAGCAGCGACCTCTGGCTGCCGCACAACCCATCCAACCTGCACAGCCTGAACCGCAGATCGACCGACAACAGGCAGAGAGGCAGCAACAGATGGAACGTCAAGCCATCGAACGACAGCAGATCGAGAGACAGCAGATGGAGCGACAAAGACTGGAGCAGCAGCAGATGGAGCGGCAACAAATTGAGAGGCAACAGATTGAGAGGCAGCAAATCGAACGGCAGCAAATCGAGAGGCAACAGATCGAGAGGCAGCAAATGGAGCGGCAGCAGCTTGAAAGACAAGCCATCGAGAGACAGCAGATCGAACGACAGCAGCTGGAGAGACAGCAAATGGAACGGCAGCAGACTGAACGACAACAGATGGAGAGGCAACAGATGGAAAGGCAGAAGATGGAGGCGCAACAGCCCAAGGAACACTTGCGCCCGACTGAACGCACACGGCTGAAGCAAGAGCCTGAGATGACGCCGCCGCACCACCACTATGAGCCATTCTCATACAACCAGCAGCCAGCCCGGAACGTGCCGCCGCCTCGTTCCGAACCTCCGGCCGTGTCGAGACAGCCTGCTGAACCGCCTCGGCCTACAGCGACCCCAGTGCCACAAAGCTACGGCCAGCCCATGCCGCAACCGGGTGGACGCTTGCTCGGAGACCCCCAGCCGGCCGTCTCGACCCCTCCTGGCCAGCGACCCATTGCTGCGCAACGTCCTATGCCTACCCACATGGATTCTTACAGCACCCCGCCTCAGCAGCCGCAACCCCCAGCGGCTATGGCATCTCGCCCGTCGGCCTCGGAGCGCAAGACATCTAACATCATGTCATTACTGAACGACGATCCTCCGTCGGCTGCCGCAGCCGCCGCACCCACGCCCCCTCCTCAACCGAAGCGTCTCAACGACATGACCCAAATGAAGCCATCACCGACGCCTCCTCCACAGAGCATGTCAAGAGGCCCTGCTCCTCCGGCCCCGACCCCGCTGCGGCCAGAGCGGGAACCTCCTCAGGCATATCCCTATGGTCGAAATGCCCCGTCGGCGTCTGCAATGCCTCCCCTGAAGCCGACATACACGGCTTCGCCACAGGCACAGCATATGAGCGCGCCAAGATCGGCTATCGCATCTCCGCATGATGCGGCGGCAGCAGTTGAGCGTGACTACTACCGGCAGTACCAACCTCAGGCGACGAACTCGCCTCAAATTGCGCAGCCCTACCCGCCGCAATCGCAACCTCCTAGGGATGCTTATCAGCCCCAGACTGGCTACTCCGGATATGGTGCCCCTGCCACTCACGCTGGCTCGCCACCTCCCCAATACGCAGTTCATCAGTCGGCCTCTAGGCGAGAGCCGCCACCCCCACAAAGCCGGGAATCGGCATGGCCTCCCGGGCCCCAGGGACACGCCATGGGCCAGCCGCAACCACCACAGCAACAGTCCTCGTGGCCACCAGCGTCTCACGGGCCGCCGCCGAAACAGCCTCAACAAGCGCCACCTCCACAGAACTGGGCTTCGCCGCACATGTCGACTCAGAAAGCACCTCCAGCGGGTCCGGCCGTTCCACAACAGTCTTGGGCCTCTGGTCCGCCTCAGCAGCAGCAACAGCAGCAGCAGCAGCAGCCGCCGCCGCCTCACCATCACATGTCGATGCGCGACGATAGAGGCGCGCCCATGTATAGCCAGATTCCCCCTCAGCATCAGCACGCGATGCAAGGGAGATACCCTCCGGTTTCACGAGCGCCAGAGCCGATGCCACCTCAAGCGCAGCAGGCTTACCCGCCACGCTACGCATCCACGCCCGCGCCTAGAGATCCTCGGGACCAAATGCCGCCGCGAAGCTACACGCCTGTAGGATATGACGCACGTGGCCCTCCTCCCGGACCCTACCCTCCGGACCCACGAGAGATGCAAATGCGCGACCCCAGGGATCCGAGAGATCCCCGGGAGATACAACAGCAGGAGATGCTCCAGCGCCAACTGCGCCCGCATGACGGCTATGGTAGACAGCCGGATCGCTACGGCAGGTAGGCGCAACGGGCGCCCATGTTGAAAAACCATGTATCACAATGAAGAATTTGTTTGAACGGGGTGTTGATGGGCTTTCTAGTTTGAGCACTAGGAGCAATGGGGATTTGTAGATGGAGGAAAGGAGATTTGTATTTATAGTGTTTTCGAATGCACAAAGCAGAAGGTCAGCTTCAATAGATTTTAAGCTATTCAATATTTGATGTCCGTATATGCCCGGGGAAATCGCGATGTGATGGCCGTATAATGAGCGGCCGAAATGACATGTTCATCGCTAATGAGAAGTGTGTCTTCCCCTGTCACTATCATGCCGTGGGTTCAACATTCCGGTGGCAATATCAAGAATTATAGAGACCTATCAGCGGCTACAGCGCACACAATCACACATGGACATCTCAGGGGAATGCTCTGTATACTGCACACCCTGTTCAAGTTATCCAAGTGACTGTCTCCTCGTTTCTCCCACTCTGGCCCTAGATGCCCCCAGTGTCGCTGATATTATTCCCAGAAACAAGACACTTTGCAACCCTGGCTACACCCCGAGCCAACAACGCTCGCAATGTTACCAACAACCGTCTGTCTGTCTACTGCTTCTTTCCCCCACGCTTCAGAGCCGCGACCCTCGCATACATCTCACCCTCGAACGCTTTGATGTAGTCCTCGGTCACGACCTCGCCGGACGGCATGATCTGCGTGCCGAACACGCCGGCAAGGCCGGCCTCGCGATCAATCCACTGCACGGGGCTGAGTCAGTCTGTTTGTTCTCAAGAGGAGGGGGGAGGGAAGCAGTAAGAGATTACGAAAAGGAAATCGCGGGGTACGCACCCAAGAGATGTTCGCCGCGCCGCCCCAGATCAACATCCCCCTCTTCCGGTGCGGATGGGCGTCCCCGTCGACGAGGAGCCCGCCAAGACCCCAGTCGTACTCCCGCGTGACGGGGAAGTCGCCCACGGTCCACGAAGGGTCCTCCATCTCGCGCAGCAGGGCCCTCTTGGGCACCTCGCCCAGTTGCGGCTCGAACATGGCGGCCGCGGTCTCCGGGCGCAGGAGCTTCCCGTCGTCGACGAGGAGGGAGTGCAGGATCTGGACGTACTCGTCCATCCTCCCGTAGAGCCCCTGCCCGCCCAGAGGCGACGTGGCGCCGGCTTCGAGGTCGAGGCCGGTGTACGGGACCACCTTACCCGTCGATGGGTCGCGGCCGCTCAGGGGCCAGAGCGTACCCTGCCTCACGACCTCGGCTCTGGAGAACGTGAAGGAGGTCAGGCCAAGGGGCCCGAATATGTTTGTCTGCATGTAGCTCCCGAGGTCGACGCCCGTGAGGACCTCGACGACGCGGCCGGCCCAGTCGATCCCGTTGCCGTAAGTCCAGTCCTCGCCGGGCTGGTGCAAAAGAGGGTACGAGAATCGCGCCTCGACATCCCCGCCGGAGACGGGTACGATGCCGTGCAGGGCTTGCCAGCGCTGGATCAGGGACGGGGAGAGGAAGTCGTAGGCCGTGCCGGCGGAGTGGGTGAGGAGGGCGCGGAGGGTCAGGGGGTTGTTGCGGGGTTCGAGGATGGGTTTTCCTTCTTCTCCCTTTTCGAAACCGCGGAGGACTTGCTGGGAAGCAAGGGCGGGGACGTGGGAGGATATGTCTTCGTCAAGGGTCACGAGGCCACGCTCGACGAGCTGGAGGACCGCGACGGTGGTGATTAGTTTCGTGGCGGAGGCAAGGAAGAGGGTTGTCGAGGGCTGCAGGGCTGGGATGTGAGACGGGGACGAGGGAGATATGATCTTGGAGTAGTCCAAATCTCCTTTGTTGTTAGCTGAAGTCAGTAAGTGGTTCATCAGGGTGAAGGTGTGAGTCGGCCACACCTGATTTGTCCTTTGCGTAGAGAACGGCGCCGGGGAGGACGCCATCACGGACTGCCTTCGTGATGTATTCTTCAAAGGAGGACATGTTGACCAAGTCTGTTAATCACGAATCGACACAGAGAAAGCAAGAAGCAGATCGATTCCAAAACCAAGATGCTCGGACTGCGTGGTAAAGGTTCTTATGCCGTTGGTGCTTGAGCGTGGTATTCGAAGCGATACTTCATCTCTTTCCCTTCACACTTCCGAGCAGAGAGACTCTGTCGATGTTATATACACATCTCAGCCATACGAAGAAACTGCCCCGATTTCGCCATTCTCATACAAACGCATAATCGCGAACCACCCTTGGGGTCGGTTCTGGTAGACAATCCATTTTCACTTACTAAACGGCATACGCCAGGGAGATCGTGAAATTAGGACCCCTGTCATTTACCGGTTCCGCGGAATCCCTTAGCTTACTGAGGTGAAGCGGTCGAACTCTGATCCGATCAACAACTGCGTGCTTATGTATTCAAGCCGAGCCGAACCTCCGCCAAAAACATGCTGACTGTGCTTGTTCCGTGGAGGTCAGACAACATACCTGGCTCTGCTCAGTATCAGAGACGTAGAATGGAAAAAAAACTTGCTTGACCTCACCTTAGCTCCCAGTCACGAAGAATCACGGCGAAAGTATTGTGCCACTACACATCATTAAAAAAAAGACACTTTCATGCTGTAGAATTCAAGGTCCATCATTCGCCTTCGCTAAAAGCTGAAATTGACGTGCGAAAAAGAAACAACGCAGCCAGCCGGCACACAACTGTATCCTGAGTTGCGAATGAAGAAATCCGAGAAGTAAAAAAAAACCATGACCCGGACTCCACTATGCGAGATCTGGCCTTGTAAAGGGGGCCACGAGATGAAACGACGTGCGAGGGTGGGGAAAAAAAGGTTGACATGTCCGCCATACGGGCATAACGCGAATGTTTGGGCCTCCATCTAGGCCGCTGGTGGCGCTGGCGCAGCGGCCTTGTCTGCGTCGGCCGCAGCCTCAGTGCCGTTGGCCTCCCCTGGCTCTCCCTCCTCTTCTTCTTCCTCTTCCTCTTCTACCTCTTCGTATTCGACTTCTTCTTCTCCCTCCTCGGCAACGATGCCGTTCTGTCTCTCCCAAACCTGCCTTCTGATCATATCATCCTTAGCCTTCCGGGCTCTCTCCACCTCCTCGAAACCGCCCGACTTCTTGAGCTTGCCCTCCTCCACAAAATTTGAGAGCTCCCTCTGGAGTTCATTACCCTTTCGGCCCTCAAGCTCTTTTTGTCTCAGCTTCTCTGCCCGTTCAATGGCTTCGAGCCGGTTCTCGTGGTTGGGCTGTAGTGCCCTCACCTCCCCAAGAACACCGTCCTTGGCTGCATTGGGGTCGGAGCTGTTTCCGAGGCTGTTCAGACCCTTGGAGAAGTTACGAGCGGTGCCGGCGCTGGCGGTGGATCCATTGTCCTTCAGTTGCTCCTTGGTGGCCTGCTCGACTAGTGCAAAAGTCTCTGATGCCTTCTCCAAATCGTCCTGAAGATCAATCATGAGGTCCTCCATAAGGCGCAGCTCATCACGGCCCTTGCAGACGTCCTCCAACTCCTTCTCCCAGATCTTGGTCCAGATGGGCTTCTCTTCCTTCATGTAATCCTCCACCTTCTTCAGCTCCTTTGAAAGTTTCGTAATGTCCATGGCGACGGTCTCCAGCTGCCTAGGCAGCGGCCGCACACCACGGTGAACCACGTCCTTCCGGAGGTCCTCCACCAAATCTTGCAAGTCGTCGACCTTGGTGACAAGCCGGTCAGAGTCCGCGTTTAGCTGTTCACGGCCCTTAGTGACGTAGGCATGGCCGGTCTCGCCCTCGATAGTGGGAATTGAAGCCTTGACCACGGCCGCCTTAACGTTGCTTGCCTTGGCGCGAATAGCCGACATGGAGCCCTGGATCTCCGACTGGAAGTTAGAGTACGCTTGCCGCATGACGGCCAGGTCACGACGAAGAGATTGGATTTCGGTAATGTGCCCCGCAGCGAGCTTACGGCCGCCGGCAACGCCAACCGACTTGGATCCGTCAGTAGGCGCCGCGACAACAGGTGGAGCGGAAGCCAGCCTTGCCATCTCCGTGGCCGCCTCTTGTTGGCGTTCCGAGACTCGCTGTATCGCCAGACCCTGGTCGTCCATATTCTGCTTCACGTCCTGTACAATCTTCTTGAGCTGCCCAATGCCTTCGTCAATGTGACGTTTGACTTCGTCAAGTGGCTCAACGTTAAGCACCAAGACTGTTCGATCCTTGATGTCCGAGAGGTCCTCAAGCTCGTGTCTGACCCCCGATACGGGATCTTGGATGTAAATTTCCGGCAGGTCAGCGCCATTGGCCTGCGTGTTCCAGGAGAACTTCTCGATGAACGCCAGCTGGAGACGCCCAATAGAGAGCTCGCTGTAACCCTCAGGTAGCACGAATTTCTTGACCTTTGACTTGTACTGCAAAAACAAAGTTAGGTCGGTCGTCAGCGGCGGCGATTGTTCGTGAAGGAAGGTGGCGTCTCGCTTCTTTTCGGGCGTCTTGACCCCCGGAGACTCTTTTGGCTCATCCTTGTTGGGGGGTTCAGGTTTGCGATCTTCATCGGGAGACATGATAGGGAGGTCCTCGCTCAGAGGACCCTTCAAGGTAGCGCTAGGTTTGGGATACTTGTCTTCGGGTGTCTGAATCGTTGGGCTCTCGGGTCTGGCCGCTGGCAGTTCGGCCAGAGGCACTTCATTGGTACGGCTTGGAGCCCTCACAGGTGACGCATCCAACTGCGGCTGCTTTGAGACGCGGCTCTGACGGACAGTCTCCCGGGTCTGAACAGCACGCAGAGACTCCCGTACTTCGCCTCGGCCGCGATTGGGTATGGGCGAGTTCTGCGATGGCAACATAGGCACGCCATTCATGGCGCTGCCCAAGTGCTTGGATATTTGGTATTGCGAGTATCGCCGGGAAGCTCTCCTCTCCAGGTCGCCTCCTTTCTGCAGAGCGGCGAACGCGCTCGATTGCTGTTTTGGAGGAGGCGGCGGTGGTGGAAAAGAGTCGACATCAACCTCTCCCGACGGTGCAGAGGGCATTGTTGTCTGGTCACCGGGGTATGGCGGCACAACGGGGATGTTCTGCATCGTGGTGCTGGACAAGGAGGACTGCTCCGAGTTGACGGAGCCGCGCGACTGGTCTCTCGCGGGTATGTAGCGACGGCTCGGAGATGTGCTCGCTGGGGCACCGGCTGATTGGGAAGATTCCCTCTGAGCGTCTGGCCGGTATCCATTCTGGATGCCCTCCTCCAGCAGATTCGTCAAACCAGTATTCGCGCTACCGATCGTACTCGTGCTCGTCGTCCGCTCGGGTGCGCCAGCTGAGCCCCCACTCTCCCTATCTCTTGGCTGCTTTTGACGCAGCTTTTGCTGCTTGCGCTTCAATCCGTGGAGCAGGTTAATGATGATATCTCGAATGCGCGGAAGGTATTTCTCCAAGCTCTCGGTGCTTGCTTCTTGGCTAAGGGTAGCCTCAAGTATGCTTCGTAGCAACTCGGGGACATTGCCCAAGTCGGATGTGTCCACGTTGATGGCTGTGAAAGCCCGACAGGCCATGTTGAACTCGTATCCCAATCTTACATACACATCGGACACCTGGCCGTCGGTGGCTTGACCCCGCGACCATTGTGTCAAGGTCTCGAGAAGCTGCTTGGTCGCCACAAGCAAGTGTGTGACGCTCTTCTCGATTTGCGATAGAGGCATGGCTGAGCTAGTAGAGTTCTGTTGGCAAGACTTGATTAGTTGCGGGTACGATAACCATGGGAGCCTAGGCGCAGGAGTCTGTTGTCAAGGTAATCGTTTGCAGCAGGCCGTCATCCGAAGATGAGTTCCTGGTTGCTGGAATGTGCAATCAGACTCACATTTGATCTCCGCATCCCACTACTTGCCGGGGCGGATCGGTTCGAGGCGTTGGAAGCCCTCGGCTGCATCCCAGTGCCAGGTGATATCGAGCGAACCGGCACATTTGGTGGAGGGCCAGGTTCAGCACCTGGGGAGCGCCGTTGCATGCGCTGCGAGGAGCCTGGCGCCTGCATCATTACTCAGGTCGGGGTTTGTCGTCGTTGTGGTCGTCGTTGCGATTCTCTTGCCCTCCTCTGCCTTGTTCTTCCCCAAGCTGGTTTATCTGGTCCAAGATGCCCACGAAGATAATAAAAGGAGGTCGGAAGGAGCCGTCGAAGCGATATGATCGGCTTAGTCGTGGTTACTCGAGAGGATGGTTTTCGACCATGCTACGGCAAAGCAATGGTAGTAGCGACTGGGAAATTGGTGGAATTGCCTAGGTGCAGAATGTCGAGCTTGGCTGATCGGATGCTGGGTTCGTGAGTAGGGAGGTTCGTGTGGCGCTCGGCACTAGGGAATCGCCCGGTTCGGATCTGCGAAAGGATGCAGGATGAAGCTGTGCGTGCGGGTGGGATGGAAGCTGTAGGAGTGACGGCTGCGACGCGTTGGAGAGACGGAATGGGGTCCTGGGGACGCAGGGCCTTACTGACGTCTTACTGTCGTTATTTCCGTCGTTGTCGCCCGTACACGATTGGGTGCGCAAGTGTCGCAGAGTGTCTAAAAAAAAGTTGGATGACTGTAGGTTGCAGGTGCCAGCCAGAGCGCAACGCAACGCAGTGCAATGCAAAGCCAAAGCAATTACGAGATGGAATTTGGGGTGAAGGTATGTATGTACGAGGTACAGGTCGCAGCACGTATATGCAATGTTGAACCGTGTTCGGAAAGCGGAGAGTCTGGCCGTAGCTTTTTCGGCCCAAAGTTGCAGCATCCAGGCCCAAGGCCCCCAAAAGACCCGCTGGAGAAAAACCGTACGCGTGCACTCCTTCACTCCTTAAACTTCTGCCCTCTGTCGCGGTGCTTCGTTGCCCCTTGCTGTGCCCTTCTTTGCCCTGTCAACTGTTGATGGCCCCCCAGTCAAAGACTCTCAAAGGTAGGCTACATACGAAACGGATACACACTCGTCACCTTGTGTACTTGTGTCCCCAGTTCCAGTCCGCTGCCCGTCACCTCATCCTGACAGTGGAGCACCGGTTAGCCTTGTGACTGGCTCCCGCGCCTTCTCGGTGGCTTGATATCCTTGTCAGTTCTCTGACCCAAGACGCACGTGCCCCAGTTACCAGCCACCCGATATGCCATTCCATCCCTCTCGTCACATCCATCCACCTTTCGCACCTTGAACCATCTCCTCTTCGAGCCAGATACCTACATGCAATCTCTAAGATGAAACACTCTGGAATGTTTCAAAACAATGACAGTCTGTGATGTCTCCTACAGAATTGTTCAAGTATCTAGACGGCTGTCTATTCCATCATTGTGATAGATGCCACCATCTCTATCCAATGTGTTTGCAACCAACCAAAAAAAAAATGTGTCTGGGCGTTGCTTCGATTAGCTCGACACATCGCTCCTCTTCAGACGGCCTGATAGAGTAAACACCAACGAAGACATGGTCAGTGCATCCGAGCTTCGTCGGTCTTCTGCTGTCAATAAGTCCAAGGACCTTCGCTCGAGGTCCGGACCCTGCGAGCCATTGTCAGAGGAAGACAAGTCTGTCGTTTCAAAACCCCGCGTGGCTAGGCACTCCATGGACTTGGGCGCATCATTACATCACGAATAGCAATTGTATGGGCGCAGGCTCACTGACTTGGTTCGCCAATCGTTCAGACAACATTCTCCATGATCTACGCAACGAACCGTTGGGCTCCTTCAAACCACACAAACTTGGGTAGCACTCTCGATTGACCACCACTGCATTTGATGGGGCGCTGCGCCACATGACAAGATTAAGATCGCCTACCTAGCCCGATGGCATGGGTAGCCAATACGGAATAAAGCAAAAAACGTGGGCAGCAGGGACCTTAACCCGACTCCAAACCTATCATGCTTCGTTAGGCTTCTGCAATTAAGCAGCCACGCCTGTCCCCTCTTGTGCTTCATGGCGCCAGCAGCCGGCGCATGAAAAAGTACGAGTGCACCATGCCAGCCGCCAGTGGGTGCAACGCCCGCGGTGTCTCGAACTTGACGTGGTCGTCGTCGAAGTTGCAATGGTCGTCCGCGGCGAGCCCGGCGTGAACATGTAGTCGCGCATGAGCTCTTCCGCCAGCCGTTGCACCTTTTCCATGCGAGCGAAAATCTCCTTTTCGAATGCCTTGATCTTTTGGTCAAGTAGGTCGGGTTGGTCTCTCTCGGTCGCTGCGGGGATAATAGCTTTTGCCAGCTTCATCGCGTCCTCGAGCGCGACATTGACACCTTCGCCGGCAAACGGTGTCATCAGGTGCGCTGCGTCCCCGGTGACCGTGATACCGCGCCGGCGCGGCCACCTGAAACCTACTGGGAGTATGTAGAGCGATCTTGGCGAGCGGCTGCCCGTCGCTTTGGCGGTGGCTTCTGTCAACTCCGGGCTCCAGTCTTGATACAGGATGAGCAAAGCCTTCTTGACTGCCTTGTGGTCGTGCGAGTTGTATCCGCAGACGCCAGGTGAAGCCCAATTCTCGCTGTCGTATACAGCCGATGAATATACACTCAGGCTTCCATCGCCCATTTGCTGAATAATAATTCGCTTTCCGTCACTATTGGCAAAAACGCCGCCCCTGTTGACCAGCTTGTATTCCTCGGGGCCATTTCGGCCGCGTCCGGGATGCTCATGCCGTATAATCCAACCCCAGTCCACAACGGTCTGACATCCAGTGCCAGCAGCTTGCGGACCTTGCTCCATGCTCCGTCTGCCCCTACTACCAAATTGAAGCCAGATATAGTGGTGGGTTCAAAATGAGAGCACCTTCTTGGGTGATGCCTCTAAGATGATGCCCTCATTTGGTCATTCCTTTGGGGGGAGACTTGGCGAGAATCTCGCGTAGCTTCGGACGGTCAATCTCCGGCCGCTCCTGTGTCTTGCCTCGAGGAACCGTCGCGGACTGAACGAACAAGGGCTTGTTGTTCTTGTCGACAATCGCCATGTACTGCCCATCGTACCTTGCATGCTTCCAGAACTCGTCAAAAAGACCAGCCTTTTCAATGCGGCGAGTCCGATCTCAGTGTGCAGGTCTAAGGTTCCGCCCTGGGACCGAAAGTTTGGCAAGGCTTCGCCTTCGAAGACTGCTGCTTCGATATTTGCCAAGTACAATAGACGGGCGAGTAGACATCCCGCGACTGTGTTAGAACCTACTGAGCAGTAGGGATAAGGTCGGAAATAGGATAGATCAAGCAGGCACAAGGTCAATCTTTCATAAGGGCAACGTACCGGCAGGCCCTGCTCCAAGCACTGCTATTCTAGGATCGGACATCGCAAAATTAGCACTTAGGGCCGTGTGAACTGTGTGAATTATCAAAAGGGTTGATACGGAGTGGTATGTCCAGCAAGGTATTCAAACGGATGAGATGGAATGGCGTGCCACGGGGTTGAATATATTGTTTCATCACAACATTATATAGAAACACATGATCTTATATGCGAGTTGCATCGAAATCTACCGAAGAAGGGGTGATACTGCAATGTACCTTGCTGACACGCCGTCATTTTAATGGGCTGAATCGAGTTGCCGGTTGCTGATAGCGTCAGAGTTGTTAATCGGCTTCGGCACTGTTGGGAACGAAAGTTCTTTCCCTCTAGCTACCTCTATCTCTCTCTGGCAATAAGGCACAGTCACTGACAATCCCCAGCCAGTAGATCATATTGTGTTTGCCCGTGGTACCTAACAGGTACTTTTCGACCTGGGCCAAGGTATTGCGAGACTAGAGAATACGGTTCTAAGAACAGTGTCAGAAGGACTTGACGAGTCGACGCAAACGTCTGTTTAAAGAACCCTTGTGCAAACCAGCCCAGTGGCGCTGTCATAGGTAATACAGGTGACGCTGACAACGCGGCCAGGCTCGCACGCGCACAACAGCGCCTGACGCCGTCTAGTTATTTTCACGTCACCATTCAAGGACTGTCCGTCAGCCATGCAGAAGGGGTTGAGTTGGCTGGTCGAATCCAAAATAGGCGACACTTGAAGAAACAAAAGATGTACACCATGGCTTCCAGAACCGTTGGTGGATAAGAACAGGACCTTGCCATCTAATCTTCCACAATTGTGAGTGGTCCGGGCCGAGTTGCTGCGAGGCCTGGCAACTGGGGTGGAGTTACCGCCCCCCGTGAGTCGACGGTTCTGCCTGAGGCCACAAAGGCATCCAACTCGGAGCTTGCGCTTCGGAATCTAGAAACCTTCAATTGATCACATCCCCGAGCTGCCCCCATAACCACGTTCATCAACACATCCAAACAACCGCCAAAATGGTCTTCGCCTGGAAAGCCGCCGGTCTCACGTGAGTCAATTGACGACCCCCGAGCCTTTTCGCACCCGTTTCTCGATTGGAACCGACCGCGATCGTGATTTTGGAGACAGGAGAGGAAAAAGCTAACCCGGCAACCCCCGATTTCCAGCTACAACCGCTACCTTGCCGTCGCCTCGCGCGTCGTGCGCCGCAGCCTGAAGGAGGACAAGAGAATCGCTGCCGAGCGCCGTGGAGAGATGGAGCTCCGTTTCGCCAAGTGGGAGGTGAGAAGACACCGACATCCTTTCCTCCGGACTGCGATACCATTGACCCCCGTGATGGCGGTTGAAAGTGAAAATACAACAGAGATAGCTGACTTGAAATGCCGCAACGCAGAACGGCAAGCAGGGCGAGCCCAAGCCTTTGTCCCAGGCCACCGTCACCGTCCCTCCTACCTCTTCGTAAAGCGACTCGGCTTTTCTGCCCAAGAATTAGAAGTGTGAATTTGCGGAAGGAGATGCATCCGAGGCTATCGAGGGATAGATGGGACTTGGGGGGGACAGGAAGTGATGCACACATCCTCCTCCGAATACCCGCCGGCTCCTAGGCAGTGAGCTGCTGTAACATATCAAAAGTGGCATAATCTATCAATTCAAGATGCCGTCCTAGACTTTGGTGCTTTCTAACGTGCTGGTGGGGGAGAAACGGCCTTAAAATGCGATGTCGGCTGAGGCGCCGCAAGTGACTGTACACGCTCGACGTAGGCCAGAATGTTGGGCGTGCTGTCCCTCCACAGACCCAAATTTGCCCGCCGCCGGACAAACTCGGTTGTGATCGATCCATACCCCCGTTGCAACTACCTCGTAACAACACCGATCCCGTAATATCCCCAAGACGCAAAGACATAATCGCTGCGCTTTTACTTCCAATCGCTCGTTAATCTAGTTTTTTTTTCCCCCGGTGTTGGCCCAGGCTGCGGGAGGTCATCGCGTTCCTGACCTACTCGCCTGATTTTTTTAATGGGCATATCCATGACTGGACGCAAAGCCACTGTGACCTCACTAAACCCGCACTAAACGCACTTGCTCAACAGAGCCTCATGACAAGTTGATGACATGGCCGTCCCATCCGGCTTTGCAGTGTCTGAAGGTAAGCCCGCATCGTGAGAAGATTCGATGTTCGCACCACTCACTATCCCCTAGACATCTCAAGGCTTTCGCTTGAGCAAGAGCGTGATCCTCCACACCCGCCAGCGCCTAAGACATCCGGCAACGGCATCGTCGCTTTTGATATCACATCGAAATTCACAACAGCCGCTGAGAGTAAGATGCAAAGGCCCTAAAGGCAAACAGAGCGGATGATCTGATTATATGCGTAGCGCTCTCTCCCGGCGAGCTGGTCAAGGATGGCTTCTTCACTCTGTTTGAGTCCGTTGGGGCCCTCGAGGTACGTCACAAAAGGTGTTTGCTCATGGCTGTGAACCGTCTGCTAATATCGAAGGCCAGATCATGGACCCGAAAATGGACAGCGGGTGCTTAGAGGCGGAGGACTCGCTCGACGTTGACTACGATGTGTCACGTCCCCTCCTCCCCGAGGAGGTTCTTGGCATTATCGATCAGCTGCTATGCCATGAAGTCAGCGTCGAACGCTCTATTTCTGGCTTCCCCTGCTGACTTGACTCAGATGTCCTGGCACGTAGGATACCCTCTATCTCAAACACTGTTCACAAGCGTCTACGTTGAGTCGATCCTCATGCCCAACCCGGCCACCATCGACGACGCCCATTTCATCAGAGATGCCAACGGCACGCCGCCATCACCGATGCACGCCGTCCTCCGAGCGTACTGTTTAGGATTGCTAAAGACATGCGGCAATGTCAACGAGAGGATCAAGAACGAGCATTACTACGAGGTCGGTTCGTCAACGCCCTCGTGTGGCGACTTGGCTGATTGTCGATGTAGGAAGAGGATTTCGTTACAAATACTTACAACAGGGTTCTACTCGACGATTTCAGCATAGAGTCCGTACGCGAAGTCCTTAAGGAAGCAAGCTTTATCTTGCGGCAGCTCTCGGACTCAGTACCCCAAGAATTCGTTGACGCCCTCCACACCAGGCTGCTCTTCCGATACACACTCCTGGCAGCCATCGACCACACGCAGTACCGGACGGACCCGGATCGCATCAGGAGCCCTTGGAAAGAGGCTCAAGATATGCTGCCGACAATCAAGAGCACTCATGCGCTAGGCAAACCCGTTCCAGAGGCCTGTAGCGCCAAGCTTCAACGCAAACTCGCCAGCACGATGCCTCCACGACCGATCGTTGAGATCAGTTTCGATGACGCCTTTGGGCACCTTACGAAGATCCTCAGCGACGGACTCGAGGTTGTGGGAGTCCTCGACTACACGGACTCCATCTGCCTTCAGGTACATGCTCAAGCACTATTTTCCATGCTAACGTCGTTGTTACTGACTACCCGCCAGACATACGTAACGACTTTCCAAGCGAAGAAGCCCCAGCCCCTAATCTTTGTCCGCACCCTTCTTCAAAGCTTCCTCTTCAAGGACATGGAGGTACTAGGCCACAAGAGCATCCGCCAACTCCTCGATGACGACTTCTCCATTGTCTCCTTGCCCAACAGCCCACTCCTCGACCGCGAAAACGACGAGATCGAGGCTATCCAGGACCCGCGCTTCACCATCGCGAACCAGATGGAGGTCTTCCGCCAGCGCGCCGCGCAGCCCTATCTCGACATCCTGCGCACCTTCTGCCAGAACCGGTGTCGCGTGCGCAGGACTCTCTGCCACATCGTCCGCGACTGGGAGAATCTGCAGTTTGACGCCGAAGATATCGACCAAATCATCCAGCACCAGACCAAGGAGCAGCCCTTGGTTTACCAGTCCGCCTCGGGGCCCGTTGAGACGTGGTCTTTGCCGCTGTCGTCGTGGGCGTACCTGTACAAGGTGAAGCAGATGGAGTGGATCGTCCAGCTCGGCTTCGAGCTCGAGGTCTACCAGCCGGACGAGCTGGCAGGCATGTACTGGTATCTGAACTACCTGGCTAAGAACCGCCTCCAGCATGTCGAGCGCATCAAGTCCTTCGTCGTCCGCACTCTCAACCAGATTCGCTCGGGCAGCCGGCGCCTGACGCCGACTGAAGAGGCGGCGCAGTACACAAAGTCCTTGGCCTTCCTCCGCCTGGCGCTTCTGGATGCTGCCGTCACTGAAGGCCTCTCGGACGCCCTTTGCTGTCTTTACACGGTCCTCCACCGCCTGGGGCTGGTCAAGCCCCCTCCGCGACCCTACAGCACTGACGATCTCCGCTACGAACTGCGGATGAAGCCCTTTGCCGTCATCGGTCTCCCCTCCCTGCCGACCTTTGAAGAGTTCACGATCGGCACGCAGCAGGCAGATTGCCCGAGCGCCGACCTGCTCGACCTCGCCGACCGGGCCATTGCCGGCGCGAAAAAGGGCTTCGAGGTCATGAGCAAGTTGTCAGAGGCCGAGGCCTTCTCGGTCGGATCACATGACCGTTGGCTGCCGTCCATCAAGAATGGGCTCAAGTCATGCATCGCCACAGGTTTGGCCGTCTCGGTTATCCGAAAGGCGCTAGACAAGTCGGGCGAAGGCGGCGGGGACCTGAAGCTCAAGGCCGAGGTGCCGACTCCCGACAAGTCGTATCACGAGTGGTGGATCGTCCCGCGAATCATGCCTGTTCGATGAAGAGCTAATAAAGCGCGAAGGTCTACCGAGGCATAGTATAGATACGTAGTGGATAGTCGTCATCCTACTTTCGAAGGAGAACATTTCTTAAAGTACAAAACCAGCTTGCCGGGGGTTTCCATGTGATACTATGCCTAGTACCCCCATGTCCAGTCGTTTGCCAACAATTTACCCGCGTCGTTGAAAATTCCCATACGAATAATCGGTACAGTTCTTGCGTGATTACAAACGCAAGAACGCCGCATATATGCTGAGCTGCCATCCTGAAATTTCAATGGTGCCTCTAGCTTGCTTATTCTATATATGCGCTTTTAGATGTTACCTCTAAATCCAGCCAAGTGTTTCTTTGACCATTCGAAGAGGCGGCAAGGCCCTTTGGCGCATTTACGCGCGCTTCTTGGCGGCAACGGATCTGAGCTTGATAGTCTGCTCGTACAGAACGTCCTTGAAGGCGAAAAGGAAGGCGGCAGTCAGCACACTCTGGGTGACCTTGGGGCCGATACCTGCGGCATTCGTTAGCACTGCGATAGCCACTGCCTCCCAACGGGACTAAGACTTACCCTTGTACAGGCCGGCGTAGCCCTCTTCCCTGATGACCCGGCTGATGGCCTGGGACATGCCCTCCTTCTTCTCGCCGTTGCCGGCGACGTGCATCTGGCTCTTGACCGTGATGTACGGGTAGGTGACCGAGGTCGCAAACAGCTTGCCGAGGGCGCCCAGGAGGAAGGCGATGGTCGGCGTCACCCTTCTCTTCTTCTCGACCGTGTTCTTCATCTGCTCGAACAGGGTGTATTGCAGGATCGGGTTGATGACGAGCACCAGAGCGGGGATGACGCCCGAGAAGAGCGCCTGCGGGCCCTCGTTCTTGATCAGCGCCATGAGGGTGCCGATGGTTGAGGGCGCCTTCTTGGGCTTGGAGGCCTGCGCCTCCTCGTCTTTGTCGGCGCTGCTGCTGCGGGTCGTCATACGGGTGTTGACGACCCAGATGGGGTTCGTAAGGATGACGGTCGCGGAACCGGCGATGGCGCCGGCAATCATGGACTCGACCGTCGTGAGCTTCTTGCTGGCGCGACCGGCCTTCACGGCGGCCGTCTCGAAGAAGGCGCGGGTCCACTCGTACCAGTAGTAGTAGACAAAGTTCGTGACGCTGATGCCGAAAAGAGCGGACTCGAGACCCGAGTAGAGTCCCGACACACCCTCGCGAGCAACAATCTTCTGAACGGCCGTCAGGAAGGCCGAGTCGGCGCGCTTCGATTCGACTTGGGCGCGGGTCGAGAGGGTGATGAGTGGGTAGCTGTGCGACACACGGAAGGTTAGAGCCCTGCCTAAAAGAAAAGATTCAATTGCCTTACGTCAAGGCCATGGAGAGGAGACCACCGCCGGCGCCGGCGAGGGCATGGGCGACATTGTCGTTCTGCGGGAGCGCTGGCTTGGACATGGTTGCTAATGTGTTTGTACTGGGTGGTATGTAGTGGTGTGCTCGTCGAGGAAGCTTAGAAAGATGGGATGATAGGGATACAGGATATGCGATGATGATTCATCCAAGTGCTACGGTCAAAGGAATAAAAAAGGATGGGAGTGGTATCGTGACGACGTTAATTAAGAAAGTTGCGTCTCAAATCCCTTTGGATTTTCTGGGGAGCCGAGGTCAACCACGTTTTGAATGCCGAAGGGGGGGAAAGGGTTGGCTTGCTGCTGCCGCTAAGAACCTTAACCCCAGTTATGTCATTACTGCAGCCGTGCTATATATTCATGCGCGCGATCACAGGGCAAGGGGAGGGGGGGACGAAGGGGACGCATGTGACGGGGCCCGTCTGTGCTGCCCTTGGGTCTGGAGAGGAACCGGGTCCCTTCGGGAGCTCGTGGGGTCGGAGCTAGTTCGGGGGTACCGGCAAAAGATGCTTGATTCGGGAAGAAAATATGCTTTTTGAAAGAAGCAAAAAAGAAGCCAAGGAGTTACATGCCGTGTGTGACCGCTCACATCCTGATGCTCAATACGCTTCTTCATTGGAAAACAGAGCAAATCTGGGCTGGCATTTGGAAGACCGATGTTGGCTGTGCCGATAAAGAAGCAGCCCGCTTCTTTGCATCATCAAGACATTGCAACCCAAGCGTCCGAGTCCCAAAAAGGATCTGGGTGGACAACGGGTGAGATCGGGAGAGCGGGGAAAAGTTGTTCCCCTGTCATTAAAAATCCCCCGCCAAGTCGTCGAGGGGCTGCGCTAGTCTCAATACGGTGTAAAGTAAACAAAACAGCTTTGACTAGTGGTCAGGGCCTGTTCCGTTCTGCAGAGACCGCAGCCTGCAGAACGGTTGCACACCACCACCACACCACCACGCGACGACCCTTATTTCAATGCATAGCATTTGACGTTTTTTTATCGCTAGTTTGCGCGAAGGCTAGAGGGCCTAGTTTTTGTCGTCGGTTTTGTGTGTTTTTTTGCCTATCGTCCATGCGACAGCCATAGCGCGCTCGTTTTGTACATTCTCACTTTTGGCATTTTGCGCATATCAAAATGGCGACTCCACGACCCAGAGGGGGCAGCGACGAGCTGCTCTCCTCCCCAGACCCGCTCAACGACACGGTCTCGTCGGCGCTCTATCCTTCATCCCGTCGCGTCACTCGAAGCCAAAGATCGCAGCGGTTGTTCTCCCTCGGCGGCAGTAGCACTTCGCCTAGGAAGCAAATGTTCGAGCTCGAGGTTGGCGATGACCGCGCGCCCAAACGGTTGCTAGTGACCGTTGAGGCGGAGGGCGAGTACGAAAACGTTGGGCGCAGACTCTTCAACGCCGACACACCTACTCTGAGCCGCGGCGCGTATACAACGACTGTTCCGCTGGCTGGCGACAGGAAGAACACAGCCGTCAAGACTCCTGCGCGCCGGGGTCGGCCTCCAAAATCCGCCACACCAAAGACCGGCACAGCAACCAAGAGGAGAGCTACGTCTTCTCCCAAGAAGACACCAAGACAGACTCGAAAGGTCAAGACTATTACAGATTCTGATGGCATCGAGACCGATGTAACCATTCAGGGAACACCCAAATCCACCACACGCACCAGACGGACTACCAGTCGCCAGCCGCGAAGCACGTCCGAAGACGCTGCCCCTTCGTCCAGGCTCAGTACAACCCGGGGTCGTGGACGACCCAAACGCGTTGAGTTCTCCGATCAGCCGGTGGAAACGATTGAGGAAGAGGCAAACTTTGGCGGGGTGGCGCCTTCAGACGATGCACTCGCTGCGGTAATGGAGGATATGGCTGTGGACGATCCCACACCAAGGCGGGAACAGCCTGCTGCCTCGATGCCTGAGTCTGAACCCGATATCTGGATGCAAACAATGTCCGACCAAGCAACACCTCGAGCAGCGACACAAGACAACATCATTACCCTCAGTCCGACACCAGCTCACCTACAAGACAAGAGCCCAACACCATCCGAACAACTTCATTCCGAATCGGGAAACGAACCCGAATACAATGACTATGACTTTGCGCCGGGCGCGGCGAGCGACATCTCGTCGCTAATTGGTGATAACGACGCGGGTGCGGAGCCACGCGATCAAGACACGGTTGCTCAGGGAGAAGATTTCAGTATGATATTTGCAAATTCTATACCGTCTATGAGAGGGCATATGAGTATGCATGCGCCTGGGTCGGAAGATGTTGGCGAGGAAACGGGTCTGATTGTCAACCAGACGCTGGAATCTTTGAGGCAAAGCGGTGCCCTGCGTGTGGACGATGACGACGAAGAAGATGATGAAGAAGAAGTCGTCGCCGTCCCTACCGAGCAGGACGCTGCGCCACAAGACTCTCCGGCCCAGAAGGAGGCCCAGCCCCGGCAGGAGGTCGAATCACATATGGAGTCTATCGTGGACCTCAACACCGAAGTTAACGATTCTCCAGTCGCTCTTCCTTCTCTCCCTCGTCCTGAACTTCCACCTCCGTCTTTCACATCCAAAAATACTTCCCCAAGCAGAAGCAACCAGTCGCCGGGTCGGGCCAGAAGCAGTCCCCGTCGCAAGTCTATCCCGCTGGGCCGAAAGCTCTTTGAAAATAAGGCAAGACAGATGGAGTTGGAGACCTCAAGGATGGAGACCTCGAGAATGGAAACCTCGCAAATTGACGATTCATTCTCGAGCGTACCATCCAGAATCTTGGCTGCGGCTACGCCTGGTGCCAAGGGCTCCAGGCGCAGCTCGATGGCTAACGAGGAAGCATCCGTGATGTACGAAGATGACTTTTCTGAGATTCCAGATGCCTATCTCGAGGCAGCGACCCCAGGCAAACCGAAACTGCTACAGGTTGACGAGGATGATGATGAGATCGCGAACGCAACCGAAGACAAGATCCAGGACGAGATGGAGGAAGACTTCGAGAACGACATCGAGGAACCTCACGCCGACCAGGCAGGAGTGGAAGACGAGGAAGACGCGGCAGAGGAAGAAGCTCGTAAGAGTTCACCCAAGTCCGCAGCTCCATCTAATGCCAGTGTTTCTTACACTCGGTCAGACTCAGCACGAATGCCGACGCCAGACGATACGCCATCGCCTAATGATGTTCCCATCCCCCAATCAGATGCCAAAACTATCGAGGCACCTCAAAGTTCACCGACTGCAGTGTATTCTCAGGTCCCCGAGATGAGCTCTGATCCTCCTGTTCCGGAGCTGACGACCAACCTTCCTGCGGCTACTAGCGAATACATCACCCCGGTCGCACCCGTATCATCCCCTGTTCCCTCACCAGCTGTCAACCTCTTAGCGCCTCGTGCAGCATCCCCTGACAACGGAGTTCGTCCCGCGCTATCCCCTATCGTGAGGGCCGGAAGAGCTCTGCAAAGCGTCACGTCGGATGCCTCATCACCTCCTCGTCAGAACTCTCTTGGTAGCCCCTTCAGACCTACCACTAGCAGTAGCCAGCCTCAGTCTGCCGCGAAGTCAACCCGCAGTTGGACTCAGCCCTTGTCCACCCTGATCCAGGCTGGAGCTCAGTTCTTCGGGTCACCAACTCGCGCCACGGCTCAACCTCCGCCGCAGCCTCCAGCGCCGCAGTCTGCAGGTCAGCTTTATGATGACCCCTTTGGCCACGAGAATGACCATACCGGTCAGCCGAGCTTCATGGAAGCTCTAGCCAAGAGCATGCGTGTATCTCCCAACGAGGGGCAAGGTGAAGCTTCGGTGTCAATGTCAGGCTCTCTCCGTGTAGCTCCGGCCGACGAAGCTGATGAGATGAGCTGGATGGAAGAGGCGCCGGCTCCGCGTGAGCAGCCTTTCACTCAGTCCCAATCCATGCAAACCAGCACGACTGCTGCTGGTGCGTCTAAGACCAGTCGGCGTCCCAGCTTTGAGGGTCTCAGTCTTACTTTTGATGGCGCCGATGAAACAGAGGTCGAAGAAGAACCCCCCGGAGAAGATGAGGATGATGATATTTGGGCAATCGAGGCATCGCGTCCTGCTTCAAACTCAAGCCGCCAACAGTCATTCGGCAAGCAATCCATCGCCCCTGTCCCCGTGCGGCGCGCGGCTCTCCCTAATCCGTGGCAAAGACGGGCTGAGTCGCCAAAGAAGAACACTATGTTCACTCCAGCAGCGTCGCAGAACCGCAAGTCCGGCTTTGGCGAGGCCGAGGAGGAGGACTTTTCCATGCTCTCTCAGCAGCGTAGTGAGAAGCAGCTTCCCCAAAAGGCCTTTGAAGTTGCTCAGAGGTCGTCCGCGAAGAAGGATCTATCTGCATTCTTCTCCTCTCCTGCTCTTCTCCCTGGGGCGGAGGGTGTCAAAGAGATCTTGGACAAGAAAAGACAGAATGCGTTGTCATCCAAGGATGTTGTGCAGCCTTCTAAGCAAGTCAACGCAGGCCTCGAGACGAACTCCATGTTCCCGTCCGTCCCACAGAAGGCATTCGCTCCTTCTGCCAGCGGTCGTTCGGATCTCTTCTCGCCTGCGAAGCCTTCCGCCACGAAGCCAATCGCCGATGCACGTCGGGAACTGTTCTCTTCGACCCGGTCTCGTAGCAACGTAAGACAGCCGTCAGAGATCCCCGACTCTCAGCCAAACATGTCATCCGAGGTCTCTTTCACTTCTGTGCCGCAGAAGAAGAACTTCACGCCCAAGGCAGGACAGAAGACGCAGAACCTGTTTAGCAAGGCGGCGGCGCCGGTGCCCTCGTTGACCCCGGTGCGTATGCAGCTCAGTCGCGCGGACATCCAAAAGTGGCAAGAGAGTAGTGCCTCTGCCGTCGCGGAGGACTCGCCCGAATCCGAGCGCCGTGTCCTTCGGCCCCTGCCAGACAGGAACATGTCGCCCACCAAGTCCTGCCTGCGCTCCCCTCTGAAGCCGCGCACCCCGGGTAGAGTCGTCGAGTTCACCAGCAGCGTCCTCTCGCCTCTGGCTCAGGCACAAGCCCGCGCCGATCGTCGCCTGTCCGCTAGTTCCAACGGCAGTGCGTCCGCCGCCCAGCAGCAGCAGCAGCAGCGCATTAACGCCATCATGGAAGAAGAAGACAAGGAGAATGACACTTCCATGGACGAGGCCGACGACGTGCAACACGAAGACATGGACGTCTCCATGATGGACGCGCCGGAGGTGGACGGCCCGCTCAAGCCAGCGGCCGAGGAGGAGCCGCGCCTTTCGCAGACTATGTGGTCGCGCGACCACTGGCTGCTACTGGACGACATCATCCAGCTGCGCCGGCTGGGGCCGTTCGACTTCCAGTTCCCGGACGACTTCCAGAGCAAGTCGGGCTGGCTGCTCGGCCGCTCTGTCAACTCGCACGGTACCAGCCTGATTATGGAGCAGTGGCACCTCGACGTCGTTGACGCCTTCAAGGCCGAGGTCGGCGGCTGGGAGGAGGAGGTGCTCGCCAAGAGGGTGTTCTCGTTGATCGTTGGAGAGCAGCTCCGTAAGGAGGGTAAGGCCCCCAAGGCGCCCTCGGTGAAGTTTGCGTAATGCATGACTGTGGATGATTGATGCGCACGACATCGTTTTATTGGGAGGATTTTTTTTTCTTTTTTTTCTTCTTCTTTTCCTCTTCAAAGTACAGAGACCAGAATGGTCTTTACGAAAGTCTCATGTCCAACGGGTGTACAGGATCACGTACATATGGGGGTTTGGATTGGGCGTTGAAGGCTTTGATTATTGTCACGTTTATGTTTTTTCTCAAGTTGGTCACTCGGGAGCTTACGAGCTTACCCCTCTGCAATTGTTAGGATACCACTTCGTCAGAATGAATTCTGTCTCATGCACCGCCGGCATTTGTCTATGGTAATAGTACAATTCCCAAATCCCATTCGCTGTCCTTCAGCTGCCAACCCTTGACGCCTGCCTTCGCATTTTACTCGAGCATCGAGGCCTGGTTGGTGTAGAGGACGTCCACCACGCTGCTCAGCTTCTCAATCGTGGCCAAAGCGTGGTCGTATGCGCTGTCGCGCTCCGTCTCTTCGTAAATGATGAGGCATCCCGCACCCTGGTCCAGCACACCGATGATGACCTTGTCTAGAATCATCTGGGAGAGCTTGCGCTCGACCTGTTGCGTGTCGAGGCCGACCATCTTGGCGATGTGGTTGATCTCGACGCGGGAGAAGGGCTCAATGACCTTGATAAGGTTCTGCTCCAACATGGCGTCGTACAAACGCCGCAGGTGGTTGCGGATGAAGGCGTCACTGCCGAGCTGCTCGCGGTAGGACTGAAGGGCCTGCTCGTACTCCTCCAGAGAACGGTTCGAGTGCGCGCGGGCAATGGCCTTCATGGCCTCGAGATTCTTGCTGGCGTACTTCTGGGCTTGCTTCGACGTCATCAGGTTGTTGACGTCGTCGGCCAGATTCAGCATGATCTTGCAGAGGAGCATGTACTGCAGAGCGGCGGTGGCCTTGACGGACTCGTCCTGGGTGTGGTAGCCATCGAGGGCCTCGATGAAGTAGGAGAAGGCCGTGTTGAAGTCCTTGTCTTCGGCGTGGAGCATACCGCTCTGCATGTCGAGATGGGCTTGGAGGAGGGGCGGGGTGTAGACGGAGGCGGCGCTCGTGCGGGCGCTAGTAAGAGCAGCGCGAGCCTTAGGGATGTTTCCGAGGGCGTGGTAGACACGCGACTCGAGGAGCTGGACTTCAACGAGGACGAGCTTGTCGTCCAGACGCTTGAGCTCGCGGAGGAGGCCGTTGATGAGGGTGAGTGCGTCGTAGTAGGATTGCTTCGCCATGAGGAGAGTGACCAGACGGGTCTCAAGGTTCTGGCGCAGGAAGCTGCGGCGCTCCGAGGTTGCCCATTCTATACATGACTTCGTAACTGCGATCTGGATGTCGGTGCTGCCCTCAATGTTCTCGAAGAGGTCGAGCAAGGAGCGAACTAGAGGGGGTTCAGGTTAGTCTTGAACTTTGCCACAAACAAGACGACGAATTGGATGCAGCCCTACCCAGCTTTGCTGTCTTTGCCTTGGCGAATGACGAGAGCACTGTCCGGCTTTTTGTGATCAGGTCGACAAGCTCCTGCGTCTTCCTGAGCGGGCTGTTAGCAAACATGGGTCCCCCACACGATGTCATCACCGGACGGAGGAGGGGCTCACTTCTCATCCCGGTACAGCTCGCCCAAGCTGATCAGCGCCGTCTCATACTCCTTCACAGCGGCATCGGAGGTCGCGGAGGAGGGAGGCTGAGAGATGATTTCCTTGTAGAGCTGCTCTGCCTTTCGGGGATCTGACTTGGCCGCCTTCTGTGCCTCTTGTACCCTAGCCGATTCGCCCTGAGCCATCCTGACTGGTTTTTCGGTTGTCGTGGCAAGAAGTCGGTCACTTTGTTGTTGGAATCGTTCAATTTCGCGAGGTTGTCGTCGGTGGTGGGGGGGAAGTAGTGGTGAATTTGCCGGATTCGTGATGTAGCTTGGTACAGTGTTCGATAGCTCCAGCCGCCTTCAGAAGGTCCAGGTTGCCATGACCGCGACGCAAGCCCGGACAGAGCAGCAGTGGAGGGCAGGGGCGTGTCGGGCCATGGTTGATCCGATGGCTTCTATCATTGGTGATAATTCTCCGAGAGGTCCCCACCCCCACTTAAATTTTTGGGAGAAGTTCTGGATGGCTTTCGCAGTGTTCGCAGCCATTGACATTTCACTGGTGAAGCAAGAACCTGAACCACACTCGCCAAAATGAAGATCAAAGCCCTTTCTCGGAGCGTCGAGGAGTACCAGCCTCCTGGCGCAAATGCCAAGAAGCTGCCTCGGTAACTATAGTTGTCACGTAAACTGCAAAGCCAAGCTAACCACTTCAAAGCAACCTCGATCCTGCTCAGCATCCTATGGAGCGCGCTCGAGAGTAAGTCGATCTCGCCACCTTTGGAAGCGCAAACTGACAAGTTGTTTAGATACACGAAAGCCCTTAATGCCGTAAAGTTAGAGCGCATGCATGCCGCGCCCTTTGTCGGACAGATGGGCAGCGGCCATATCGATGGAGTACGTATGGTCAGAGTCTTCGAAAACTCCTGGTTGCTAATAGATGCCACAGGTTTACTCGATGGCCAAGGACCCGAACTCCCTGAAGCACATGGCATCTGCCAGTGGCGACGGCGCGATCAAAGCATTCGACCTCACGAGCCGAGACGAGATCTGGCACACAAAGAGCGCCCACACCAACATCGTGCGAAGTCTCTGCTGGACGAAGGACGGAAAGCTTCTCAGTGCGGCCGCGGACAAGACGATAAAGTTATGGGATCCATACAATACGCCGAGCGATTCCGCGCCGATTTCTTCGTGGTTGGGTAACAGCGGTTTCCAGAGCTTGTCGCACCACCGATCGCGGAACGCCTTTGCCGCCTCTTCCTCGTCCAGTGAGATTGCCATCTACGACTTGGAGCGACACAGCGCAGCTCCCGAGATTCTACGATGGCCCAACGCAACCGACACCATCAACGCCGTTTCTTTCAACCAGGTTGAGCAGTCCATCCTTGGTAGCACAGGCGCCGACAGGAGCATTATTCTCTGGGACGTCCGCACTGCCATGCCCCTGACCAAGACGACGATGACATTCGCATGCAACTCTCTGTCATGGAACCCCATGGAAGCCTTCAACTTCGTCGTTGGCAGCGAAGACCACAACTGCTACGTAAGTCGTGAGCCAATAATACACCTTGAAAACAGTATCTAATTCGAAACAGATGTTCGACATGCGCAAGTTCGACAGAGCACTCAACGTTTACAAGGGCCATGTCGCCGCCGTTATGAGCGTTGAGTTCAGTCCGACGGGCGAGGAGCTGGTTTCCGGATCCTACGACAGGACGGTCCGCATCTGGAACCGTGACCAAGGACATTCCCGCGACATGTACCACACCAAGCGCATGCAGAGGGTGTTCAGCACCATGTTCACTCCCGACTCCAAGTACATCCTTAGTGGTTCCGACGATGGAAACGTGCGCGTCTGGCGATCCAACGCCACCGACCGGTCCGGCATCAGATCTGCGAAGCAGAGACAGGCCCTCGAGTACAACGAGGCCCTGGTCTCCCGTTACAGCCACATGCCAGAGATCCGACGCATCAAGAGACACCGCCACCTACCCACGGTGATCAAGAAGGCGGGCGAAATCAAGAGCGTGGAGCTCAAATCGATCAAGAGGCGTGAAGAGAACGAGCGGAGACACACCAAGAAGCAGTTCGAGAGGCGTAAGGGCGAGAGAGAAAAGCCCATCCTGGCGCGGGAGAAGTAGAGACGGCCTTCTGTGGATATATGTCTTCAATGGTGTTGCTTCTTTGCATTGTTCGGCGTTGGGGCTGGCATGTCATGTCTGTGTAAAAAGGAAAAAGGGGGATAATCGTGAAAAGTGCAACTTAGATAGGGTCAGGATACCACGGATCAAGTCGTTCTTGATCAATAGAATCCAATAATGGTCATGAACCAAAGTCAATTGATACGTCTGCAAACCCGTCAGCCGTACTACCTCACCGGCCCGCTTCCGCTCAGAGGCCGACATGTCCGCCGGCTCTGGTAAGGTCGACAGCGGCTTGAAGTGGAGTCTCGGTTGGGTTGACTGACATCGGACAGGCGGCTGCAGGGGGTTTACGGGGCGTTTTAGCGGCCGTGCCAGGGGCGAGTAAGTTCTAGGGGCCACACACAGGAGTTTGCTCGTCAGGGGAGCGCCCCCCTACCTTAGGCGCTTTGCCAACGTTTCAACGCTCCAGGTCCATCCACATGTGACGAAGAGCGTCAAGCTTCTCCGTGGCCCGATCGAGGTTGTGGGCTGTGCGGTCTTTCGTCTCATCTTGGCCGTCGTTGCCTTTTTTCCTCCCTTTCCCTCACGCTGGACGACACACGTACAATTCTTTCCCGAAGACCCTTCACGCTTGACCTCATCCTAATTGCCCGAATCTGTGCAGGACGCGATACGAGTTTCTATCCTAATTCTGCCCTCAGCTCGTCACGATACGAGCTCGTCTACGAATCAACCCCTCATAACCACCACAACACATCACTACCACCGCGCACCATGGAATACCCACGCCCGCCCCAGCGAGACTCGTGGTTCGCGCCGCTCTCCATCGATCTGCTCATCAAGGTCTTCAAGGTCACCTTCTTCCACCCCTTCATCTCGTGGATCATCCCCCTCTGCTTCCGCGCCCAGGCTCAGGCCTGGGATGCGCCGCCCATGATCGCCTCCATTGTATGGGCGACCTTCATCACGCTGTGCTGGATGGCCAACATGATCAATCAGCGCATCGCCTACGGCCTGCCGCGCGACGTCGACCTCAGCGAGGAGGTCATTGTCATCACCGGCGGCGCCAGCGGCTTGGGCCTGCTCATTGCCGAGGTCTACGGCATGCGCGGTGCCACCGTCGCCGTGCTGGACGTCAACGACATGGAGAACGGCGAGGCGAGGGGCGTTACGTACTACAAGTGCGACGTCACGGACAAGGCGCAGGTCGCGAGGGTCGCGGCCGAGATTGAGAAAGATGTGAGTTCCCCCTGGTGGTCTGATATGCGCCGGCACAAAGGTTCACTGACACGATTCATTCAAATAGCTCGGCACCCCCACCGTCCTCATCAACAACGCCGCCATTGTCAAGGGCAAGTCCCTCCTGGACCTCGAGTTCGAGGACATTGACAAGTCCATCGCCACGAACCTCACGGCGCACTTCTACACCCTCAAGACCTTCCTCCCGCCCATGATCCGCGGCGGCAACGGCGGCACCGTCGTGACCATGTCCTCGGTCCTCGGCCACCTCGGCGCCGCCTCCCTGACGGACTACGCCGCGGCCAAAGCCGGCGTCACGGCCCTGCACAAGTCCCTGGCCGCCGAGCTCGCTGCCTCTCACCCGGAGATCCGCACCATCCTCGTCGAGCCGGGCCAGCTGTCGACGCCGCTCTTCTACGGCGTGCAGACCCCCACGCCTTCATCGCCCCCATCGTCGAGCCCGTGGATGTCTGCAAGGAGGTCATCGCCGCCATTGACGCGGGGCGGAGCGCGCACGTCGCGATGCCGCTGTACGCGCGGTGGATTCACTGGTACAACGTGCTTCCTGCCGCGGTGCAGCAAATCGCGAGACGGATGGCGCGCGTCGACACGTCGATGCAGACGTTCATCGGCAGACAGGAGCGGGGGATGAGCGAGAAGAACGGGAGTCTGATCTAGAGGGGGGAGTATGCTCTCCCAAACACCTCTTGGGAAGCCTGCGGTGCCGGCGCCGAGGGTACCCTGTAATATCAAAAGCGGGCCATATACATGTCAAAAAGTCTCAAGACGTATCTGAATGAATACACACTTTAATTTCCAAACTTTGAACCTCGAGTCCCCCTCAAGTGCTAGCCTCTTTGGTTCCAGTTCCAGACAGGTCCTGGGCCGGCGAAACCTTGTTCAGGCCATCCAGCTTCTTGTACGTCAGCGTGTCGAGGTCGATGCCGTCAATCGTCCGCGCCTGTCTCGTTCCGTCAGCATGTCCTCGTACCAAGTTCCTGGAGAGACGAGGGGTCAGGAAACGTACGCTGATGCCGTAGTAAGTCTCGTTCAAAAAGTCGATGCCGAGGCTCGACCCGCAGCTACCGCAGAACATCTGGTCCTTGGTCTTGGTGTTGAAGCGGTAGTTGGTGCACCTCTCGCGGGAGCCGTCATGCCAGGTGACGTCCTTCTTCTCGGGGTCTTTTTCGCGCCGAATGGTTAGCAATTGAGCCATTGAGACCTTCCATATCTCTACTCTCGCATTAAACCAAGAGATGGCGGAAAGTTGAGAAATGAGGTAAACGAGGGGCAAGAAACAGGATGCATACAAACAAGGAGGTAGCCGCTGCGCCGGCAGATGGAGCAGTTGCAGTTGAGGACCTTGTGCCCGTCCTCGAGCGGCGGCGAGAGCGTCAACGAGAGCTTGATGCTGCCGCAGTGGCAGCTCGCGTCGTACGTCTTGGACGGCTTCTGGGCCTCGTCTGTCGACATGGTGTAAGTGGGGCGGATCTGGTTGTATGTCAGTGAGCGGCGGGGTTGTATACCTTTAGAGTCGTCCTGCTTACCAACCTTAATTCTTAAATCTTCGGTTCTAAGCGAGAGATCTCACGGCCACAGTAAGAATGATGCTACCCGTTGAAGTATTATAGACCCTGGTTGACCTATCTAATGTTGATGTGAGATTTGGTGCAGTGATGCCCGGTTGTTATAAACGTTTTCAGACCGTTATCGAGGGTGACCCCTTACAAATCGAAACGCCCCGTAAAAAGGTGAGATTGTGGAGGATTCACCAATGTAAGCTTTGCCAACACAGCCACCTCTTCCCCTCTCACTTCCGTTCCGTCTCACTGTTTAATTCCCGTTGCAGCTCGGGAGTGATGCGGTGTGAGGAACTAGTCGCCCTAGAACTAACATTCTGACCAATACCGACCAGTCCCCTTTCCCGCGGTCTCCTCTCTCCCAAAAAGCCACGGACATTTGTTCTAGCTGCGTATTAGTCATGACGTGCCGGCGGTGCCTTGAGATGCGAAGTCGGGCGGGTACGACGTCCGTTACTGTGCGACCTGCCTCATCAGGTCATAACACCGCGCGCCCTGCGGACGGGGCCGTGGTGCAGATCGAATGTCGATGCAAGGCCCGGACGAGCCACGTGCGGGGTTCCGAGAAGGGGGAACGGGTGGATTATATTTAGATGGGAGCTGGTTGTCCAGACGGTTCAGTTGATGCGGGGGGGTTGCATGTTCATGACGGAAACGGGTGGCACAAGCTTTTATGAATTGTTTTTTGTTTTTCAATTTCTCTACTGTTAGATGGTGTGAAATTAGGCGTAAGCTATGGTAGGTTTGGTAGGCAAAATGGTATCAGATGAACGACGCTGTCGTGACCGTCCGAAATAAGACGCAATACCGGGAGACAAAAAAAGCCTGACAACTCTTTATTATATTTTTCCAAAACCCTGACCCATGGTATCATCAAACGCCAGGAACCGCATAAATCCAAAAATGTGTTTTTGAGTGTGTATGTACGGAGACGGACGGGCAGAACGACCACGCTCCAATGGCCAGTGGAGGCAGTTTTAGACGGCGTTCATGGCCTTGTCGCCGCTGGTCCTCGGCCTGCTCGCGTCCAACGCGGCGACGGACGGCGGCTTCTCGTTCTCGTGGCTCGTGTGGCCGTTGGCCAGCGCCTCAGGGTCTTCGTTGTCGGGCTCATCTGCCGGAGCGGCGAAGGTCGGGGCGTAGGCGCTCTTGGAGCGGATCTTGGCGCCCCAGATGTAGAAGATGACGGGGATGGGCACGAGAAGGACGGCAACGATGCCGAGCAGTGTCGAGGCCCACTCGATGCCCATGCCGTTGAACATGTAGCTTGCGAACAGGGGGAAGCCGGCGCCGCAGAGAGAGCGGAGGAAGGTGTTTCCGGCGATGGCGGAGGCGGCACTGTCAGGTCATTAGTCAATGATCGTCAAACGTGTCCGGCAAAGTGGGAGTACGTACAACATCAGGTAGGCGTCAACGAGGTAGTTGAGCGCCTGGAGGAAGATGGACATGAGGCCGAAACCAGTGAAGAGACCGCTGAGGGTAGGGACGATCCAGTGGATGTCCTTGCGGTATCCGGACCTGTCGATGTTGTCAGTATAAGTGTTCTTTGGCTGCAAGATTGAGAGAAGGCTTACCATCCAAACCAGAAGATGCCGGCCGCGAAGAAGACGCCGCCGGCAATGACACTCGGAAGACGCCACTCAGGGACAGGCACGCCGTTGTTGGCCTTGAGCTTGCGCAGGTACCACGGCTGCTGGAGCAAGACGGTGACACCGGCGATGAGCTGGCCAGTGATCATGCCGAAGAAGGTAAGACCCGACTGGCCAGCACCGAAGCCATGGATGCCGCGGAAGACAAAGGGGTACGCCGTCAAGAACAGGTACAACAGTCCGTAGATGAAGGCCATGTAGACGGACAGCGCGGTAACGATGGGCTCACCAAAGAGCAGGCGCATGGGACGGGAAAAGTTCTTGTTGACCAGCTCCATCAGATCGATCTCGATTTCCTCTTGCTTGGCGTGGATGCCCCAGTTCCTGGTCCTGCGGCGCAGCTCGGATGCCTTGCTCACCAGAATGACGGGCGGGTAGGTCTCCTCAAGGAAGAACAAGTCCAGGAAGAAGGCAAAGAAGCCCATGAAGGAGGGGATGTACTCGGTCCAGCGCCAGCCGAGGTGCGACTCGACGATGAAGCCGCCGATGAAGGGGGCCAGGAGCGGGCCGGTGAAGACGGCCATGGAGAAGACGGTGATGGCGGTGCCGCGGGTGCGGTTGTCAAACATGTCGGAGAACACGGCGGCGACGACGGCCAAGGGACACGCGCCGAAGAAGCCGGCGAAGAAGCGGCAGATCAGGATCGTCTGCAGGTCCTTGGCGACGGCGGTGCTGATGGTGAAGATGGAGAAACCGAACATGGAGAGAACGAGGGGCAGCCTACGGCCGCGAAGCTCGGAGAGGGGTGCCCATAGCGTCGGGCCAAAGGCGAAGCCCAGGACGTAGAAGGACACGCCGAGCGTGCCCACGGTGGCTGAGACGTTGTACTCTGTCGCGATGACCTGCGTCGCCACAGAGAAGATACTGGATGTGAAGGCGGAGGTCATGGTGGTGTAGCCAAGCATTGCGGCTGTGAGCAACCTGCGAGCCAAGACCTGTCAGAAAAACGGCGCCCCATGCGATTTAGACGATTGACGCGAGACATTGACTTACTTCTTCTTCAACGGCCAGTTCTGCGCGTGCAGGGGATCGTCGGGCCCGTCAAACTCGACGACGTAGTCCTCCTGTTCGGGCAGCGGCGGCGGGTAGGGCTTGCCGGCGCCCATGGCGGGCAGGGCCTTTCTCGATTCTCTGCTCTTGATGCTGCGGCCGACGGTGTTGGAGTGCTGGCTGCGGGCGGTGGCGATGCGGCTCAGGGCCGTCGGGTGCCGCTCGAGGTCATTCTGGGTCGAGACGCGGCTGATGCCGGTGCCGGTGCGGTAGGCGGGGCGGGCGCCGGCATGGGAGGCCGACGACGTGGAGGTCGAGGAGGACGAGTTGGAGAGGACCCGTTCGATCTCGTGGCTTTCGCGGCCGTGGTAGTGGTGTGGGGATGCGTCTTGCTCGGCGGCCACGAGCTCGCGGTCTAGTTCGTCCATCGCCATTGTTGGACGACGATAGGGGGGTTGCGTGTGATGTGATGCTACTGCTGCGTATTCCGATGGAAGGGGCAGTTGATCAGGAGTGCTGGGCTGAGATCGGACGGTGCTTATATCGTCGATTGTGAGGATTGCGCGCGACAAAGTATTGTTACAGCAGGTTTATGCAATGCTGCGTTATGCGGAGCAGTAGCTCGGAGCTATTGGGAAGAGGCGGCGTGTGACGGGCCACGTCAATGTAGAGTAATGCCAAACACCGGGCGGTTCGATGCCAGTCAGATTTTAGACGTCGAGATCGGTGGCGATGGGCAAGAGAGCGTGCGCGCGGAGGTAGGAGGGGTATAACCGGAGATGGTGACAGGGCGAATCTGATTGTAGGTGGGCAGCTTTTCGTCTTATGAATGACTGGTGTCTTTTCTGATCCAAAAGATACGTGATGGAGAGGGAGAAGGGATCAGTTCAGACGAAACGACAATTAGTGAGGATGTGGATTAGAGAGAATGGATAGGTAAGCCGGGCATTGAGCAGCGCCAAAGGCCGAGGGAGTATGTATGAAGATCAAGACTGGAGCAGACGGGAGGGAGAGAGGGCCGCGAATTTGTCAAAAACAATTACGAATGGCTCTGCTGCGCTCTCACCTGATGGGAAAGCAGCCGGGGCATCTCCCGGGTTACCAAGCAAAAGGGGATGGAATGCGACAGAGACGATGGCACTATGGGTCGGCCGAGTCCCAAGTCCCACTTTGGGGTTCAATCCCATCCAAGGATGCTTGTTCAATTTTTTTTTCTCTCCCCCTTCCCTCCAGGAGTGGGCAGGCTTCGATCCAAAACCCGGCAGGGAACTCGGCATCACCATGAAGCAACAAAAGGCGACACGAGCCGAACGAGTGCGTCTGGCTGCACTAGGCAAGGAGGGAAAAAAAAAGAAAAGGTGGGGCCGGAGGCGGTAGCCGGCAACGTTGGACCTGGGTCCTGTGATGGAGACCAGCCGAGGTGTGGTTCTTGGCCTCGGGGTGCTGGGTATGTGTCACATCTTTTTTTGTCCGGGTCTCGCTCTTATCTCCTTAACCCGACGGCGCGGGACCGCCCTTGGATTGTTGGTGCATAGACTGCTAGTTGAGCCATTGAGGCGGTGTTGTTACACATTACAGATTGGCGGGCCATTCTTGTTGTAAATGCGGTTCGTTTGTCAAGTACGTAAACTTTTCAACCCTGGCACTCCTGGGTGCTGTTTTAAAGTTCCTTCATCCCATCCGGGTAGGAACACTCAATCGTGCTTCTCTTCGAGAAAGCTTCCGCAATCGCACGTCACAGTTCTCCATTTGGCTCGAGCGGCGGGCAGAGATGGCAGAGTTTACAATGATCTCCGTCGAACCATTTCCAAACACGCCCGGCCAATCAACTTGAGTTTTTGTCAACCGGTCGGGTCCGACACTAGACATGGGGGGCGTTCGGTGGGCGGAGGCTAAAGCCGGCGTTGGCGACTGTGTGATGTCACCGGGCTGGACTTTGGAAGGAGTTATGCCAATCCAGCGCCCGAAGGCCGGTCTGAGCGAACGAGGGAAAAGGGGGAAAACAGCGGCAGAAGACCAAAAACTCCACATTGTGTCAATTGATTACAATGTCACAGTCCCTAGACTGCCCCTGCCAGACCTCCTTCCCCTTCTCCTCGTCCATGCACTCTTCGGCCATCAGCGCGCCACGTTAGTCATCAGCCTTAAACGTCACCCTGCGTCTAGACTGCAGCCGCGGTCTGCAGCACTGACTAAAGCCGTTTTGGCATGCAACGGCAACCCCGGTTTGTAAACACGCCACGCTCGGCATCGGTCCGTGTTCTAGAGGCCGAAAGTTTCAACCGCCTTCGCGGCATCAGGTAGCGGTAGTTGAGAGATGACCAGAAAAAGGCACATGGCTGAATCATACGCTCGACAAATGCAGCTGTCAGAAATAGACAGTAAGCCGTGAAGGCGGTCGTCCAAGTGAAAACCAGAGAGACAGAAAGAGAGAAACTACACTAGCGAGGGGGGAAAAGGGAGCTGCGAATTTGCGGTAAGATTGGATACAACCCAGGAGGATGATCGTGGATCCATCTGCGATCTCTCATCTTCCATTCCTTCCTCCACGTCCCCAATTGGCCCTTGTCCGCACCTCCAAAACCCTCACCTCGCCGAGCCCAACGCAGCCCAATGCCGCGTCTTGCCGTCTTCCGCTCCCGAGGCACACGGAACGGAAAAGGACCTTCTTGACCTCTTCGTCTCTCAGCCGCCGCCCCGCCCGACAGAAGAAGTCCAAGGAGGAAGAAATCAAAAAGAAAAAACTCCCCGATTGGAAGTTCCCCACCCACCACGAGGTACCGCCACCCATGGCAAAAAAAAAAAAGTACAAAATTTCCAGAAAAGTCTGGAACGCGCTCACCCGATTGCCCCCTCCAATGCATCAGAATTTTATCGCACGGCATGGAAACCCCCAGTCTATTCATCACACACGCGGTGGAAATGCCGAATCTTGAGCGGCTCGCCTCACAGCGTTTGTGGAGCTGGCAGAAGAGTCAAGGTAGTTCACATAGTGGGTGGCCTACATTAGGCTTCAGGTACTACAGTAAGGTTATGGACAAACAAACGCCCAGAATTTCGGGCTATTTGACGAATCTAGTGGAAGAACCTTATTACCCATGGAAAGGTCTACGGTGCAAACCGTTGTTAATCACGGCGAATACCCCTGTAAAGAAAATGCCATTGCTTTACCGAGGCATTCCTAGTGAACGTTCCATCTACGTATGAAGACTCCTCTTCTACAAATCCTCACACTTGGGATAGACTGATACAACCGTCGCTTGTGGTCGATTGTGCAGAACAGAGACGCCCTTCATCTCGTTTACGGCCCCGGAAGTCAACGTCGGACCCCCCATCCGTTTTCTAACAAGTTCGTCGCTTCCTCCAGGCTCAACCCGGACGTCTCGGGGTAGATACGCCAGATCAGTCCGTATCCAATCATACACACCAAGGCATAAAGCACAAACGTCCATGAAGGACTCAACGCGTCTATGAGCGGGAGGAATGTCAAGCCGACGACGAAGTTGGCACCCCAGTTCGTCGCAGTTGACACGCCACTGCCAATTGATCGCACCGCCAACGGGAACAGCTCGCTCTGCATCCATGGAACGTTGCCGAGCCCGAGGGCGTATGCGGCAACGTACCCCATGATACTGATAAGAATCACCACGGCCGCTCCTCTGTCTGTGCCCGCTCCCTCACCCGTGCCACCCTCGCTGGCTGCCGTCGTTTCGGGCCGCAGGTTGATGAAAGAGAATCCGTATGCCGCCAGCATTAGACCCGCAATCATGAACGGTAGTGAGTAGAGCAAGATCTTGCGCCGTCCGATACGGTCGATGAGACACAGCGCCGCCACTGTAAAGATGAAGTTGGTAACGGCGACGCTCATGGCGGCGAGTGTGGGTGTGCCGAATCCTACCATCTGGAAGATGGTCGCTGAGAAGTACATGAGCGAGTTGAAGCCGCAAAGCTGCTGGAGTCCCTGGAGCAGGCATGTGATGACCAGCGCGCGCTTGTTTCTTCCGACCGAGAACAGTTCTTGCCAGCCACCCCACCACTCCATGCGCGGGGTTCCCTCTCGCCTCATAACTTCTCTCTCCTCTCTGATCTCGATTTCAATCTCCTTGATGACGGCGTCGGCATTCCTCATGCCGCCCACGGTGTTGCCGAGCACCTTCTCGACAACCTTCTTCGCCTTCAGCGACTGGCCCACCATGACGAGCCAGCGCGGTGACTCGGGCATCAGCACGAGGATTGAGCATTGCAGGGCGGCAGGAAGAGCTCCAAGGCCAACCATCCATCGCCACCCCGTAGACTGGTCACCGTACTCTGCAAAAGCCCAGCCGATGATGTACGCGACGACCTGGCCCAGCGTAATAAACAGAACGTTCATCGTCACTAACCGCCCACGGTGGCTGGCGGGGGCCAGCTCGGCAATATAAAGAGGGACGACGAAACTGGCAGCTCCAACAGCCGCGCCGACTATCGATCGGCCTATCACCATCGACGTGACCGTACCTGCCCATGCTTGCATCAACGCGCCGACAATGAAAAGGATATCGGCCACGAGGATAACGCGCTTACGGCCCAGCGCATCGGCGACAATGGAGGAAAAGGGAGACACAAGAAGGGCAAAGAGCGCGGTGCTCGATGTGATGATGGACTTGTCGAACGTCGTGAGGACTCGGTCGGAAAGTGAGGTGTCGATCTTGACGAGAGTCGCTGATATTACGCCCGTGTCGTCTATGCACGCCCATGGTCAGAAATCTTTCCCTGTTTTCAATGCTGCAGCGCCAGGCCAAACTCACATCCAAACAACAAACCGCTGATGCCGGCGGCAAAGGTAAGAAGCCAAACAAAGAGACTTGGCGCTGATTGCTTCGAATGCTTCATCGACGCGGGCAGCACATCGGCTTCCTCGTCCGCATCGCGGTAGTCCAACTCGTCGTCCCGGTCCTGGCGACCGGCCATTAACGGAGCGTCCATCGAGTCGGGCATTGTGGCGGATGAAGGATCTTCAATGTGTCGTCAACCTGTCGCGCGTTCGAGAAAGGTGATGAATACGCCTTTCAAAAAGCCATGCTTCGGAGTGCGTCTCGGCACCGTCGGTCGTCGTCGAAGGAGGCGTGGTTGATGTTCAGCAGCGGGATGCCAGCCACGTTACGTATTTAGAGTTGCGATGTCGTAGCCTCAACTCCCTTGCCTGGAAGCTTGGGGCTTGCGGGGGCAGTCGTCACTAGGCCCCTGCACCCAATCTGTTGTGGGAGTACCTTGAATTCCTGCAGAAGACAGTACGCTAAGGGAGTACACTTATATCTCTCAACTGAGACGGAGGGACTAGGCTTTCGCCCGAACCAGTCAGCTCGAACTCCCCGACAATCCGAAACTCGGCAGCCGTTCACCGCCCTCCACCGCAGGGCACTGATCATTTCATGCTAGAATTGGGAGCCGCCCAGGCGTCGTCACCTTGATTTATTCGGGGTTGTTGACCAATTCGCGGCCGCTTGGATGAATCGGCCGCTTATGTAACCCAGCCTAGAACCGCGAGGGGTTTGTCAGTCTGCTTGATGTCGGAGAAGCGGCTGTAAACTGAACAATGCCGTGTCTCGGAAAACTAATCAAGAAGACTGACTTCTCACGGTCTGCATATGTAATCGAGACACGGACTTGGCGGGGTCGAGGACTGCGAGGGCCGGGCTGTGGCCATCGCTCCCGACAAAGAGCCAGCTCAAGCCAAGTTGGTTTCAGAGGGCGTAAAGGTAACAGGCTACCTGGCTGTAGAGGCTCTGATTCACTGATGCAATCACTCGCTTCGAGTAGAGTGGTCCATATTGGCATACCCGTAGTCCGAACTCCCAAGGCCAAGCTCGGTTGCCTGTGTCCAACGCTCGACCGTTTCGGAAGCTCCAAAAAGTTCTCTCGAGACCATCCGGTGTTGATCAGCGGTGAGCTGAACGACACATGATTACCGTTGCCTAATTTCGGGTGGTAGACAGTGTTGCGTTTCACAAGCTCAACATAGGTTTGGAACTCCTTGGAGTACCGGTCGTGCAATGCGATTCCCAGCGGCAATAGACACCGCATGTCACGGAGCGGCCGCTTCCCTTATTGACCAAGACGCTGGCGGTCCAATGGCTGACGATCAACGGAAACAGTTCCCTTCGATGGCTTTCGCGGGGCACTGCCAAGGCGAGCAAAATTGCTTGGCTGTGGGTATGGAATCCTGAGATGCTACAGAGGTGTGTACTGACGATGTATCAATGGCCTCAAGCGGGTGCTCTCAACTTGCAAGCAGGTACGTATGCTGTTCTCCTACAGCAAAATAAGCTCAGTCAGCATGGCCAAGAAAAAGCTGTGATGAATCCGAACGACCAAAGTTGATTGGGCAACGTCAGAGTCCATATCCAATCCGTCGCCTAGATCATCAGGTCAGAAGTCCGGATCCCGGTACAAGCCCTGGGAGGGCTGCAAGACATATACATACATTAAACTCCCGGGCTACATAGACTCGTTGCGAGTTGTAACTTTGTCGTATGACAGAAGAGGGTGGTGCAGGGAGGCTATTGCGCTTTTGCGGGCCTTGAAGAAGAGTGCGGGCGCAACTGAGTCTCGCCCTGGTCCCCAGCAACGCAGCAACAGTACTGTTGCTTTATGCGCACCAAGACAGCAGTTTCCTGAACGGCTAAGAGTGGTCACGAGAAGGTTCGCGTAGCAATCCAGACTAAACAATAGAGGCTGACAGCTCAATACGTTCACGGCACATGTCCCTCTAGGAGCCGCCGGTAGGTTACCAGAGGAAAGGGCTGAGGGGAAGAGAGTAAGATACGTTGGAAGGAATCATGTACCTGTACTTTCCTGGTCCAATGTAGTGTAGTGTAGACACCGTCGCGGAGCAAGTCTGACCCCACCAGTGCATTCCAACTTCCATTGCGACCTTACTGCTGTGCTGCTCTGCCAGTGGAGCCTGGCAATCCAGCCCATCCTGGTACTTCACGTCTGCATCATGGTCCTTCACCCCCAGCCGGATCTCCGACTCAAGTCAAACTACTCATTCAAAGGCCCAACCGAAGCGACATTGGGACATGCGCAAGCTAACAAGCTAATATGTTGCCGCCGCAACATGGCATCGTCGAGTTGGAAGTTGAGTAATCGGTGTACGATGTTGTCTGCAAAGCCACTTCAGCATCTGGCTATTTTCACTTAATACTCCAATGACACGGCTAGGTAGGTAGCCCATGGCTCAAGGGGTCGTGGCATCGAAATGATCCGCTGTGGTCAAACACGGCATGGTATGATGCAGGGCTTGGCCATGAGAACGATTCCAAGCACATGGCTGGGGCTTTTCAACGAGCATGCCCAAAACGGGAGAACAGGACATTTCACCAACACCAACCAATGGGATCGTCGCCCTCACGTGTCGACGCCCATTCCGCTCGATCGATGGAAATTTCTGATGATGCCGGGGAGCCTGAAGAAACACGGGCAGAAGAGGGCGCAACACCGGGGAGCATCATGGAAAACCCTGGCGACGAGCCAGCCTGCCGGTGCCCACCGGCTGGACCGCCGCACACCCGGCGGCCAGACTTCTCGAACGCCCGCTCGCCTGCGCCGTGCGGGTCTCTGATTTGTCTGTTGGCCCGTCGAAGCCTGTTCGCGGAGTCGACGAGCGCATTTCCCCTCCGAGACAAGTCATCTCGTCCCGTACCTCGTCCTAGTCCGCGCCTGGCCCTTTCATCCAGTCGCACGATGCTTGCCAGCTCGGCAGGACGCAAACGATCCAGACAAGGAAACGTCTGAAGAAGACATTCAACAAATGTTGCCAAGTAATGGGTTCACTCCCTAAGTCCACGACCCCTAACCAACCGCAACACACTTTTCGGGAGACCCCACCAACACCCACGCTCAGCACTGCTAGCCATGACGTTGGCTGGTCATGATGGAGGGGTCCTTTAGGGTCTTCGGCAAGATGTGCGAAAGTCAGGGGGGCGGGCAGACTTCGCGATGAACTGGTTGCGAAGAGCACCATCGGTGTCGCGTGTCATCCAACAGTCATTCAACGCCAACGCACGCCAAGAATGTCTCTACTTCATCCCGCACAGGATAGTGGACTAGCGAATTTGCTGTGTGCTGCGAGTGAGAGCAGGCTCATATCCAGCGAGCGCTGAATCCAAGGTGGATATGGTGTGGCATCCCGAGAGCGCCGTACGTCTGGCGTACTGCCGAAGCGAAAGTGGCGCTTCCTACCGGAACAGACGCAGGATTACCTTGATACTCTTGACAACCACTCAGGCTCTCCGGCTTCTTATCTCATAACCTATCCAGCCAATGAACGAGGTCCCGCAGGCACCTACTGTAAGGCGCCGGGGAAGTCAAGGAGACGTTGGAGACTGCCGTAGGTAGTATGGAAGATAGAAGTGCACTCTGCTCCCATGCTCCGGCACAAGGAACCTCGTTCTACAGAGGGCTGTTGGGACCAGGGGAAGGGTCTGGGTACAGGTACATATGCCCCGCGTGCCTCTACCCCCCCCATCCTTTGAGAGAAGCCTCATGCAAACGCACCTGCGCCCGCAAGCCGGGGCCTTCTTCGCCTTCTGTTACCATATTGCATGTAGTGTGCTACTAACCTTGGCCCCGCTGTGCCGCCCGCTGCGTCCCCAAAGGTAAAAGCCAAAAACGCACCATCCTGGTGTGGGCTGCTGATACTGGATACTGGGCACCTGTAGACGGGGCCAAAGTACCTTTGCTTACGTCTTCCTGGGTAAGGTACACGCGAGGGCCCAGAAGGTAAGGTAAGCTGCCTTCTCTTTAACTGAGGGTGCCCGAACGTAGAAGCGTAAGTGGCCGGGCTCGACATGGAACCGACAAACCAACCCGACACCCTATGAAATAATTCCGTTCCCGTCCAGAACCGACCTGATCTGCTTCGTCTCAAAACATAAACCTCACTCACACACTCACAAGGAAAAAAGATCTCTTGGTGAATTTCGCAGCTATTCGCTCTCAGCTCCCACGTTCCGCCCCTAGTTCCTCCCACGTGAAGCTGAACCGGGCTTTGAGGCACGCGGTAATGCAGCCTGCGTCGTCAGCGTCCTAGACGGTAGGCACGTCACCGCATTTCAGGGGCCAACAACCGCGGCGAACCAACGTACGACAAAGGCAGACCCAGGCAAGGCTGGGCCAGAGCCAGCAACCAGCAACCAGAGCGAGCCAGACGCGGCTGATCCGACAACCCCGCGAGATTAGTCGTCCGTCACGAACAGCTTGCGCTCTTGACTATTGGCACCATGGGTCCGTGGTGGGATACCGCCAGGATTGATGCTACCGTCACGAGGCAGTTCGTCTGCCAGTACCTGCTGCCCGAGGAGATCGAGCGCTTAGACAGACCACTGGCCTTTGGCGACGGCTTAACGGACGAAACATATTGGGATTGGATCAACCATAAAGCCAAGCGCATCTTCTTAATCCTTGTCGACCTCAAGATCCCAGATCAGATCTTCGGCATCATCGACGACTCCTGGGATGACCACGACTTACCCATCTCCTCCGAACATGTCGAGCGCCTCAGATTGACGGCTGTTAAGGACGACAAGATTGAGCGCAAGTTCTTCAGCCGCCAATTTGTCTACTTGCTCAAGCCCTTCCAACGGGGCGACCACATCGCTTTCAGTGAGTATGAACTTGTTCCTCTCGAGGTCATCGAGCGCCGGCCGGCGAGCAACAACGCAGTCGATAAGGTTGTCTTGCCCAACTGTCCTGGCTTAGTCTTTTACCGCCGGCGCATCCCTTTGGGTAACGGCGCTGGCCAGCTTTCGCGGAGCGAGTTTGTGGAAATCATCAACAGTATCAAGGGCATCCAGAACGACCACTTGGTCTCTTACTACTCATCATATACCCAACTCGGAGCGGCATACGCCCTGTTCACGCCCGCAACCGACTCCAACCTGAAGTCTTTCTTCGGGAATACCCCGTCCAACTTCAAAAATATTCCCAAGCGAGAGAGGAGACGCACCGTCATGAACTGGATTCTTTGCCTTGCCGATACTCTTGCGTACCTCCACAGCAGGCGACTTTGCCATGGCAACATCAAACCATCGACGATTCTCTTCACAAACCAACTCCACATCTTCTACTCCGACTTCACGAGACTAAACGCCGAGGTGCTCGCCGGCTATACGGACAAGAATTCGTTCGACCGGGAGTCGTACGACTACGCGGCTCCTGAGCAGTGGTTTCGTCCCACAGGCGGTCCGACGAGTCCCTTAGGTCGTGGGGCAGCCTTTGCCGTGTCGACGTCCCCAGAGACACACACCAACTTCTCCATCCCACGGAGTGATAACCCAAGCAGCCCGAATGCGATGCTGAACATGCCGAATCCACACCTGAACCCGCAGGCGGCCGACATCTTCTCTCTCGGCTGCGTCATCTTGGACTTGATGAGCTTCCTTGTCAAGAAGACAACAAAGAGTTTCTCGGCACATCGTGCTGCCAAGCACAAGACTCCGGGACGCGGGGGCGCGGTACTGGACTCGTCATTTCACAAGAACCTCGGCCAGGTCGAATCTTGGATGTCGACGTTGGCGAAGGAGGCGTCGAAGAAGGTCTCCGCATCCGACGGTGGTTATGTGTTCCGAGGCATCGTGCCTTTGATGCACATCGTCGCCCGCATGCTATCCGCAAACCCCATTGATCGTCCCTCCGCGGCCGAGGTGCAGACCCAGGTCTACCAGATCCTGACGAAATACTGCGACATAACAGAACCTCACTGCGTACACCAGTACGGCGGCTGGGACTTTGGCATGTCACACCTGCGCATACAGGCCGTGAGTCCCAACGCCGAGCTCATGCCCCAGCCGATTCGGCATAGCTCAATGTCCCAGCCGCCAAGGCGTGGTAGCGAAAGCCTGAGCGGAAGCATCAGCCCGAGAGGGCTATCCCATTCGAGGACGAGCAGTAGCGGCGGCATGTCGAACAACAGCGGGATCAGCAGTGCGGCCAGCAGCGAGCGAGACCAAGAACGGGATGTTGGGGCTGGGTTCACAGCCCTCCGGAATATCCGTGTACCTCCGGTGCGGTCTCCAGCGCCGTGGGAGTCGGGCCCCGCTGTTCAAAGCGGACGCGGCGACCAAGCTCCGGTTTATTGAGCCGGTCCCGTCAACGAGAGAAGTGTAAGAGGGAGGAGCGATGTGCAATTCTGTTTTCATTGGGCTGGCGCAGTCCCCGATATCGATACCATACCAAGCTGCCTGGATTTCGCATCAGAATCTCGAGTTAGACATGCTGGAGGAGGCATTCATTTGGATGGGGGGTTAAGGACACGGGATGGATTTTTTTTTTGGTTTGGTTTGGTTTGGCTCTCCTTTGTCTTCTTTGTTGCTCAGCGATACCTCTGCTGCAAATGATATGACTGTGCCCTATGAACTGGTCCATAGCAGGATGAAGAAGAAGAATAAATTACGTCGAGGAGTAAAGCTTCGTTTCCCGAAAGACTTTGATTGATCCTCCCACTGTTTATGTGGTTGCCTGTCGATCCGGGAGATGCCTTTCTCTCAGGAGGAGGAGGAGGGATGTATGAGTTATGTGCGCGCCGGAGTAGCACAGCAAAGCACCATGTGGAAATGGACGAACAGCCGGGCCCGGCGGCGAGCAAAACGAGGGATCACTGTCCTTTTTGTACGGTACAGGTCAGGTCTCACTCGCCAACGATCGAGGGCTTCCCAGGGAGTCCGTTGGTGCAGGTGCACACCGTAGAGAAACATGTACATTGCAGCAGGTGATTCGGGATGGCATTATCCGCGCCCTCTGTTACGTGATGCTACTTCTGCCGAATGGGCGGTTTACATGACAAACGGAAACCCGAAAGGGGGATGAGAGGGCTCAGCAGGGACACCGGGGGAGGTATGCAAGAAGGCCTTTACCCTTCTTGGGGAGGAGAATCAGACGGTGAGTAGTAAACACAGTAGGGCGTGCCTGCATTTCACTTGGAATTTGTTAGTCCGATGTTAGGTGCCCGGGGTCGAGTGCGATGCCCAGTCTTGTTTCCCGGCGCTTTACATTCGCGATCGCGGATAGAGATGGAGGGGGCATCGAACGCTGACCGCTTTGACTGCGAAATCCGGCGGACGGCACGGCCTGACAGGACAGCTCTGGTAGTCCTAGGGAACCTGAGCTTGGCCGGGAGGCAGCCGCCGCTGTCCTTTGCTCTGACGGCCATCCGTTTCGCCCTGCGGCCAACAAGGTGAGCTGCCCCAGAATAGCTCGACAAGACCTGCACCTCAAGAGTCGCAGCTTGGGTGGTTCCGTCTCGCCTGCGGCATGGCATGCGGGGGAAGTGCGGAGTGGATACCCTCTCCCTCGAGAACGTACCGATGGTGTCGTTGTTTGGGCGAGCGACTGGGCGAGAGCTTGTTTGCTTTGCTTCGAGCTTATCGGCCCTTATAAATGCAAAAATAAAATGGCCTGTACACACTATCATGTTTCTGACCTTGCGAGGTGAAGGAAGGGGAGGGCCCTCGAAGCCGACATAACCGAACTCGTCGTCCATAAAGAGCTGCCCCGACACCGTAGCTCTCTCCGCACATTGGCCTGGTTGTCGCTCGTCGTCTGAGGGGAAGCCAAGCGCTACGAGTGCCGGACGATGGGATTGGGAGAGCTTATCTAGACTCGTTATGGAAGCGTGGTGTCGTCGACGGCTCTTATCGTCGCACACGCCGAGAGAAGATCGCCCGTCCTTCTGGCGATGGCGCAGCGTTCACTTGGCCTCTATTAGACCCTTACTATCCCCACCCGCCGCGTCGTCCTCTCACCCACTTCGGCATCACCCCACCTTGAGTCTTGAGTCGTTGCTTGATCGCTTGTTTTGCATGGTAACTTTTTCCGGAAGCCGCGGGGTTCAAAGTCATACGGGGGGAAGCTTGAGTCGGGGTCGTTGTCTAGGGGGTTTCCCTTTGACGTTTCAGTCCCTGCAGGGTGCCGGCCAACGGGGGAAGCGCTTGTATTGCGTCTTTCCTGCTTGCATGTGTCCGGACATCCATCGGACGATACGGAATCGTCGTGATCAGGCTGTCGAGTTCTGCACCAACTGACCGTCTCCGTCCGAGCAGTGATCCAAAAGAGACGTCTTTTCAGTCAGTGGGCCTCAGCTGTGGGACATGGGCGTTGCCAGTTCGAGCTCCTGTGCCATGCGGTTCACGATATTTTGTGAGGCTGTGGTCGCTACTATTAAATGACCAACGTGCGGTAGTATGCGCCGCAAATGACTGTAAACGGTGTCACCCATGCAGTTGGCGGTCCGTTGCATTAGGTGAAAGAGGTCCTTTTTGCAACACGTCACTTTCAGCGCTACGGTTTGCCAACCACGACGGGCGATGACAGGAGAGGTGCAGCTGAGAGGCTCGCAGGAGAAATCCAAAACTGGGGATGCTGCAACAACGAATTTGCCCGAGGCGATGTCGAGGTGCCCCAGTGCGACAGGACGCCAGTGTCCGGATCCACAAGTGACGTTGAAGCTCTCATTCGCTCTGCATCCGCAAACAACTCTCAACGATGTCTGGGTCCGCGGGTGACGGTGTCTAGAGTTTAGTTGCTGCTCTTCAGCTCGAAACAGAATCTCGGGCTTTCATGTCTTTTTTTGCAGTCGCCGTTGCAACCTGCACCGGACAGGGTTCCAACATAGAGGATGGACCGGGATTAAGCTTACCCTGGTTCGTGTCAATAATTGCCTGACTGCAGGACCAGGAGGGATTTTCGATGGAACGCTGCGACCAGGTTGTTGCGTCATACTCATTACTAGAGAGGTTTTATCACTAGGCCCCCGATTTCCGCCGTGCTGCCGTGCTCACCCAAGCTTGGGGTCTGTCTTCCTTGGACAGGAAATGAAGCGGGAAAAAAATGACAGTTTCCGGCCGTACCCTGTCGGAAGACCATCTCCAACCTGGAGAGGCAGACCCCGTAGGCCGGTCTAGAGCAGAAGAGAGCATGGAACAGGTGATTGATCAAGCTTGCTAGCAGTGCCGAATTAGACGCAGTCGGATCTTTGGCATTGTATCGACTGCCTCCTAGATATCTGACAACAACAACAACAACAACAAGCCGACAAAACGAAGTGGGTCGTTGAGGTACTATAGTCCTGGTGCGACTTTCCCGGGCAGAGAGAGGGAGCCAACATGGAAGACAAAGAAAGCCAAAGTGGTAGCAGACACAACCCAGGCGTTGTGGCGAGGAGAATGCCTCGCTGTCGCCGTCCGTTGTGAGACTTTGGCCGTACCTCCCGGAGCACTAAATCTCTGGCTAGCAGCCTAACACTGGGCCACCCATCAGTTGTGAAATTTCGGTCCGTTTCCCGGGCCCCGACTCGCAGGCCAACTGGTTGTGTAGCTAGGCGAGGCTAGTGAAAAAGACGCGGACCAATCTTCGGCTTGGAACAGCAGTGGCGCTCGTTTAGTTAGACAGGTATCAAAGACGGCGTGGCTTCGGGTTCATGGCGCCATGTCGCTTGTGGCCGTGGGGGCAAAATAAAGAAACGCAGGTTTTGGCGACACTCGATTTGCTTCTGCCGCTTCATTATTCGTTGCCTGGAGACTGGGGTTCAGGTCATCCTAGCATTGTCAAACTGTGCCCTCGGTCGGTTAAAAATATGCCTCGATGGCGGATTGGGGGGGTCGGAGGGCTGAAAGAATCGAAGGATGGTAGGATTCTGAACAGAATTATCGCCAGCCCTGGAAGAACTATGTCATACATGGCATCTATGTGTTAAAGCAGGCCAAGGAGACGTGTCGTCGCCTTCTTGCAGTCAGCCCGCTTACTGGAGGGGCCGTGTTCCACCCTCATGCCCTCGTCTCGTCTTGCATCACCCACACGCGTTGCCCCCAATGAGGCCGGCCAACGCCGCCAATCTGCTGCAGCAAGTCCATGCTGGGTGTACTCTAGATCAGTCAGAGTCAGACTCTGGTCACTCTGCGGCCGGGCGACAATCAAGATAGGCGGTGCCGCCCCTGGCCCGCCGCCAATGGCACAACATGGCGCACCTCCATTGATCCAGACCCATGCAGTCGGCCTTGTTGCTTCACGCTTGATGTCCTTGTCTGGCTTATCCTTTTTTTTTTCCCTCGTTGCCGCACCCCTGCCGCCGTCGTTTCCCACCCTGGACCGGGGCCATTGCTAGTACCAGAGCGAGCTCCAAGCTCCTGTTCTTAGGCAGTCTTTTCTTCCGTTTGGTACTCCACGTGTGTGGAGAGGTGGGATGGGATGCCAAAAAGAGAAAAAGAGCAACGATGTGAGAAGCCCGGCAGGGGGACAAGAGAAGAGAGATGGGAAAAAACTGCAGGGCCATGCTTTTCGGAGTGTCTCCCGCGTCAACCTGCAGCGGGGAGCTGAAGGAATAAAAATAATAGCCCTCCTCCCTCCCCCCAACAAGACATCCCATCGTCGCTTGATGTGAGGCTGCTTACCCACGATACCCAGGCTTTTTCTTTCCTTCCCGACCTTGCCTGACGCCCCTCCACGCCTAGTTGCTGCGCCTGCAACTTTGCGCCTTCTGTCGTTTTTGCCGAGAAGGGACGTCGGTCGGTGTATTCGAAGCGTGTTGAGTCGGAAGCAACCTGTAGGGGAAGGATTCGGTTGTTGTTGGCGGATTGGGACCGGAATCAGGACCAGAACTCGAGAACGCCTTAGAGGAAAGGACGAACCGACGAAGAAAGAGGCAACCACGGCTGACAGTCTTTACTTTTCTTCGTCACCAGCACCCACACGATCACCGACAGCTCTTGATTTCCCGTTGGCATTAATTGGTCATTTCTTGTTGGAACCACTTACATCCTCCGGTCCTCATCATCGTCAACGCAAGCTTTGGATGTCTTTGGAGAAACTTCAGCATTTGAACATCACCAACCCGTTGCATCCTCACTTCTTTGCCACCCGTTAGCTGAGCTTATCGCAAATTTGGCTTTCAGACATTGCTTCACCATGCGAGTCTCCAGTCTTGTCTCGGCGTTGCTGCTTGGCACTGCCACTGCCCTCGCACCAATCGAAATTGTTGGCAACAAGTTCTTCGACGAGAATGGAAGACAATGGTTCATGAAAGGTACACCAATCACCCGTTCCACTATGCTCAGATTACCAGTGACTGACGCCATCGCAGGAATTGCATACCAATTGACGCCAGGTTAGCCCAGCTCGACTCGATGCACACTCACAAAGTCCGTTTCTAACCAAAGCTTGTTCAGATGACCCATTGGTGGACACGGAGCAATGCACCCGCGACGCCAGCCTCATGAAGACGCTGGGCACCAATGCAATTCGCGTATACCACGTCGATTCTAGCGCAAACCACGACGGGTGCATGGCAGCTTTCAAGGAGGCCGGCATCTACACCCTTATTGACCTGGACACGTTTGACTCGTATATCCTTCCTGTCAGTGCCATCCTCGACTGTCGTGTATGTTGCTGCTAACACGACCTGCAGAATACCCCGTACTGGAACGAGACGCAATTCAACGCGTACGCCAAGGTCATGGACAACTTTGCGAAACACGACAACGTTCTCGGCTTCTTCATCGGCAACGAGATTATCGCGCTTAACAACCAATCTCAGGTCGCCCCTTTCATGAAGGCCGCCGCGCGAGACATGAAGGCCTACCGAGACAAGAAGGGCTACCGGAAGATTCCCGTTGGCTACTCCGCTGCTGACATTGCTGAATTACGACCTATGTTGCAGGACTACCTTACCTGCGGTGGAAAGCCAGAGGACAACATTGATTTCTTCGGGCTCAACTCGTACGAGTGGTGTGATCCCAACACTTATAGCACTTCAGGCTACGCAAACTTGCAAGCCATGGCCGAGCAATTTCCCGTACCTATCTTCTTCACCGAGACGGGCTGTATCACCGGACAAGGACCTAGGACATGGGACGACCAGGACGCCATCTTTAGCCAACCCATGGTGGATGATTGGAGTGGAGCCATGGTCTATGAATGGATCTACGAGGAGAACCATTATGGTATCGTGTCGTACGGTCCCGAAGTTTCCAAGACTATCACAACTGGCGATGTCTACGATGGATTCACTCGCAAGGGTACGCCGATTCCTCGCTCGCCCGAGTTCCAAAACCTGCAATCCAAGTGGGCTACCATTACCCCTACCGGAGTCATGAAGTCCGACTACAACCCGACCAGTGTCTCCACCCGCGATTGTCCTAAAGCCACGGGTGGGTGGTTGGTAGATGGGAATGTTCGTCTGCCCACTCTCGGAGAGACCTTTAAGGGCAGCTACTCGTCGAGTCCGACGGCGTCGGCAACCTCTGGCTCGGGTACCAGCGCTTCAGCGGCGCCGACAGAATCTGCCGAGTCTTCGGCACCTGAGAGACCTTCAGGATCCGGCACCAAGCAAATTGCCGGAATGGCTTTTGGCTTGGTTGGTGTCATGATCTTCTTCACTGTGTGGATGTAGTCGACCTGCGGACTTTATTTTCTTCTTCTGTACATTTTGTGCATTCGTTTTCACGATGAACTGGTTTATGGCTTATACCCATTTGCGAATACTCGGGGCTTTATGAAGCAAAGCATTGCGTATGGCGTTATTCCTCGGAGGTGGTATAGTCTCTGCTGGTGGTGGCAGAGATGATTGGATTGGAGGCTTGGTTGATGTTCCGTTGTGTTCTGGCATCGATCCTACGGCGAGAGTAATGATGGATTAATCAGTAATGCCCCATTGAAGAGCAGAGATGAGAGAGGTCATTCATGACTCAAAGAATAGACGTGACAACAAATTTCTCGAGTCCAACAACGAATGCCAGCCCACGTGAACGTCTGCTCCTCTACTTCCTTCCCTCCCATGTCTGTCATTACAATCTTCGGTCGCCACAGGCCACTTACTATGGCAGCTGCATCGTATCGTGCCTGCTAACATCAAACCTTGCTGGGCCCTTCTCAATGAGGACATGCTTGCAGATGGACCTTTTTGCGGACGTTTTGTGACCGCTTCAACCTCTGTATACTGAACTTCGGGTTAGAATAACTCTTTCTACCAACACGATACATTTCTGTACATCGATACCACCGATTGAACAATACGGGCCACGTCCAGACTCCATCCCATCCACGCGTGATCGTCAACTTGCCCAAGATCGAAGGTAGCTTGACAACGTCTATCGACCATTTATCATCCTTTCCACAGTATCAGCTACGCTCGTCAACATGACAGCCTTCGTAACGTGGGGCTACAACTTCGCCTCCAGTCTCCAACAGCCAATCACCACAGCAGCAGAACCCAAGACGACACCGGCGCGGCCTGAGAGCCCCGAGAAGCACATGCATATCAGCTTCCATGTACCAAGATGGTTATCTCTTTCCGTCAAGGGCGTTCTCGCCCTTGGAGTGGCAGGTCTCTGCATCACGGGAATTATCTTTGTGACGGACTACTTCGAGATGAAAAGGGGACATGGAGGTTTTATACACCGTCCAGCTTACTTGGTCAATGGAGTTGACGCCGGCCCACCGAATCCTGGCTTTGGGGTCTACGATTCTGCAGGTAGAAACGAGCACCACGGTGCCACTCAGCCGGAAGAGTGGTGTAAGAAACATCCAGGGGATTGTCATTGGACCGACTCGCAGGTACGTGGCTCGTCACTGATGGAGCTTGCGCTAGGAGAGGTTGTTGCTGACTGGGTTGCTTTCAAGGCTAGAGGTCGGGACATGAGTCCAAAAGCAGTCTCGAATTCAAACAGCATTCTTGCGCCTGGTGTCGGCGTTTGCAATCCTACGTTGACTATTCTGGTCATTGTTGTGGTCGGTTGGGTTCTAGGATGATCAACAGCCAGGGGAGCTTCATCACGGGACTACTGGGCTCGGAGAGCACGGTAGTTCTGAGGGTACGACTAGGCAATTCTGTCCATAAGTGTTACTCTTCGTCAGAAGAACTCAGGAGATAATCGGTGTGCTGCCTTCAGAGAGGCTTTGGTTCAGATAAACATAAATCGATACAATATCTTCATAGAGTATAACTATCAACAACCGCTTCGAGAGTTCCCACTTCCGGCACGACAGCACGTTTATGCTTGTTCAAGATGTGGTAGACGTAATGGCTGATTTATGATCCGACTTAATAATCATGCAGCTATCGCATTTTTTCTTTTCCATTCCAAAATAGTCGTGTGGCGTGTTGATGTTCGGCTTCTCTCAAGTCTAATCGAAAATCGGAGAAAGAGATGAGGGGAGCAGGATCGCATAGTTCTCTAGCACATGCTGTTATTTCGGACGCCAAGGTTTCAGACGGTGGAACACGATGTAACTCTACGTCGTATGTTGAACGATGTTTCGCGGCCACGGTGTAGGATGAATGAGTACTGTTACTGGCCATTGCCGGTTCCAAGCTTTGCAGCCAGGCCAGATACACCCGACAGGTATTACGCAAATGGCGGTTCGGATGAACAGTGTTTGATTACGCAAACCTCGAGGTATGAGACGCGACATTACGCAAGTAGTCACGGCTGTAACGTGTATGGCGAAACCACCTCGTGCGATCTGGACGATGCTGAAGACGGACATGGTCTCTCCTAGACGGGTGCGCATCCAAGTCTGGCGGGCGACTACCAACAGCGACAACTCAACGCTCAACCTATGTCGTTTTCCTGGCTACGTCTTACCCTAATTTTTGTGTTTACTCAATCCGACACTTACGTAGTCTTGGAAGTTTGACACGCTTGGATGGTCGGCGGGATAGAAGAGCAGACGGGGCTAAGCCCTATGATCTCCGGAGCCTGTCAGAACCGTTCAAGGCAGGTTTGATACTTTGTTGTCTTTCGCCCCATGAGTTATGGATCTTCTAGAAGGGTAGCCTCACGTCAAGATGGTCGAGCTGTCACATCACTTGCGTGTGCAGAACTCATTTGCTGTGGCATGGACAGAACGTAGATCGACTAGGAACAGGTCGGGGATGGGGTTTCGTTTTCTATTGACTTTGATAGATCCTTGAACCACAACTGGGAAGATAATGACGGCATATCACTGGTTTGAATCCGGGTTTTGATTGGGTGTCAAAATGGGCTTAACGGTTGGTCTAAAGGGTTTGTGTGGAAGTGAAGAAGACAGCCGTGGTGTGGAGAGGTGTCGGGCATTGGTAGCCGACCGGTCAGGTCTTCTACCGGTTGATCGAGTTTATCAGATCTCAAACTGTGTTCGGAACCGGGCTATGCGGAGGCTGAGAGAGTCTATCCGGTTTGTCGTGGTAAGTCGCTGAGCACCCTATTTTTGAAATATAGGTGAACGAGGCCCGAATAATATATTATACTCTTCGCCTAGGCACCCATGGTTGGCGGCGCTTCGAAAACGGTTTATAAATTGAATGCGAATGTACCCAAAACACGGCAGCCCGCGGTTTGGAAACGGCGTCAAGGCCCCCGGCAGACTGATCTTCTCTGATAGACACCTGATCCTTCTACTATTGAGACTCGGACGTGACGTTATTGGCGATATGTGGGGTCCGGTACCGCAACCCAGGCGAGTGGTCATGGTTTCATGTTTGGGAAGACGGGGGAACGTGGGCGACATTTGGCGAGTTGCGATTTCTTGATGGCGGCTGGGACCAAGGGTTTCCCCGAGAGCGAGGAGGACTCAGGGAAAGATGGAACGGAGCAGGGGCTTTGTAATAGTATATTTAGAAGAGAGTTTAAAATGTGAGGTGGCACTGGGTTATCCTTTGGTACTTTTCACGGGTTGTCTCTTCCCACGGCAACCAAGGCATAGCGACACTCTGTAAAGGGTTGTTTTCCGGAACAGTCGCTACGGTGTCAGTGTCGTCACATTTCCAAGGCGAGAGCCAGACTATAGGCCCAAAAACTTCGAAATGTGGCTTTTATTCGCGTGTCAGAATACAATGGTCAGAGAGCTGCCAGGGAATGCAAAAAGTAGATGGGATGTTCTTGAGCTTCGGGCATGGAAGAGTTTGAACTCCGCAGGCGTTCCATTGACGAAATCACGCACTGGCGATCTGATCACCGGCCCTGGCTTGAGTGCTCCACGTCAGCTACTCGACCCAAGCCTTGCGGTGCGCCTGGACCTGAACTTTCTGCCGCTTCCTTTCATTTCCCTCTCTTGGCTTTTGACTGTTGCCCTCGGGGCGATTCGTCTCTTGTGCTAAAAATACCCATGACCGAATAAATTGTGTCTGAAAATCGCGAAGCGCTAGACTTGGCAAGACGATGGCAAAATGTCGAAAGGGGGACGAGAACGGAAAATAGGACAAGCACAAGTTTTGATAAATTCGAAGGCACAGGTCATTGAGGGGGAAACCCAGCTCGCCCGTCAAGATCGCACGCAACAACCACGAGTTATTACTCAGGGTGGATTTTTGGCATTGGCATTGGTTCAACATCCCCCCAACTGTCTTTGAAAGTCGAGGGTATGCCAGCGACGTGCGCATGTCAGTCAAGAGATCAGTCTCCGCATCCGCCCTCACCCATCTCTAACAGCACTTCGACGTGCAGCGATGGCATGAACATGCAGAAACCGGGCGACCCGTCGGCGTCGCCTACATGTCATGCCGTAGCGGTCGCGGTGACGAGAGTTACAATAGCGGCTGATCCAACAGCCCGCAGATATCCTGCTCCCGCCTCTGTCTTCCCCAGGGGTTGCTCCCAGCTTCACTACGGACCCGTACAGACGAAAAAGTCTACAGCATCCAATCCAGTGACTCAACTAGCCAGCTTCGGCAAGTGCCCGGCTGCCCCGTGCAGTCCACGGAGTCCTCGACCGGAGCTGATTTGTCTCACCTCCGAGGGCCATGCACGCCGCAAGCCGCACACCGCACACCGCGACCAACCGGTCGTACTTTCTGAAACGCGACGCGATGCCACGCCATGAAACCAATCGGGGTGTGCTGTTGACACTCGTGACTTACTGCCGCACCATCACCCATCACCTCCTGCTCACAACCTCCCCGTTGCCCTTCACCTGCACGTTCCTATGAAACAAGACCAACATCCCCTCAGCTCACGTCATGGGGGCGCCAGCTCTTTCCAGAAACACGCCACGCTCCGGCCTTGACCACTTATTCCCCCAGAGCGCCCTATCCGCCACTTGCCCTGTCGGCTTGTCCAGTTTCAGCCATTGCTGAATGCTCAACACTGCCTCTCATCATTCGGACGGGCAAGACGACGCGGGAACCAGGCCAGACAAGGCCACCCACCACACGCCAATCCGTGGAGCCGTCGTCATGGGTGGTCGACCGGGGACATCCACGCTGGCGTAGAAAACGCAGGACATGCTGCTGCTCAAGTGACAGTACAGGCGAGGTGGAGGGCTGTGATGCCTCCCTTTCTTCTTGACCTATTCAGGTTGGTTCGTTTTGTTCCGCTTCTAAGCTTCTCGAGGAGCGAATCAGCCACCTTCGAGGCGGCGAGTGCTCAACATTGATGGCAAGCTGAGGCAAGGGCAGAGGTGCCTATCGTCCACAACCACACTCCTCCGCCGTTTGGCAACTGCGTCACTCGCCCTATGTCTATGTTCTCATCCTACAGTCTCTATATCCCGTTTCACTCGCTCCCCACCCCGGCAAGCCACTCCAGGGCTGGGCCTGCACCCAGATCACAACCCTTTCCCCCATCCTTCCTCTTTCACCGTCCGGTCTATCAGTCGAGCTTGTCTGCGGATACACTACCCCCCAGGAACATAGTGTAGATACGCGAGAGGATCATGAGGGAGAAGCGAGAGCGAAAAGGAACACGGAGCCCCACCCCCCACCCTCTGCCGGTTGCCGGCTGCTTGATGCCTGTCGATCCGTGTATTCGAAGTTCATGTTATTGCCCAGCCAGCCTTATAAGTCAAGCGTCACAAGTGTGTATGGTACGCGGTGCGGGACACGGTCACAAGCATGGCCCAACCTGCAGTTCCATGCAATACTTACTTCCTGAAGAGTAAGTAGGATCGGTCACAGGCATGCGCATATCCAGGCAACCCAACGGCGCGTGATGCTGTTGCATCCGTGGGCCAGTCTTGTACCTTTCCTTGTCGGTATCTGGGGCCAACCAGCCGTGTTGCCACGGTCAGGTCGGATGAAGCTGAGGCAAGGCGAGGCGAGGCAAGGTAAAGGCAGCACGCGCGGTTGTGGGAGACTGTGCATCGTAAGGCGGATCTACTTCCCTTACTGCTGCAGTTCGTGCGCACGCGCACAGGACGGGCCACACATCTCGAAGCTAGTGTTTTGTTCTGTTGGATCCTGGGATCTGTTTCTCGTATACAAAGGTGCTGTCAGCGCCCACACACACCCAACCCCATACCACACAAACACCCAACGTCGGATTTCCAAGGAGGTCTGTGTGTTTGAAGAGTGGAAGAAAACCTTTCCTTCGAACCTCAAAAAGTCTGCGGCTCATCCGCTTCGTATCGACTACGTCTACAGGTCTCGCACACGATCTGTGATACTGGGAGAAACAGCGCAGAGAACACCGCAGGACGGACAGCATGTCGCTCAAGTTCTACAAGACGCCCAGCGCCGGACGACCATGGCGTCCGCCCGTGATGGACGAGGATTGCCGGCGCTATCGCCGCCGGACAAAGCAAACCGACAAGTGGATTCCGCCCCGGCTTGCATTTGAAGAGGTTGTCAGGAACAAGACGGCATCAGTGAGCTACCCCCCCGACGTCAGATCTTCGAGGATATGGCTTTGTAAACTTCAAAAAAGGAAGTTCACTAACGTCAACACCACCAGCCATGCTCGTTAAACGACTTCATGGACTACCTGGTCTATGTCGAGCAGGACGCCGAGCCTCTCCAGTTCTTCCTGTGGTACTGCAGTTACGTCCACGAGTGGACGACGGCCCTCACGCCCGAGCAGCGCGCCCTTGCGCCACGCTGGGACGCGGACCGCGGCAGGAAGCTTAGCTCTCGGGAGAGACGAGCCAAGAACAAAAGCAAAGTGAGCAACATCCTCGCGATGCTCGACGACGAGAGCGAACACCAAGCCAAAACCGCGGGCGGCCGCGGCCACAAGCGCGGTGCATCCTCGGCGGCCAACGTTCTACAACCCAGGATGTCCGTCATCGAGGAGGAAGAAAAGGAGGGGGAGGAGAAGGAGGAGGGCAAAGAGGCCGCAGAGACGCAAGGTGAGACTCACCCTTCAACGTCACCTGAATGTGCGCATTCTCGCGTATAACCCCTGACTTTCATCCACACAGCCCTTCGCTCGAGCAGATGGACTAACATGCCCTCAGCCCCCGCAGCACCGCAGCCCTTCCGTGACGACATCACCGCCATAACGAACCACTACATCGTCCCCAACGCCCCGCGCCGCCTGAATCTTACAAAGGACGACCGCAACGCCGTCCTCGCCGCGACGTCCACCACTACGCACCCCTCGGCGCTCCTGCTCGCCTTCGAGAGGGTCGAGGCCCTCCTCCGCGGCAAGCTGCACCCAGACTTCATCCGCTACAGCATAGCCAATGCCAACCGCGTGGCGACGCGCCTCCTCGTCCTCCTCGGCATCTTCCTGCTGGTTCTCAGCCTGGTCCTCGACGTCATCCTGATCCTCTCCCGCGCATCGCAGTACTACCGCCTCCTCCCCACACCCGTTCTCTTCGTCGGTCTCATGATCCTCATCGCCGCCCTCGACGGCGTCTCCCTGTCCCTCCACCTCTCGCACAGCCGCCACGTGCGGCCCTGGGAGGTGCCCGACCTCGAGGCCGGCACGGGCGCCGACAAGCGCCACCGCCGCACCGCGACGCCCGAGAGCGTCGCCGGCGCCGTCGACCCGCTCCGCAAACCGAGCCTGCAGACGCTGGGGCCCGAGAACGTCTTCTCCGAAGAGGGGTGGGTCGCCGCGTACGAGCGGCGGCCGCTCTGGCGGCGGGTCTTTGAGCGGACCAGCGCGAGCCAGAACCGGCACCTGAGGATTCTGCAGGACGGCGTCGTGGCGGGCGCGGTGCTGTGGGCTGCGCTGGCGACAGTGGGTCTCGGTGCCGGGTCGATCTTCATACCCTCGTACAACATGTTTTAGGAGCATCAAGAATGTGGACATGTGTAATGTAAATAATGATAATGAAACTAATGGGCAATGTTTTCTGGGGGGTTGGGAGGGGATGTATAGCCGCAAAAGTCGGCCGGCGGGAAAGCACTGGGTCTGGAGACCGCTGGGCCGCCCATATCCGTAATGTGAAATATCAGTTCGTACTGCCAACCTCAATAAGCGTGTCCCGCAAGACTAGTTGCCCTCGAATGAATGCCTGTAAAAACATCTGCGAGAGTTGTGAGGGACATGATCACGCTAGGATATACTTACACGTCTTGAACCAAATAGGTTCTTTTCTTCATCACCGTCACCCAGAGCAGTACCGGTTTAGATTTTGAGGTATCAATTTTAAACGTTGCAAAAAAAAAAAAAAGTACTTTTACTCTATCATTGTTTACTCGCCGCTTGTTGTTGCTCGTAGTAAAGCTCCTCCGCCGTCGTTATGCACTGCATGTTCGCGCCGAGCTTGTTCATCGTCTCCATCCACTCGTCGTACCTAATCGCACAGTCAGTAAACACCTCCCCGACGCTGGCCATGTTTCACTTACTCGTCCGAGTCGAATACGATACCGCCGCCTATTAAAGAAAGTCAGCCTTCAGCACCCTTCCCCTCACCACCCCCGGAAAAAGGGGGTAACTCACCGGCTTGCAGATACGCCACGCCGTCCTTGACGAGCATCGTCCGCAGCGCAATACACGTGTCCATAGCACCCTCGACCTCCTCGCCCTTCTCGTCAACACCGCCGTAGCCAAAGTAGCCCACCGCGCCGGCGTAGATGCCCCGCTTCTCCTTCTCCAGCTCGGCAATCAGCTCCATCGCGCGCACCTTGGGCGCACCCGACACCGTACCGGCGGGGAAGATGCTCCGGAAGGCGTCGAAGCGCGTCTGGCCCGGCCGCAGCACACCCGAGACCTGCGAGACGAGGTGCTGGACGTGGCTGAACTTCTCGACGACCATGAGGTGGTCCACGCGGACCGTGTACGGGTCGCCGACGCGGTTGACGTCGTTGCGCGCGAGGTCCACGAGCATCACGTGCTCGGCGCGGTCCTTCAGGGAGCTGCGGAGCTCGTCGGCGAGCCGCTGGTCCTCCTCGGGCGTCTTGCCGCGCTTGACGGTGCCGGCGATCGGGTGCGTGATGACGCGCCCGCCCTCGGACTTGACGAGCAGCTCGGGTGAGGCGCCGACGATCTGGAAGTCCTTGCAGTTCACGTAGAAGAGGTACGGCGACGGGTTCACCGTCCGCAGGTGGCGGTAGATGTTGAAGGGGTGCAGGCTCGTCGGGCGGGCGAAGCGCTGCGAGGGCACGGCCTGGATGATGTCGCCCTTGACGATGTGCTTCTTCAGCTCCGTGACGTGCCCCTCGTAGCCCTTCTGCCCGACGTTGGACGTGTACTCCTGGTTGAGCTGGATGGGCTGCTGTTCGGGGATCGGGATCTCGGGGGCGTTGAGGACGGCTACGAGGTCGTCGATGGTCTGTGTCGCCTTCTGGTACTCGGCCTCGAGCTGGGAGGCATCCTCGGGGACGCGGAGGTAGGTGATGACCTTGATGACGCCGTAGAAGCGGTCAAACGCCACGATCGTATCGAAGAGCATAAACAGCGACTCGGGGATCTTGAGGACGTCCTTCATCGGTCGCGCCGTCTTGGGCTCGAAGTACCGCACGCAGTCGTACCCGACGTATCCGACGGCACCGCCGGCCATGGGCGGGAGCTGCAAGCCGGGCACATGAGCGACGACGTGCTGCGCCAGCTCGGCCTCGAGGGCCGGCAGGGGGTCGCATTCTGGGCCATAGCCGGGGCCAGTGGCGAGGACCTTCCGGGGGCCGGCGCCGACGAAGCTGTAGCGGCCGACACGTTCGGTGGCGGCGCTCTCGAAGAGGAAGGAGTAGTCCGAGTCCTTGTGGTGGGTAGAGACCTTGAGGTAGGCGGCGGACGGAGTGATGAGGTCGGAGGAGATCTGGCGGTAAACGGGGACGAGGGTCGGCTTCCTGGTGCTGTTCGTCGCGGCCGGGGCGGAGAGGATGGACCTGACCGTCTCGAGGGACGGGACGACTGCGCGCTGGGGCAGCGGTGTCAGTTGCAGTACAGCCCGCGGCGGGCGGAGTCAATTGAGAGGCGGCGAGGACTTACCGGTCCCGACATGCTGATCCGGTCCGCTGGCGAGACAGATTATGTGTAGGTGAGGCGTGGGAGAGTCGTGTATGTTTTTATCTGAGTCACCGTATCTAGAGCGAGTGTAAATGAATTCTTTAGCCTCCGGGCTTGGAGGGGTTGCGAGCCAAGCAGGGTCCGATAAGCGGAAGTTCACTGCCGTTGCGCTTCGATAAGGCAAGACAGGCGTTGCCGTTAGTGGCACCTCCGCTGTGTCAAGGATCAGTGACACAATGCCCCCACCACCTACCCATTGTTCTGCCAATCTGGTCTAGACCGTCGGCCTGAACGAGTAGGCGAGGTCCAAACGCTGGGAAACAATGGCTGGAATGATCCGTAGCAGGATCGGATGTCTGATGCGTTAACTGAGTTGCATAAACACAGTCATGGTCATGTCAAAGTCAAAATAGCTGCAGCTAAAGGGGGCTTGAGTTAACCTTCAATGTGTGAGCAGACTGAGCTGACCTATTCGCTTGATCCTACTTCAACTCCCCCTGGCATATCCTAAATCTATTTGGGGGTATCAGCTCTCGACAGATAATGCCTTGACGCCCACAAGCTTCGCGCCCTTGCCCTTCCCGTCCGTTGTGACGACCCAGTACTCCGTCCGGACGCCGCCCTTGGGTACCTGGTAGACCCTGACGTCGTTGCCTTTGCCCGCCTTGCGTACCGCTTCGATGATGTCCTTGTAGTCGCCGTTCGAGTCCCAGTCCACGGGGTCCAGCAGATCCACGCCCGCGTTCTCGGCGTCCGGGTGTTCAATCAGCTGCGCGAATTCGACTGCGGTATCGATGTTTGTCAGCTGCTGCTCGTGGAAGAAGTTGAGTGCGCGCCGCTCCCTCTGCGAGGGCACGCGATGGATGGGGAAGAACTGGAGAACTCACCCTCGTCCGGCAGACCCTTGCCAGCCTCATCCCACGCCAGCGCAACGCCGACGAACGGCTCGTCCGCATCGGAGACGTACACCTTGTCCTGCTTCAGCACGTCCTGAATCGCCTTGGGCACCTCAACGCCCTGGTCCTGCGCCTTGAACTCCTTGCTCTTGTTGCCCGTCGACTTGGCGTAGCCCTCGTTGGGGTCCTGGTTCGCCTTGTCCAGGAACGAGGCGTAGTCTGCGTCGGACATTTTCAGATGCGGGACCGTCGAGAATCTGCTGAGAGCCTGACGGGGTGGGGCTTGGAAGCTGCTGTTCGGGAGGTGCAATCGACGTGTGAATGCGGTGCTTGTGGTGGGTTGTCTTGCGGTTATTGAGAACGCTCGGTGACAGATGTTTCGGCAAATCGTTTGTGGGGTTGTAGTCTTCATTCGATTTATAGGGGACGTGGAGGAGCTAAGTAGGGAACTGAGGGGTGATGTGGTCGCGAGTTTGGTTTGCGGGAAGATGCAAGCCATGGTTGGGCAGGTCTAGAATGACGCAACTGGCCGGCTAGCTACGTCTCACGTCGCCGAACGGACGGGATTTCACAGCCCCACCTTGCCGGTAGTGGCTGACAGTGGGCGGCATCGAGTGCCCACATATTGTAAAAATGCGTCTCGAGACAGTATTACTTGCAGTAGTTCAGAGTAGAATTCCGTCTCATAGGAATTACGGAAGACATTCATATCACATCATGCACGAGCCTCGACAGAAACAACATGCGGTTGGTCATGTAGGTATCATTGGTTTGACTTTTGAATTCTCGGCACTCATTTTAACCTCAAAGGTGTCCCAAACCATCCGAATAGTAACGTGAAGAACCCTCGACACCGATGCCATGACCATGATACAAGAAAATTGAAGAACCCATCCTCTACTGAGCGACAAGGTCCTTCTTGAGGGTACCCTGGTACTGCTTCTTCTCCGCCGGCGTCTGGAAGGCGCCGTGTCCGAACTCGGACGAGGTGTCGATCCACTTGAGGTCGATCTTCTCGAGGGCCTTTCTCGAGGTGTGGGTGAACATGGACTTGCGGAGGGTCATGACACGCTTCTTGGTACCAGGGATGGAGCCCTTGACCATGACGAAGTCGTTCTTGACCTCACCGTAGCGGACGAAGCCACCGAGACTGTGATGCTGTTAGTACTTTAACCAGGAAATTGAGATAAGGGGAAAACATACGGGGTGATGGTCTTCTTGGTGACATCAACGTCGGTGGAGGCGTTGTCGTCGGCGTCGCCCTTGCCGATTCTGTAAACCTTGTGGTTGACAGAGGTACGGTGGTGGTAACCCATCTGACCGGCACGGGCAACAGTCCACTGGACGTGGGAAGGATGCCAGGCACCGATACAGGCGACCTTACGCAGACCCTTGTGAGTCTTGCGAGGAAGCTTCTTGGTACCCCAACGGGAGGTGACACCGTTGTATCCGTGACCGCGGGTGACGGCGATAACATCGATCATCTCGTTCTGCTCGAAGATCGAGTCGATGGTGACGGGCTTCTCGAAGAGACCGTAGCCGAAGTCGACCTTGTCGGGGATGGAGCCACCGTTGACCTGGATCTCCATCAAGTGGGCCTTCTTCTGGGTGAGAGGCGTCTTGCGGACCTGGGTGTGGGCGAGAACGCGGACGACGGTGCAGTACTTCTTGATGCGCTCGAGCTCGCGGGTGATGGAGGCACCGGAGGACTCGGAGTGCTGCTTGGCGTACTTGGTGAAAGCCTTCTTCTTGGACTTGTACCAGTTCTTGTAGAAGCGGCGGCGGATCTCGTCGCTCAAGTGCTCAGCCCAGACGGTGGTGAGCGAGCGCAGACCGCGGGGAGTCTCGATGTAGCCCACGAGACCAACAACGATCATCTGTAGAGATGTTAGCCATAGGCACAGAGCCAAGCGGGCTGCGTTGGTAGTACAGGTGGGGTATCAATGATGGAGACGGCCTCGACGACCTCCTTCTTGTTGGCCTTGGCACCGGGACGGTCGAGGTCGCGGACAATCGTGGTCATACCGGCCTTGTAGCCCATGGCGGCCGTCAGGTGGACGGGCTTCTTGGCGTCATCCTTGGGGAAGCTGTGAGTGCATCGCAATGGTCAGCCTCTGCGATCTTCAAATTCCCAAGGGCCTCCCAGGCTCCCCTCTAGGAGCCAGCATCGCACGAGATTTTTGAGCACTTACGACTTGACCTTGCCGCGGTGACGGGCAGCACGCTTGCGCGGCAGGTAGGCCAGCGAACCGTGGCGAGGCGCCTCGTACTTTCCTTTTAATACTTTAGCAATTTCCTCTGCAACAGGAACGAGGGGGACCGACGGTGAGACATGACTTCTTCCGGAGGCTGAGGCCGAGGCGATTGGCGATATTTCCGGCTAAGAGAGGGTTGTCGACGAGGTGGTTGAAGAGAAAAAGATCGAAATACTAGGTCACCTACAAGTAAAAAAAACAGAGAAGGTGCCGGGTGTGCGCCCCAAAAATTAAGCGAATTTTCGAAAATTTGGCAGGTGCGACCCATTTGTCCCAAAAATGAGTGGGTTTCGCAGGGGCATCGGTGAACGGCAGAAAGAAAATCCGCTGCATTTTACCTATATGGCGGGGTTGAAGACCGCATGGGGTCGCCGCCCTAGCCATCCAGTGAATGGGTGCAGCTCGGTGATCCTTGATGGAACAGGTACAGGTTCAATGGTATTAAAGCCTCAGGATCAAAGTCCAAGAGTGCGAATTTCGCAAGTTTGATGATGCTCAAAAATACAGGGGTCCTCTGGACTGGGGCCTTGGTAAGTGGCCGCTGAGGGCATTCACGCTTGTAGTCAAGCAGTCTTTGTAGATGGCGATCAATGACCTTAGGCAGCACTTGGGTCACTTCTTCATGGAAATTTAAGAATTTTCTATGGCTTCGGCACTCCAATGCTCGGTAATTTGCTTCTTCGTACAAATTCATGTTGATGAGTACAACTCGACGCCTCTTGGTCCTCCGACAAAGTCACATTATGTAATCCAGAGTCGCAATTGGAGGCACGTGACATTCCGCACCCATAAGATGGAAAGTACAACACCATAGTGAGGTCTCCAAGGAGAGCGTCAACGAACTACACTAGACTACTAGCCTCAATTATCCCATCATGTTACTCTCTTGTTTGTTTGTTTAATGCCCTACTTACACGGTCCTTCATGATTCTGTCGTCTGGTTGCCAAGTCCCTTTCCTGCATTAAACCCGGTACGTCTGCCAGAAGGGCAACCTCAGCAAGCTAGCTAGCACACACATGTATCCATGCTTCCTCCTCGTTATCCAGGCTTGTCTGCCCGCCTTGGTCTATCGCATGATCTATCCGACAACGGCCATCTGGACAGATCTACTGGTTAGTAGAGGACAGGGCTACATCGAACCGTCCTCTGAGACCATGAATAAGACCCCTCTCGTAATGCTGGACTAGGGCTTTTAGGGGAGAAAAAGAAAAAAGACACAAATAGAAAAGGAAAAAAAGGAGTAGCGTAAATGGTTGTATGGAGCACCAGCAAAAACACTATCGCTGGGGTTTTCTTTTGGGGGCAGTCTTGTGTGTTGTCTTACACCTCGTTTGGGGTGTCGAGTATATGCACGTACTCACACCGACACGGTAACGACCAGCCGTCGCTTCGCTCTTCATGCCATGCAAACAGATGCAGTCTAGATTCCACACTGGTATTGTCTTCATAAGCTACCTAATTGCCTGGCCACACCAGTGTCCAACGAAAGATGGGTCTTGAGACGGGACGAGTTCGAAGAACGAAATGGTATACACGAAAAGGGAACACAGGATACGCATACAAAGAAAACCATACGTCAAACTGCCATTGATCCATTAAGTCGACTCGACCTTGGGAGTAGGTCCCATCAAGCCATTGATGCTCGCGCTCGTTGGCGTCTTGGTCTCACCCGACGTCGGGGCAGGGCCAGAGCCGTTGGTCGTAGCAACGGCACCCTTCTTTTCATCCTCTCCACTGTCATCGTAGTCTTCGTCAACATCCATTTTCCGGGCCGCACGCTCCGGCTCGCTCGGCTGGGCAGGCCGGGGGGCGGGAGTGTGCTCGATTGGCGGCCGTTCCTCGGCAGGGTACTCCTTGACACCAGGAGCCGGCCCGGAGGCAGGTCCGGGACCGTTCTGAGCTCCGTCATGGAGAATGTTCTGCATCGGTGCGGCAGCCGACTGCATCGGCGGGAGGTGGTTGGAGGGCATCGGGTGGCTAGGAGGGTGATGAGCCGCCTCCGAGGGGTGGTACCCGTCGTTGGCATGGCGCTGCTCCTCGCCTCTCCGAATGTCCTCGGCCCTTCTCTGATCGTCGGCGCGACGCTGATCTTCGGCACGGCGCTGATCCTCAAAGCGGCGGACCTCCGATGAATTGCGACGGTACTGCTCCCGGGGTCCTGGAGGGGTCGACGGCCGTCGAGGGCGAACGTCATCAAGTCTGGCTCGGTTCTCATCATTGGCCGGGCGCTTGTGGGAGGACTCCTCCTCCCACTCCCGCATGCGCTTGGGGCCAACGGAGGGGGGACGCTCATGTTCGTTGCGCTGCGCTGCCGGGTCTGCGGCAATCGCACCAGGAGGGGGTGGAGGCGGGGCACCGGCCTCCATGGGGCCAGGGGTGGGGCCGTCAGGGTGATGGCTGTACGGCGGCGGCGGAGGGGGGGGATGTTGAGGATACGCCGACTTGGGAGAAGGCATGCGGTTATCGTGCATGGGCCTCTCGCCTGGCCGGGGGCTGTTAGTGCCGCGGAACTGCGGCGGCTGGCTGGGAGGGCCATTGGGTCCCACATTCATAGGAGGCATTTGAGCAGAAGACTGCTGAGAGTAGTTGGGGTTGATGGTGCGCGGCGCAGAAGTGGGAGCACCCTGAGGGGGCTGTTGAGGAGGCTGCGGCGGTCCAGAGTAGTGCGAAGGCGGGCTAGGCATCCGACGGATCGACTCAGGGTAGGGCGGGCGGCCGCCGTGCTGCTGTTGCTGCTGCTGTTGTTGCTGCTGCTGCTGCTGTTCTTGCCTAGGGCTGGGCTGGCGCGGCATAGGGGGGGCAGGTCCACGGAACGGCTCGCCGCGCTGCTCGTAGGGGTTAGGTGGCTGTGGGGGCGGGTTAATGTCCGCCAGTCTACCCCAGCCGTTGCTGCCAGGGCCGCCGGGACCAGGTGGTGGCGGAGGCTGCTGTCCTCCCTGCTGCTGGGACTGAGGAGCAGAGCTTCCCCATTGGGGTGCCGGGGGACCGACTTGGTATGCTTGAGGGTGAACATCAGCGGGCTGGGGAGCGCTGGGGGCTGTCCTCCGTTGGCGCCGCCGTTCCTCAGCAGCTGCAGACGCGCCTTGATGTGAGGGTTCTGGGGGTCAAGCTCCGCGGCGCGCTGGTACGCGTCAAGCGCATCGCTAATTTGGTTGTTGCAGGATTCGTACTGAGTCTTTGTTAGTAATGACACTAACCATATTTGTGGAATTGTGAACTCACCAGTGTGCCCAAGTCGTACCAGACTTCGGAGATAAAGGGGTTGAGCCGAATGGCACGAGAGTAAGCGTCGAGAGCATCACGGTACTGGTTGATCTGGTAGTACAGCACTCCGATGGAGCACCAGAACGTCGGGTTCCTCCCATCGCGATAGACGGCCTGCTGGTACGCCTCGTACGCCTTGGGGTACTTCTGCTGAGACATGTAACAGCGACCAAGCAGGTACCAGCTCTGAGCATCGCCTTGGTCGGCGGCAACAGACTTCTCCAAGAATTCAATCGCCCGCTCCTGGCTCTGGAAGCTACTGCTCTGCTGGTGGTGGAGCCAGCCAAGCTGCTGCAGGACCTTTGCGTGGCTCGGGTCACGTTCGAGAACTCTTTGGTAGGCAGCCTTAGCACTATCGTACTGTCTCTGGGGTTAGCTACGGCCTTTGTCGAGAACGGGGGCCGGCTACTTACGTCTTTCTGCTGCTCGTGGACGTGACCAATCTGGAACCAAATGTCCTCTTCGGTCAAGGGAGGAGGCGGTGAGTTGACAATGTACTTGAAGCACTCAAGACTCTGACCATACTTCTGCTGTTGCTTGTATATGATGCCAAGACGGAAGTAAATCTCATTCGCCTTTTCAAAGTCGGGCTGCATCTGCATCACCTGCGAGAAGGCCTCTTCGGCATGCTCCAGGGAGCCATATCTGTCGTAAAGGATGCCAATGCCGTACCACAGCTTGGGCTCCTGCGCAGTGTTAGTATTCGAGAAACCCACAGAGCCGGAGGCGGCGCTACTAACCCTCGGGCTCCTCAAGTTGACCAAGGCAGACTGGTAGGCAGCGTAGGCTTGCTGCAAGTCGTCCATCATAAGGTAGCAGTGACCTGTCAGCAGTTAGCAAGTTGCATTCGCCGAGCGCATTTGAGGGCGTGGCACGTACCCAAGCTGCCCCAGGCCTCGCCATTGGTGTTGTCGATCTTGAGTATCGCCTGCAGGTAGTCGACAGCTTTGTGAAACTCCTCGCGCGTGCGCAGGATCAAGCTGATGGCATTCATTGCCGCTACTGATTGCGGGTTTGCCTGCAAGGCCCGGTCGTAAGCCTTCATGGCTTCCTCGAGGTTACCGAGAAGCTCAGCGAAGCTGCCTGTATCAATTGTTAGATGGTGTTGTGCGCCAAGTTGGTCGCGACAGGCTTACCGATCTGCATCCATACGGCCTCGTTCATGAGGAGGATCTGGCGCGAGGGCGCATAGTTCTGGCCTTGCTGCATCCCTGGCGGCGGAGGAGGGCCAGGAGGGCCATGCTGCTGTGCCTGCATGGCCATGGTCGGCGACGGGTGGTGGTTGGCCATTGCGTCTGCGAATCGAGCGAGACTCTATGCGCGCGATCTGTTGCGGGTCTCCGTCGATGAACGGCTGACGATGGTCGCGCAAAGGGCGGCGAAAGTAACGGCGACGATGCCGTAATTACAGAGGATGAGACAAATAAAAAACTGACGAAGACTGGAGACGCCGACTCAGGTTGCCTCGATTTGCTTCTGTTGAAATGTTGTTCGAAGCTGGTAAATTTCGTTGCGACGGTTCGAACGGATCGAGGTTCGACGTGCAACCCGTCAACGGGAGGCTGGGCGTCAAGGTCAGAAGCGACGACACGCCAAAGCTAGAGTAAAGTCAAACAAAATCGTGACGACGAGCTGATCCGAAAGGGCGGGCAAGCCCCGAGGCAGCACAATGATGATGTTGGAAAGGAAGGGATACGAGACCCGACGGCGATCGATTGAAGCGCCCCTCGTTGTAGCTCAGTGCAAAGTTGGGGATGGGGGAAAAGCGAAGAAGGAGAAGTTGGGAGGCTGCGAGAGTTCCCAAGTCAGGTTCCATCATCTCTGTTCAACTACCCTTACCCAGCTCCCAGCTTGTTACATCGACGGCATGGGGCACACCCTCTCCCAAGCGAAACGACACCGGCCAAACCCCCTGCACACTGCTTTTTATTTAAGTCGGTGCTGGGGGGTGGTCGATGTGGGGCAAGGATGGAGGCGCAGGTACGTATCTTCACACTCATCTCATCTCAAAAGCAACTTGGCTAGCGCAACTTTTGGCTGGAGCCGATACCCATACCCACGCCCACGCTTGCTCACGCCTTCACGCCCACGCCCACGCCCACGCCCACACCCACGACCGACGCCCCATGCCCGCGCGCCGCCTGCCAGGCCCAGGTACCTACAGATTTCATGGAGGCGGGCGGCGGGCACTCCCACACAACACAACAGTCTCGCCCCCCTTCCAGAGGCTCAGGGATCCGTGGTTGCTTGGCTCCTGCTGGTCCGAAATGGGGAGCAGAGAGGTGGATAAACGTCCCTTGGCTTATGGAGACGTCGACCTCACTGCGGAAATCTGCGGTAACAATATGGGCGCGGATGATTCCTCTTGTGAGTCTAGCGAAACACGTCTTTGCAGACCCGACCCCTCCCCTTTTCATTGCTTCCTTAAAGCGCGAGTCGGCAGCTCGGCGCGTCTGCTGTGTTTGCCATCCGCCTCAATCCCCCCCCCCCCCCCCCCCCCCCCCCCCCCCCCCCCCCCCCCCCCTGTTGGTTAACTCCCTACGAAATACAGATGCCTGGTTAAGATGTCGATGGTACTCTTGAAGCTATCGTTCATTGACTCCCAGTAGGGGTGAACCGAAGCCCGTTGCAACCCTCATGTACGGCCAAGGTTGGATATCGAAGTTCTGACCCCGCCTTTCGCAGTGCGTCCCGGAGCTTCTTGTCATCGGACTCCTCCGGTTGAATCTTCCCCTGTCCATAGGCTGATGGTTCGTGGATTTCCGACAAAATTCGGAAAGATTGGCGACGGCCAGCTCGACCGACCGGAGCTAATGTTACCGTTAGCCATCAGTGAACGCAGTTAAAGCTGCACACCGCATGCTGCTGCGTAACACGATGCAGCCTTGGACCAAGCTTTGCAAGTCTGAAGGTGTTGCTAACTTGCTCCTGCGGTTTGAGCAGGCCGAGGGTCACGATGCGATTCGGCGGTAGTGCATGTTGTGGCAGCCGAGAGAGAGGGCATTTGGGAGTTGGGGAGCGTACAACGTAGGAGTATCTACTAAGCCGTCAATACCACCAGCGTCCTCAGGTATGGCACATAAAGGGCGATCTGCGGGTAAGGGACGTCGACGACGACTTGGTCAGACATGCCATCCGCATAGATTTTTGAAACAAAAGACAGCCATGTCGCATCGCATCGCGACGCCATTGTGTGTGTCTCCCGGTCGCTGCGGCGGAAGAACACCGAGGGTATGGGACTCGTAATGTGCCTTAGGCATGACTTCTGGCCTGTGGAGGGTGACCAGGGCAATCAAGCGGTCGCATCCCCTCCAACCTCTGTCTCGTCAGCAACGATAGAGCCTCCAGGCGTCATCGAGAAATTGGGACGAGATTGCCGCAGCATGGGCCTTGGAAAAACAGGCAGCTGGCTCCGATCGAGGGAATCCGATTATCGCAACGTGCCAAATGTAGTGAGTGGACCCAAGTCCAACAAGACACCGTCCTCTTGCGACGTTGTCTTTCTGGCTCTCACACAACAAAGGTGGACGGAAGATTGGGTCTGACAGGCACGCGCAAGATCAACCGAGACGCCCGTCAGAGAACGGAGAGGGAGGTCAGAAACATAATAACAGAAACGGATAACAAGTCGCCAAAAAGAAAAGGGAAATAATGCCTTCCAGAAAATAGGGAACGCTGCGCTGAGGGGTTGCCGCCGCTAAACTGCATTACGGCAAAACCCACGTGTCGGGAGTTATCAGCGTTCACCTCAGGTCCAGGTCAGGGAATGTTTGCTCACCGAAGGGTAGCCCCTTCCCCTTCGTCGGGGAAGATATCCCCCCTGAGAACGAGGTACCGACCGTCACCTCACGTTCCCAGCCCGATGCTGTGTAGGTGATGTGTGTCTGGCCCAGGCTGGCTAGCTGGCTGGCTGGACTAGGCTGGGCGGTGCCCTGGGCACCTCCAGATGGGCGAGGGTGCATGACCGGTTCCCCCCAAGATCCTGATCGGGGGAGTGGATCGCACCGTCGAAGAAATGCCAGAAGCCAAAACCAACGCAAGAAAAGACGAACTTTGAGTTTGGTTCATGTCATCGCTGCAACCACTGCATCCATCCATTCAGAGCAACGACGTGACTTCATCCGTGCCGCAAATGCTCACTAGTCAGGCGTTGATTCCCTTCCTCCCCCGAGCTTCCCACCCTTCTTCGCCTGGGCGTTGGTGTACCCGTCTTTGGTGCTTTGATTGGCACGCTACCCTCTCCCGTCACCTCACCTCAGCTGTCTTTCTTATTCGCAACCCCCGGCGAGATCTTCGGTTTCAGCGCCCGAAGATCGTGATGGGATGGGACGGGATGGGCTTGGTTGTTTGTCGACTTCCCCGGAGACTCGGCGCTGAAGGAGGACTATTGACAACGGATTTCGAATTTCAATCCTCATTTAATTATTTATTGGTAGTATGTTGCACATGAAGAGGCGTCGCGACAAGGCCATCAGTCGCTGAAAAGCGGTCGGCGCTCGTTTGCGTGTGCAGTGGAAAGTGCGGGTTTGGCCTTCCCTGAACAGGGCTTCCCGATACGAAGCTATCGTCAGAAGCTGCAGTGGCTGGTGCCCCGTGTTGGCCCGCGTTGAGTGGGAGATGCACGCCGTTTTCCTGTGCTGCAGTGCGGCCTCTGCTGGACCAGCGGATTGATTACTCTCGCCCAGAAACGATGCGAGTGGCATACCCGTGCACATGTGTGGGCCAGCGAACGCAGATACAGGAGACACATGACGCGGATGCAGCTGTGGGCTTCCCTAGGGACCCGCGAATAGCTCTACAGGATGCGGTCGTCGCTGCCGCCGCCGCCGCCAGGCTAGAGGGAGGGGATCATGGCTGAGTGGGGACACTTCCTTCGTAAGGTAGAGAAGGCAGGCGCTGGAGGCTTACCTGAGGAGCCTTTCGGAGAGGAGAGGAGGAATGGAGGGGGGCGTCCCGTTGCCAGGGGTCAAGGTGTGAGAAAAGAAATGCGACAGCAACAAGGTGGAGGGGCGTGCCGTAGTGCTGCGTCTGGCTCTGTGTGGCGGGGGTGCCTGCCGTTCCCCAACCCTTGGCTTGGACGAAGCAGAGATTGATTGTGTACGTGCCCTGTACCGCCATATGTACGTGTAGGGTAGGCGGAGGAAGGATGCAGCCATCTCTCGCATATGCAGGCAGTTTGGGGCAGTACGAGGGTACCCGACTGGCGGCGGCGGCGTCAAGCGCGAGGGACGGTGTGCGGACATGTGTGTGTGTGTGTGTGTGTGTGAGTGTGTGTGTTTGCGGGAACGATGGTGACGAAGTCACAATGGCAGGGCCCGAGGCGAGGATGGAGACGGCGACGATGGCTAGGTGGGTGAGGGTGATGATGTATGCGGGTATGGAAAGAAAAGAAAAGGGGAAAAAAGAGAGGGAGGTGCTCGGAAGGCTTCCGGCGGCCAAAGCAAAACAGAAGAACGGAAAGAATATGGCTGGGTATCTCTCGAGGATGCGACATTAAGGATGGTTTGATGCTGGGTTGGCGACTGTAGTGTAATCGATCTGGGAGGGGAGGGCAGGGCGCGATTGAGGGTGATGCCTTCGTGGAAAGAATCGAGTTGAGGCAATAAGGTCAGAGGAGCGCACGGCCCTTGCTCTAAAGGTACTGTACACACACGTCTCCGGACAATTGTGGACTTGCCAACGCCGCGGACGGATACGTAGGACAAGAAGATACGTTCCTCGCGGCTGTAGATAGTGTACACAATACGCAAGTACGTACCGTGGTATCGTGCCTACACCACTACTCTGTGCACTAGGTACGTGCCTACCTGGGTACAATGTACCAAGGTTTCTGCACCCTTCCACACTGCTTCGCCCAACCCGTCGTCGAACCTGACGTGCCACCGCGGAGACTGATCTGACTCCTTGGCGTTCGCCGTGGTGTGGCACTCCCAGAGAGTCTGTGGGACGGGGAGAGCCTTTTCGGGGTCGAGTGGCACGGCATGCGGCGGCTGGGTCCACCCATGTTTCTTCTGTCCTCCTTCTTTCTCTTACCCTTCCCAACATGTACAAGCGGCAGCGCCCCCCGGCAGCCCGGGTATTTTCTGACTTTTCTGGTTTCCTGTGTCCGTACCGTCCGCCTGTCTCTCGAAACCCTGGCCCCCCCCTTTTTTTTATTCTGCTGGGGCTGGGCTAGGCTGCGCTGGGCTGGGAAACGAACAAAGAGAAACGTTGTAGGGTACGTACCCGACTCTGCAGATACCAACACTTCTCTCTCTCTCTTTCTCTCTCTCTCTGCCTCATTCTGGTTGCCTACCTACGGACCATGCAGAGGCCGGGGCAATCAACTGGTCTGGAGAGACGCGCACACACAGACACACACACACAACAGAAGCTCGCAGAGGATCGAGACAGTCATCCACGGCAGCCGCCATCGCCATCGCCATCGCCGTCGGTCGTCGCAACCGCCATTACCAACGCTGCCGACACGGACGACGATGGACTTCTGCTAAAAGGCTGACAGACGTGGCTACCGGCGGAATACTGGGTACCATGGCGCCCTGCGAGCGGCGCAGGCTCAGGTTAAGCACGCAGTACGGGTATCGCTTGTGTTACTGCCAGGCTGATCTGGTCGGCGGATTGGCTCGCAGCCGGTCTTGGCTGAGCCGTCTCCCTGTCTCCCCCGAATCCCTGAATCAAACTCGTTGTCCGACCAAGGCCAGCAGGAATCAGAATCGACCGAGATTCTCCAGTCCATGTTACAACCACTAGACGTCCATGTCGTCGGACACATCGCTGGAAAGAACCAAAGGTTTGGTTTCCCCTTTTTCTTCTAGCCGTAGACGCCAGACAATTATGGACACGGTCCGCATCCCAAGCCCACTCAAAGGGGATGGCTAGCGTACCTAGTGCCGCGCTCCGGCGACAATAACCCTTCTCCCCCATCATGTACGTAAGTCGTAACGCTCCTCGGGCCCCATCATGCGGTGAAGGTAAACGGCGGAGACTGTTACTCTAGCTAGTACTGTTGGGACTCGGTCCTGTCGGCAACCATTACCTACACGTGAGCTTGTCTCCAATATGACGAGCCTATCCCCGACAACTATGTGCCCCCTCCATCACAAACCGTCCCATCTCGCGCGTCGACTACGCAGCACACTGGACCGGCCTTCCCAGTCACGATATCGTATGGACCTGCTATGGTACATAGTATGTGTTTGTCGCAACAGCCAGACTTTCTCCGTCACCCCATCCCAAACCTCCTTCTCTCTTGTCTCCCGGGAGCCAATTCGCAGACAAGCACGAAGTCCCGCAAGGATACGTGCAGATCGAACCGCTGAGCGCAAAGCGCGGGCATCTCAAACACCCGCGTCCCACATCCCACCACCGCCACATCAACTCATGGCACGACACCGCTGCCACGATGCTCGAGTCTTGGCATCGGGGCCTGGCCAAAGGGATGCGAGAAGGCTCAAGAGTCGCCAATGCAGGGCGGTTTGCTAGATGCAGCCAGCACCGCCGCCGCCGCCGCCGCCCCAGCACTGCAGGCTGCTGCTTAGACAGCTTTCTGCTTGTATGCTTGTGCTTCTGCGTCTGCCTGCCAACGGCTTCATTCGGGGGGAGGATGCCACGGCTGCGCGGGCGCACATTCCTGCGAGGGTTGTGGAACATGGGAATCAATTAAAAAATGTGAGACAGATGATGCAGCCCAGCCCAAGCCAGCCGGCGGCCTAGACAGAGCGCTCCGAACGGGATGCCACACCTCCCACTCCTCGGCAACCTCACGAGCCACAGACGCCCAGGGCTGCACGCGCCACGGGGAAGCCGACTCATCCAAAAAGCCAAGTGCATCATCAACAGAAGCAACCGGGCCTCGAAAGCCAAGCCAAGCCAAGCCAAGCCCTGGCCGCCGGTGTCTTTCCGTTCCATTCAGTTTCTCAAGGCTCTGATCTCCCGGTGGATATCCTCAGCGGCTCCGGCCCATCTCTCTTCCCACTCATACATGAGTTTATCAGGGGCGGTACTTCAACACACATCGCCGTATCGCCGAATCATCGGCCCAGGACCCCAAACACGGCGAGAGCACCTGCTGAAAAAGGCGTGCTGAAGGTGGGGCTCCCACACTCACCTCGTCATCCCCTCTCCGCCTCAAAACCATGAGAACCCCGGCTACCAAGCACGTTTTCGCGGTGATTGGTCCGGCCGGCCAACGCTACATCGGCAGAAACCTTTTTTTTCTAAATTGCTCTTCTTCATTGTCCTTTCCCTCTCGAGCCAAAGGCAAAAAGCAAGCCTTTCCCCACCCTCGCCTAAGGTACGCTGCACGCGCTAGATACGTACCCTTGGATCGGCGGATGCCCGTCTTCGTGATTGACATGTTCCATGTTGGCCCAAGATTCCAGGCGCCCAAGTCTGGGCGGTTTGACGCGTCTGATCTCCTTTCCCCGGCGGCAGTTCAATGAGGGAGCACATACGCGCAGAGGTGGTCGACCGCAAGTTGTGCTGCAGACACCTCTGAGTTGTAAGCCTTTGAAATATCACATCCTGCCAAGACATTGCCCGGCATGCTTATTTCTAACCATGTTCCCCTTAGGACTGTATGTGCAGCCTAGTCGACGCCAAGAGGCGGCAGTGACTCGTGAGACCAAACCATCGGGCATACGCAAGTCGCTGTGTCAAGACTCTCCCGCACGGGTGCACGCGCCACTTGGGCTGCATTGGTTAGAGACACCTTTTCGGTTCGCTTCCATTGCAGAGAAGAGACGCAAGACGTTGGGATTGAAGGAACCGTAATGAAAAAGAAGGGAGCGAAGAAAGACCGGACGACCAGGGAATCCCCGACCACGTTCTCTCCCACGGCTGTGTCATGCAGAGACGAGCTGCCCCGAGGTTTAATGTGTCATGTTCGTAGAGTTTCTGCCCTTCCCACCGGACGCTGCGGATCGACAGACATCCTCTCCACCCACGTTGACAGCCATCCGGATGACCCTCGCAAGGCATCGATCGTTTGGGGATTCGCATAACAGCACCGCAGTGCCGGCCGGCTTGGGCACACTCTAAGCCCGCTCACCCCCGCCCCCCGTTTCTTCGACGAGGCTCTGGGATTAGAAGCCCATCACCACAGAGCTTAAGGTGAGATGAGACATATCCGAAGAGGAGACGGAGCAGACGACGGGTTGTTGGCAGAAAAGGGACGAGTATCTCCCCGGCTCGATAAGCGCTCTCTTTCGACACATGACACTCGATCTGTCGATGATGCGCCTTTACGCATTTCAATGCAAGTAAACTTTGCTTCCACTCTTCCGTGCCTTTCGTCTCGTCTTACGCACTCGATCCGGAATTATGTGCGCCGTTCAATCCAGACACTTCAAAACAGCCCAGTACACCCACCACACGGCCCACACCGTCTCTTTGCGTCTGCCTCCGGCTACGCAACGCGCGCTGCGTCAGTCGTCCTGTGGCGGCCCGTCGTGGGACGAGTTTTGTTTCTTTTCCCATTTCGCACTCTCTCCCAGCTCCCGAGTCCCTCTGACGCGCATGGATCACGAGAGATCGACGCGCCTCAAACGTTCCTCGGTCTCCATGTCCCGCAACTCTAAATCTCACCAGGCTTGAACGGTTGGGGAGAGAGAGAGAGAGAGAGAGAGACAGACCTTGAGGGAGGGAAGGGGGAGGAATGGCATCTTAGATTATTGCATTCCTGTGGGATCCAAAACCGCGTCCCTCGATGGACCTGAATGGCATTTTCCCCCTGACCTTCATGTGCGAGTCGGAAACCCGAGCGCCAGGGCACACCCCCTCGTGACTTTGCGATCTCAACTTTGGGTTAAAAGACGTTCCGGATGTCGGAATGGAGGCGGGGCATGAGCACGCACTGAAGAACGCGGGTCACGGACCCTTTGTGAGGCGAACGGACGGACGGGTAGGACGAGATGGAAGGCAGAGAAAAAGGAAGAGAACTGGAAAGTAAAGGGGGGAGGACGAGGGAAAGGGCGAGACAGAGGGCGCATCTTCTTTCTTGACGTCTTCCCCCCGACGTGTTCGGGGACGCGCTCCCGCAAATCGTGGTCGCCAGACTGGCGGCGGAGCACGGGCTGGGAAAGGCTTCGAGGCAGCCGCATACGATATAAACAGATTGA